GAGAGGGCACGTGTGCAGGGGCGTAGCCTTCTCTTCAGAAGTGAGGGGGACTGATTGTTTAGGAGCAAAATTACAGGCCAGGGATGTGTCCCTTGTGTCTTCTGTGCCCATGCTTATGTGTGAGAATCCAGCTCAGGTGGAGTAGATCCTGCAAATAGACAGACTGTGTTCTTTGAACGTGAACCTCTTACATTTGCAGCTGGTGCTACCAACTCCTCTCTTTAGCTGAAAACCTGCAGGATCCATGTTACAACCCATCTCAGTTGGGCAACATACCTTATCGTCCACTGGAAGCAGGTTTGGAGCGCAGCAGCAGCAGCAGCAGCAGCATAGTGCAGCCTTGGTCAGCTGGACTCAGTATACAAAAACCAACATAAACAGGTTGTTTTTCCTGTCTGTGTTCGATTCCTTGAAATATGGATTTTATTCAAACTGTTGAGCTTCCACTTAAAACACACTGTGACTGGCTCTATTTTCGTGTATGGCGGAGGGTGGCGGACCCCGCGCAGTTGTATTTTCATCTGGCAGAGCCCGGCATACAGCCAGTTTGGTATTTCCGTGGACTGAGGCGCACGGAGGCGAACCGAGATCCGCCAAGCTGGGTGTGGTGGCGTGGCAGGGGGAGGTGTCGACAGAATCAGCGGGCGCAGTGACATTTTCGTGCTTGCCAGTGGCGTGTAAAGTGCGCTGAAACCTCGCCGATTCAAACCTGGTCAACTTTCAGCGCAAGCGAAACGCAGCTGATCTAGAGGTATTTTGGTAGACCGGCGGTGTATCAGCAAACGTCACCGGCCTCACCGGCAGGTTTCCACAGTGTCAGGCACATTTCAGTGCAATAAATAATCATCAACAACTCTTAAAGTCAGCACATACATTTAGATCTATATAGATATATTCTGATCTATATCTGATCTGATGAGCGCTTTTGGCACGCGTTTGGACACACAACCTGACCGAATCAACACAGCTGAAACCGCATTAAATAAAATTAAATATCTAGTAAATAAACACACATGATGAAGTTAACTAGATATGTGATTCGTCTCCCTCCTTTTCTTTCTTCCTCTTATTTCTCGCGCAGCTCGACCTGGACATGTCTCCGTGTCCTCTCTCCGTCCTGCAGCGGCTGAACAGATGATTTGTTTCAGTGATCAGATGAGTTTTTTACTTTAAGCCTACATGCGGATATTATAATATTCAGTTTTGTGAGCCAAATTTATTTTATATGCCAACATCTATGAAAGAAAGAGCCAGGCCATGGAGCGCGATGCGTCATTTAAGCACAGATGGTTCCGATTTTAATGCCATTTTTGGAGTTTATGTTGTGATCTGTGCGCTCAACCCACCTTTGTCAAGTGAGGTTTGAATATATGCAACTTTATGTGAGTGTCTTTATTTGTGGAAAAGGGTGTTTGTCTTTCCAGTGGGTCCAACATTACACACACAGAATCCATCTGTGCTCATATGAGAGAGTGTGGAGGACGCCCAATGCCCAGAAGCAACTATTTTTATTTACAATCAAGTCCGCATATATAGGTTCCATTAAAACAACAAACTTTTCCCAAGATCAAACAAAATGAGTCTCAAATGAGATGCCACAAGGGCACATCTACCTCCCTTGGGAGCAATTCTCCTCTCCTTTTATATGCAGCTCAATCTCCAACCCACCTAACTTCACTGCCTGTACCTAACTTAACTAAACTGTACTCCAACTAAAAAATCTACATACTTAGACTCCCCAAAAATGCAAAGTATGAACAAAGAAAAACAATTCACAAAAGGAAAAACCCCACAGTTGGTCTGGAAAAAAAAAAAAAAAAAGAGAAACAACTAGTAGGTCACATTTAACCCAACAAAACACAAAAAATCTGTGCTGATGGTGACAAACTGGACTGTGTTGAGAGCTCAGTTAAGCTTTCAGGCTTCTTCACTGATCAAGGAGTTGTTTTATACCCTGATTTCTTTTGAAACAGTAAAAACAAAATAAGTGAAAAGTTTTAGTGAATCTGTGCGTAAGATTAGTTTGCACTTATTTTCGCATGACTGTCAGAAAAGCTGATCTAAGTCTCAAATAACTATGTATAAATTAATAAACCTTCGGCTGTGTTTGGTGTTAGGGCCCGAGCTGACACTGCAAGCAGTGGGCGAGAACCCTATTGAAATTGCAGGAATTATTGTTTATTGTTATTGGTAAAAGTTTCAACTTCAACACACCCTAGACAGGCTCACAGGCTGATTGAGTTTACGGCTAGAATTAATGATTTTAAGATGATTTTTTTAAATTATCATTAGCGTAATGTTACTGATTTTTAAATTTAGGGACTACTTGTTTAATTTTGTCTGGTTTCAAAACAACATTATATAAAAATGCAAAACCTAACTTTTAAGTCATGACAAAAAAATTTGACCACGTTTGTGTAAAGAGCTCTCTGTCTCTCTGTTCAGGGCATAGACTGTGAAGAAGATGATTGACAGCTATCCACTGTAGAAGCAGAGAAACTTCTCCCCACTTCCAAGGTGGATAGCTGTCAATCATCTTCTTCACAGTCTATGCTCTCAACAGAGGGAGCAACACTGCCGCCCAGTGGATTGAAGAGTATCCTCAACTTCTATCTCCTCAACTTGTGTGTGTGTGTGTGCATATCTTAAAAACTGTGCAATGTATGTCTCAAAAATAAATGCATGTGCCGATTATTTCACAAACACATTTTTCAACGATTCACAAGCAGAACTGAAGATTTACAAATGAGAAGTCATAATAAATGCACACACAATTAAAGAACAAATGTGAGAATCATGGACACATACTTGTGGATCTGATAATGACATGTGGAAATTGTGAATATATATTTGTGCATAATTCTGAGACAAATCTCTCCCCATATCTTTCCACTGACTGATCGGAGACTGACAGTGAAGCTGTGGAGATAAATGGAGACTCCTCTTTATTCATTAACCCATTTAATCCCAATTTTTTCCCAGACAAAAAAAATATCCAAATCATGTGTGATTAGTCTTCCTTTGAAATAACCAATCATAATTTTTAGAAATGTGTGTGTGTGTGCATGTGTGCCTACATGTAATTGCATGTGTGTGCATGCATGTGTATTGAAAGTTTCAGAAGTTTTAGAATTAGTTAGCTAGCTAGTCTTCGTGTGTGTGTGTGTGTGTGTGTGTGTGTGTGTGTGTAGGTAGGTAGAATAGTTAGCCTATGTGTATTAACATGTAGATACAACAGATTATCCCACCGTTCACTATTGTTGCTGGTGACATGTTTGTGAGTTCTATGATCACATTAAACAAAGTTGAGTAATTGCAAATGCATATATCAATACTAAACACCTTAAACATGATGTGTACCAAAAATCTATGTCCTATCTTCATGTTAACATAGTTTACTAACCCTTTCTTTAGGAGTTTTCCTGCTGCCATCCTCTTCTCTTGGCACAAACAGGAAGTAAACAGCTCTGGTCATGTGACAATTTACAGTAAACATGTGACACTGCACATATTTCATTAAGACCCTTTATTATTTCAATATCTGCTGGAACTGCATTGATATATCATTCAGTAACATTTTTATAGCCTTAGAAATGAAAAAAAAAATTACGGTCACTATTGTGACCAGTGGGATTAAATGGGTTAATAGAGATATGGTGAAATGTTAATGATGAATTACTAGAGAAACCTAACAAGTTATCAAAGAGGTAGTTCCACCGAAAGAGGAGTCTCCATTTTTCTCCACAGCTTCACTATCAGTCTCTGATCAGTCATTGAAAAGGTGGACTGTTAATCAGACTCTGAACAGCATCAGAGGAGCAGCCCAGCAACTCTACCTGAGCGGGATCGTAAAGGAGGTAGGCCGCCAAATGAAGATGGTGGTCCATCCGACTCCTGTGACGGTCCGGTGTAGAGTCCTGAAAGAACAAGAGAAATTTGTATTTTTTTAAGGTGAAGCATACCTGACATCTATTTATACTCATCACTACAGACATTTTTTCACCTCCTATCATGTGCAGTCTTGTTTCAGTTCTGTTAAATGTTGATATTCCTGTAAATTCTGCTTTTGAAACAAAAACATATTCTTGAAAAAAAGTTCTGTACCAGATTTTTGTTATTTGGTCAGCTAAATAATCAGGCAAACGGGTGGTATTTTCAGATAATCACTGTTTTTTTAAATTTCTTATCTATTAAATGGATTATTTATATTTATGTATTTTATCAAATGTATCAAACAACTGTATTTTTCTATTTCATCTATTATTTAATAAACATGGAAAGCAAGTCACTGGATTATATAAACATAAATGTAAGAGTGTTAGTGCATTAAGACAAAACCTTTTTTTTCTGATCCAATTGTCCACTGTCCTTTTTTTTTTTTTTCAATTTTATTTTAATCAATTAGAAAAACCCCGAAAGTTTCTTGTCATAATATTTTACTGTACCAAAGTTAGTCTGGTTTGTATTCTTTAAATTAAGTTGATTCAAGTTTAGCAATTTTGTTTCTGGTATTTCTGTTCGTATTACTTCATTAAATGCAAAACAATAACATTAAAAATGATAAATCTGCCATTTGAGACCTGCTTTCTAGTTTTCAGTTTCTCTTCACTTCTTAACTCACCATATTTCTAACATGTAGTCAGACCACTGTCAACAGTCCAGGGTAATTAGGGGGTTCTATCTCAAGCACACCTGGTGCAACTAATAAGCTCTTGATTGCTTTAATCAGGTGTACTGGAGACCACACCTGGTTTGCAAGTGTATGATCTTAATCCAGGGCGTTTTTGAGACTGCAGTAGTCACTGAAAGTAGGATTTAGTGTTTTAACTGTTTAATATGTTTATTGCAAACACCTGTGTTTTTTTTTTCAGTTTTGCTACATACTAAAATGCAATAGGGGTTAACATTTTTGATCACTACTGTATCAACTCTGTTTACATTTTCTTCTCCTGCATGTAAGTGTCATTCAAGAGTTGAATTCAACAGACATGAGCTTGAGACTCTGTTTAATATTTATGGTTTTATTGTGATATTTGACATATCCACCAATTCTAGTCCATATAAAAATTCAAGTAAATAGACCAATGTTCACTTGACAGCCACATTATAACAGAGATAGTGGATGTTAAAGGGTATACTGCACATTTTATGGAAACAACAGAGTGCTAAAGATGAAGCACAGCCTGCAGATAACTACAGCACAGTGAATACAACAGAAACTTTTCAATGAAGTTTTTAGAGTCCAAATTTTGTCCACACAAATAAAAACTGACTAAATAACCGACATTTGAAGATGCTGCTGTGTACAGAGGGATAACCAGAAGTTTTAATACTACACTGAATATTTTACACAAATTCAAATATTTATCAACAAATCTAAATAAGTTTGAGTAAAGGAAGGACAGCAAAGGGTTTATATCCTCAAACTTTGAAATAAATAAAAAAGGACATTTTCAACTAGTTACAGGAAATTATACAAACAACACAACACAGAAATTGCCAACCAGGGCTTCACATTTAAATAAATAGTATCCACACATGTTCGTCTCAGGTTTAACACATTAAGAAATGTTACATTCAGAAATGAGGTCTACAGGTCAGAGAGAAAGGAGACAAAAACACAGCTCCCATTGATGGATGTAAATGAAGAGAATTCAAGATTCGCAATTTAACAGAAAATGTCCCTTTCTGCCTTACACAGCTCCATCAGCAGGGTTGGAGAGATTAAATGCTTTTTTTATGTAATCTTATCTGTTTGCCTCTCGATGTGTGAACCAAAGAAAGCTGTAAAGTGACATCTGAGTCGTGGTTTCTCAAATCACAACGTAGACTTTCCTAATTACTCTCAGTAAAAGCATGTCAAGGTAAAGAAATCAGAGTCATCTGTAGACACTAAGAACCGTTAAGAACTGAACTTTTCTATTGCACTAAATTACAATCATCACTCAGCACTAAAATAAAAAGATTTAAAAATGAAAGTTGGGAACAAAAGCCAAATTATCTCTGAGGAGTGTGGCAACATTTGCCATTTAACCAACTTCTTACTACACTTTATTATGCTCTGTGTCAGTACTTGAAGTGTAGATTGAGAAATTAACTGTTTGAGAAGAAAAACAAAGGTATATACACCATGTAGTGAAGCAACTATGTGTTTTAAAGTAGTTGCCTTGATTTTGTGTACATTAAGACCACAATCTCAGGTTTCTTTTCATATACAGCTGACACAAAGCAATCGTCTATGGATTTGAAAAACTAGTAAAAGTACATTGAGGGCAAAATTTGTGTCCTAATAAATGAAATGCCCTTACTGTTCTCTAGAGAGACAAAATAATCTAAACATTGTCTTACATTTAAAACTATGGAAATGTTTAACATCAAAACAAACAAAGAAATGGCCCCAAATTAATCTAATTTGACTATAACTCAGAAGAGCAGCATTTAGAAATGAAGACAAGTCAAAACCATGATTGACAATAAATCAATTCTTGTTATCTTTAGACATACTGCGTTAAAAGTCAAGGAGAGAAAAAGTGGCTAAAAAAAATTAAATGAAATGCAACGCAAATCATTTTGAAGACAAAACAAAAATATCTGGGGAATTTCAAGTTCATGACCAATTCAGAATAAAAGGAGAGAGATTTAAACACATGCAATATTTGACTAATTTCACAACTGGGCTGAAAAAAATTTAAATAAAATAAACATGATTATTGTTTAACCATCATTACAACCACATCTGTCATTTTCTAAACAGTAACACAAAAACACTGAAGAAGTCAGCAAAGTGAAAAAATGTGCAAAATGCTGTTCAAAGAAGACTCAGCTGTTTTTTCCCAAGAATAACAATGCTGCAATCATCAATGCTGTACACAAATAAAGGATAAAATCAGGGATATTATCTTCTTATCTGTTTTCTCCTGATATCTTTGTCTCAATAAAGGGACAATCAAGTTTTAAATCTGGTACAGAAAAATCAAAATAGTCAGTTTTATCTTGGATTTTTTTTTGGTGGCTATCAAAGTAAGTTTACTATAGTTTCATGTTTCTAGTCAATAATAAAGGGACTACAGGCAATGGATTTTTCTACGAATTAGAGATTAAGCTACGTATAATCAGAAGTTAAGGGCAGTGTAAAAACATTGTAATCAAATAATCATTTATATTGCACAATTTAGTATTGTGCACTTACACTTCCTTGTGTATCATCACCTTTAGGGCAGAGATTATAGTGTAATAAATCTGAATAGTCTTTCCTCTTTTTATCAGCGATGCCCCAAAACTTACAGTACTGCGAAAGTGGAAACAGCGAAAACAGAACCAAACAAGCCAGCTTGCCAGCCCCCTTCACAAAGAGCCCCCCCATCTTTCTCCTTTTATATCTTTTTGAATTTTGAAGCCTTGTTACTTCTGATTAGGTGTAAATGTTGGAGGAACAAAGATTGGCACATCCAAAGGCAAAACTCCTCACTTTTTGTGTCTGAGTGGGGAAAACGTCCTCTTTCCTTACATACTGTCCTCCACTATTTGTGCCCTTGATTACAAACCTGATGACTTGAATATAACACAGCAGCTGCCTCTGGTCTTATAGACTACAACCAATAAACCAATAAGAGCTAGAGCTTCCTGCCCACTTGATCATCACTACTCTAAGGTGACGTCAAGTGGGACTTACAATCAAAGACAAATCTACTGAACCACCAACTTTCAACTGAGCAAAGGGGCTGAACTCAGTCACCAGGATCCCACTCCTCCAGGAGCGTATCCCAGAGTTCCACAATATGATGGACCGTTGCTGGTCTTCTCCTCCAGGATTCAGAAGTAGTCAACCAAGTGTCTTCTCTGGGTTTCATTTGTGGATTTTCCAGTTCCTGAGGAGGTGGAGCTTCCAGGCTGGGGGTGTAAGAGAGGAGGCAGGCAGGTTGACAGGCTGGAGTTGACCCCTGAATGAAGAGGAGGCCTGTAGCAACCTTCCTGACCCGACTCTGCCCTCTGCCACCCATGCCTTTAGACCCACAGCAGCAGACAGACACCCTGAACAGACAGAAGAATGTGAGGACTTGGAAACTCGACAATTTGTGGCATCAAGGCAAGTTATTTTTACACTTTTGGATAAAGATATGTAATGTAGCATTTTCCAATGATGTAAAAGATCTGGGGCTTAAGCATAACTCTTCATTCATACCTCTAAGTATACAGTGATGTTTTAATCTCTTTTAACCAAAAGTTCTCACTATAAGCTTCTATATTTTTCAGAACACTTTTTTCATCATTTCAAAGTTGCAAATTTCTGAGTATTCTCAGATCATTTTCAACGATTTAAAAAAAGTTTTAAGGATCTGAATTTAGAATTACTCAAGATTCCTCAAAGATCTATCAATTCCAATCAATTTTACTTTAATTAAGTCCAGAAACTCTCTCTGAGAGTTCACAGAAGTTTTCAAAATGTTGCAAAATCTTTCATTAGAAGTTCTGAATTGAATGAAAATTAAAGGTACAAAATATTTTAAGCTTTAGTTTTTAGGATTTTGAGGTTGTCCTTTAAAATTTGCCTTTATATTTCTCAAATGGGTCACAAAAAAGAAAAGAAAACAAAAAAGGTCTTCAGAAACAGCCTGTAAGAACCACTTTATCCTAAAAAAGACAAAAAAAAATTCCAGGAAACAATTTTCGAATTTTTTTATAACTCTGTATAAAAAAATCTTTTACAGATCCTTTTTCATATATTTGCTAATATTTCTGGAGATCCATTTGTACGAACTTACACATGCTTTTAAGGAATCTTTTTTTAACATTTTTGCTGACCCATCTGAACTTTAAAAAAATGTTTTTGCCGACCCATTAAAAGTTTTTTTTAAATCCATTCATACTTTTAACCCTTATTTCAACCTCCCTCCTTTTAATCTTTGTCAGACTTCAACTAGAAAATCAATTAAAAGTTAGTGCAAATGCATTCAAAGAAAAAAGCTTGCATTATATTTCTGAATTACAGTTAAGAGAGGTATTTTTAATTGAGTTAATGGTGTTCAGATAATGGTGAAGAGTGAGTTTCATGCATTCATAAGTCTATAATAACTTTTCAGCTTCATCAACACTTCCTCTCACATTAGTTTTAAATCACAAACAGTTGGCAGTCCACCTCACTTCAACACATCACCTGTTTGCATAATTATTAAACAATCACACTCCAAACGCATTCAGCTGTCTTCAATGAATGTGTTTTAACTGACACCTTTGAATGTTTCTGGTGCTTTTGTGATGTTAGCAGTTAGAGACAACATACAGTACCTCTGTTGTCTTTCCATGCATAGACACCAGGCGGAGTGTGAGCCTCACTCCTGGAGCTCAGTCAGAGCCACACAGCATGCAGCTCTATCATCCTTACTCTGGGCGGGGCCATCCACTCCTCCGCCACTACCAGTGTTCATGCTGCGGCTGCGGCTGGTCAGCTTCTTTAGCTCGCTTGCAAAGGACATGACTTTCCGTTTGTCTTCTCGCACCACCTAGAAGTAGAAAATAGAATGAATTCACTGAAATACTTGTCATTCGGTGTTGTTGAAACCTTCCTTAAAGACTGATAAATAAAGAGGAGGAAAAGTTTTAACCTTTATTTAACAAGGAAAACAATATATAAACTTATGTACATATATTGAGTGTAAAATCACAGTTAATAAATATATATAACAAGTTTCAAACATTAAAACATTACACCAAGGACAGCAGAGTGCAGTTACAAACACAAACAAATAGTAAAATAATATTAACAGCGCCGGGTTTAAAGCACAAACAGTCCATCATGCAAAAGATAACAGCAGACAACATGAAAGCACTGAGCTGAACAAACAAAAAACAGGAAGTCACAAGGCATGCACAAGCAAAGAAGAGCATTTCTAGTTCAAGTGTTAGTGAAAGCAGTTTAAAATCAATGTCTAACACAATCATAGTGACAGCAAACTCCAAAAGACAAACATAAAACCCTGCACGGGACTCTTCAATAACATAAAAAATAAAACACAGGATATAAAAACGTTTAAGCCGCTACCAATAAAAATCAATCGCTATGTTTTGTGCTACCTGCTCTTTGAGTTTAAGAATGAACTTCCCCGCTCCCCGCCAGCGGCTCTGAGCCTGATACACGCATTCATGATCAAGCAGCAGACGCTGTAAGGGCTTGGTGGTGGAGGATTTCTTCGAGCCAGCATCCTTGGTCACCTCCTCTATCAGGGCGTAGTCACATGGGTTGGGATTGGATAGGATACTGCAGGAATACTTGGCCTTTGTCAAAGTCTGGTCAAGACAGAGAATCAAGTTAAGGCCTGAACATCTGGAAAAGATACAGACGCACGTCTCAACTCCTCTCACCTGCTGTATGATGTCTTGTGCCGTGCTGTGGCGTGGAGCTTTGATCACAGTGTGAGGTTGTTCCGGTGAAACTTCGTGGACTTGGACGAAGAACATATCATCCTCTGTTCCTCCTCCACCTCCTCCTCCTTCTCTACCTCCAACGGTGACCTCCTCCTCTCCCTCAAGAACTGTGTTCTTCTCATTTAAGCTCTGCAGAAACTAAACCAAAAGAAACAGTAAAACTACGCTGCAGATTTTCAGATAGCTCTTCTTTTTTTTTTCCAATAAAAATTTTGACTCATAATGAACAGCCACAAGGAGGAGCCATAGCCTGTCTAATAAGTTACACAAACAGTGTCTCCTTAGTGTTCTCTGTGGAAATATGAGTTGGTCTTGACATTAAGAATACATTTAGAGGGAGGTAGTTTTTGTATTTTTTCATGTTTTTGTTTGTGTGTACCTCCTCTCTGGTTTTGAGGCTGAACCTCCCCACATATCCCTCCTCTGTGTTCCAGCTTGAGACCATTCTGACCACCTCTTCTTCAGGCGCTAGAGGACGCTGATGGGCGCCACGCTTTACCTCGCAACGCTCTTTCAATAAAGGAATCCTCTCCTCGCACAGAAAGTACTCAGAGGGGTTTTCGGTGAAGACCTGGTGGAGGGAGAGTGAGAGGGGAACTCATGTAAAACAGAGGGATGAACGGAAACCACTGCACAGACACAGTGGGACAGAGCAGAAGCTGCATGTATAACCACATGTCCACTGACCGTGTCCAGCAGCTGTTTGGCTGTTGTCTGGTCTGTCACACTGAACACAGTAAAAGGCTCAGGTCCAGGTGCTCCGTACACCGACACCTTTGGCTGCTGTGATGCACGTTTCTCCTCAGAACTGAACAGCTGTGTATAAGCAGGAGAAGTAATGATAATTATTAAGACATTAATTTGATTACACCTGATTAGACCTTGAAGTTGTTAAAAGTTGAGCTTATACTTGGCATCTGCTGGGTCAATATTTATTCACTTAATTTGAATAATCTGTTCTTGGCGTTTTATAAGAAGAGAAGGGTTTCCAGATTTTTGGTAATACTGCAAGTCTTACTAGTGATGAGGGAGTGAGACCCCCTGTAGGACCTTCCTCTGTTCTGCGGCTGAAGATGAACAGGCTCGAAACCTCCAGTGGTTCATTATGTTGCGTCCTCAACTGGACATGTCTATAACCTGAAACACACATGAAAGAAAACATATTTAAGCTCAAATGATTTGATCAAATTTCACACTGATATTTGTTCTTTTGTTGTCAGTTTATCTTTTCATTCCCTCCCATCATTCTCCAGCTTTTGTGTCTCAGACTCGTACCCTGCTTCAGAGCCTTCAGAGGCAGAGTCCTCTGAGCCGTAGTCTGGGAACTGTTGTTCTCCACTACAGCAAAGCGAAGGAAGCACATGTCCTCAAAGTGCACGCTGAACGTAAAGTGCTCGTTCCACATGGGGTTAAGGGTGTTGCGGTGGATGGGCTTCGTACGGAAGTGGCAGCTGTCGATGGGCATGCCCAGAACGTCCACCTCCAGACAGGGGCTGCCGGCGCTGTTACCAGGACAAACGTTCTGACCCGAGACAACCTGGGGAAAAATACTCAACGTTAAGGTTCTTTTTACAAGGTTTTCTGTCAGGAAATAAAGCCCATCTGATTTTTATTCCGTTTGAACATAAAAGAGAAGCCAAATATCTGAGAGTTAGGTCACTCTGACCTGCCAACAAGGACTCTATTTCACCCTCTTCCCGGATTTTTCTCTCATACAGTCACACGCACGCACGCACGCATGCACGCACGCACGCACGCACACGGGTTTAATAAGTGTGAGATCATCTGTCTGTTTGTACTGCAGACTTTACTAGATGGGTACTCATGCTGGCTGCAGGGAGCCAAACAACCAAATAATACTGATCAACAACCTGACAAAACGACAACAAACAAAACAACCCGACAAAATAACAACCACAGTTTGAAAGAGGGATGGAGGAAGCAGAGCTCATCTAATTCTATGATTCTAATAATCATAAACATATGTATAATACATTATAATCACATTATAGCACATTATACCATTATAGTATAACTTTAGTTATAAACACTCATAAATGGTCAAAATGCTCTATAGCAGTATGATAAAAAATGATAAAGCATTTTATCATGAATTACAAGGTCAGGTAATATAATGTGTTGTGCTTATTGTTATAAAGCCTTATGATAATTGATGAGTGTTTATAATGATAGTTATACAATTTTATAAGCAAATTATAACACATTATAAATATATGTATAATGCATTATCTATTATAATATCTGACCTTGTAAGTCATGACAAAATGCTTTATAATGTGTTATGATTATTGCTGTAAAGCATTATGATCATTTATGAGTGTTTATATCTATAGTTATACAGTGCTATATATAGCCTTATATATATATATTATAACACATTATACATATTTTTATAATGCGTTATAGAGATAAGTGTCAAAATAAGTGTTAGCAAAAAAAAAATCTTAACTTAATTTTGCTTGTTGCACTTCTTATGTAAATAGATGTCTGCTTCTTCACTAGTTATTCCGCCTCCGTTTGCAGTGAGAATACAAAAAAGAAACATAGTTACAGATGCAGATCCATTCAAACCTTTGATAGCAGCAATTATTAGAGCCTAAATGTTCACATACTGACAGCCAGCACAGGCAGAGGGGGAATTAACATAAAAACCATGGAGGTATTTCAAAGCAGAGTTTTTATGAGCTTCTGCTATCATTCAGTGCTGTGAAGATTTAACTGGGTGGCCTTCATGATTGTCAAATAATGAAAGCAAATACAGATCATGTGCAAATAAAACTGTCAAAACAAAACCTCATGCAGCTAATTTGAGAACTCAGGAGGACTTGTTTATGTTTCGATAAGTCAGTGCAGACTATACCGATCTGCTGAAAAGGACAGACTTAATACAGTTCAAAGAAAAAGACATGGAAATAGTCTCTTCTAATGTAACTGTAAATTTGCTTTAACTGCAGACTAGACAGAAAAGAGGAAAACTAGAGAAGCTGGAATGAAAGTGAGGTAAACTGTTCACGTTCTTCTTACTGTCATCGACACTCACAGTAAGAGAGTAGACCGCTGGGCTCATTTTCTCCAGGTCTCTCTCCATGGGACAGAACTGCTGATAGAGCGAACAGCTGCGGTCCCAAAGCACAGGTGGCTTCAGGACGTAGCCACAGCCGCCATTTGCTTCAAACAGAGCCGCGTTCAACTGCATGGGCAGGTCTGGAAAGGAAAGATAAAATAATTGATTCTTGGATCACGTTTTGTTTTATCTTCCAGTAAATTAAAGTGTTTTGCAGATTTACTCAGGAAAAAAAGAAAAAAAAATTCTTTCCTTGTGATGCAAACTACTGAGACCATGTGAGGGGACTTTTTTTCAGTGCACAAAGACAGAACACAGATCTTTCACGCTGTCCTCACCATCGGTCTGGTAGTTGAGCGCCACCAGCTGAATGCCATGCAGCCAGAAGAGCAGAGGGTTCGGGTTAGTTGAGTCGATCCTGGTGGCTGCCGGATAAGTCCTGAGCAACTGGGACACCGTGTGCTGGATCAGCTTCTGGGAGTATCGCCGGCACAGGCGCTTGGCGGCATTCTCGTTCACGGAGGAGATGTGGTAGCACTTAGGTGTGCGGATGATGGCGCTGAGAGAGGTGGGGGGGTTGAGGACGGGGGATGTCTGTTGCTCCTCCCAGCTCAGCCGCTCAGCGCCACCTAGACGAAGAAGACAGGGAGAAAGACATTTTAAGAGACGCTGGACTCTGTCAATTTGTCAGCCTTTAACTTTGAGAGTCATGGGCTCTATATAGATCGTTAAAAAGACAGCGCTATTTGATAATTTGTTAGACTCTAACAAAGATGATGATCTGATTGACTTTTGAGCTTAAACTTACTTTTAGGAAGTCCAGTAAACACTCTAAAATGATAATGGACTTTTGAAAATGCCACTACTCAGTTTATGAAACCCAACAGCAAGATTTCAGTCCTCTTAAATCATCTGTGGGTTTGCAGTCTTTAGTTCAAGTACAGTCATAACAAACACTCCTAATACAGTGACTCATTCTCGTGTTCTGCATCTCTATTAATCACTCTGACCGCTTACAGCATGTTTCGTTCAGCCTGCTTTTTCACTGTGAGAAATACAGCTGATGGTCCAACCAGATTCTCCACCTTTTCACCTCTATTTTGAATGATGTGATCTTCAGTGTTTTTGCTCCATCTTGCTGTTAAAAATATCTTTTTTACATTTTCCATCCATACATAATTTTTCTAAATAAAGCAGAACAAAAACAAAACTGAAATAAAACTGAGCTAAAACACATGAATTACCTTTCCCAGGGGTGCGGCTCTGGGTCACGACCTCCCCTGTTGTGCTGCAGCGAGCAGGAGCGGTGCCAAAAATGGACTTCCTGCTCTTTCCGCGGTCCTTCCCTCTGCTAGAGCCAGCCGGAGACAGTGTGGACAGACCTGTGTTCCCACAGAGAGAGGAGGAAAGTGGTCAATAATGTGAAACAGACAGACTGGAGACAGCACACTCATGACATCAGTTTCTCTCTATTTGTTACTGAAAATCCAGAAGTCATTTTCTCTAAATGCTGTCGCTGTCTGTCTTAATGAGGAAGCTGGCCTTTTCCCTGCCAGACATCTCTCAGAATTAATTTGCTGATGTAAGATTAATGTCTGCTTTTCAAAACATATTTGAAATGATACAATGTGAAATGTATTTTCTAGTTTAGTTCGTCTCCATCCATTTCAGACAGCAACAGCAATGACCAGCCTGCTGTCCCTGGAAACAGTAAACAAATAGCTGTGGAAAGAAATGCAGAAAGGTTTTACAAGAGCTAAAAAAAAGAGGATGAGATAAGTGGGTTGATACTTAGGGGGTAAAAAGAAATCATTGAGATAAATCAAATAAGTGAAAAATGATAAAATCCCCAAAAAAGACATGTTATGAGAACTTTTAAGGGGGGGGACAAAAAGCAAAGTGGGACAGTTTGGGGACTAGTCCTGTCTTTCCCACGGGGAACAGACAGAATCGTCATCTTAGTGGGTGTCCTGTGTGGGAGAGAATGGAGTGTAACAGTGAGATATTAAATACCCATCAATGAAAAACAAAAACAAAAAAAAAAACATAGGGAGAGGTTTGACCCCATAAACGCTCCGGGGAGGAGGAGGAGGGGATTAGAGAGAGAAAAAATAAGGTTTTACAGAGGATGAATCTGAATGAAGAAATAGGAGAGAAAATAACTCAACAGCTCTTACCGGGGAATTTGATTGCCTGACAGTAGATGACAAGGTCAGACAGCTCCTGGGCAATCTGCCGACTCTCCTTCTTGTTCTGAGGAAGGTAAAACTCCTCACCTAGCTCCATGTCAAACACCTAGATCAGGAAGAAATGGTTTTACTTGACGGGACAAAAATGTACTTTTGACCTTGGATTAGCTTCAAACAGTTAAAATGCTCACTGGCTGGTAGCTACGCAACAGACTTCTATTTATTCAATTATTTATCACTACTTATGTGAAGTTTAAGTTGACATAATCAAGCTGTTGGATCAGTTTACCACTGTAGTGTCATACCTTTCCTTTGCTCTGCGTGGTGCTATCAGACTTCTTCATCCTCTTTGGTATTTCATCAACAGGTTGCTCTTCTTTGTCTGCTGAGCCCTTCCCTTCTGGTTTGTCATCCAGGATGTTGTCTGTTCGGTGAAATAAAAAAGGCATGCTTAATATAGTGCTAAAATTAATTTAGCCTCATTTAAAGCCATAAACACAGTTAAACATGGATGAAGTGCAAACAGGAGGGCTAGTATAGCAGACAGCTGCAGTCCCAAAGCACAAGTGGTTGAAATGTGATTTTTTTTGGCTGTGTTAGGTTTGAAATAACTCCAAATTAAGCAGCCTCCTCCTCAGACACATCTGTCTTTGAGGCTTAATTTCACCTGCAGATAATACTCAACATGACATAGAACTGGATTGCCTTTACATCACCTCCAATCCATCAGTTTTGTGTAGCAGCAAAGCAGACAGCAAAAATAAAAATGATGAACTGGAGTTGGTGTGACAGGGTGATATAGATTCAAAGCGGTAAATTTAGCATCTGGGAATCGTCTTGTAAAATAAAATGTAGATTAGAGTCTTACTGCTTTTGATTTTGTTGCTTAAAAAGTCAGGGCATCAAATTACAATCAGTTAAAACATCACTGAAATGCTTTTTTTACAGAACAGTGCTACATTAAAAAAAAATAAGTGTATGATGACAATTGACTGTAATACAACATCCTTTAAGATGACTTATATAGAGGGAAGAGAGCAGATTTATATATTTTCCCTGAAACTTTCGAGTCTGGTGAGAATATTTCCAAGCAGAACATGACAACACTCCCCCTTTTTTTATATTTACAGCAATATCTATTCCCTGCAAATGGGAGTGACAGCATTGAGGTCTTCCTTTACTCCTACACACATTCATTCCCAGCCAAAACATGCAACTAGACATAAACACAGAGGCTTTTTTTTTATCAGAGGAAAGTTGTTTGACTACTGACATTTGAAATAGCTCCCCTTGAAACTCATTCTACACTGAGTTTGTAGGACTGAACTGCACCAGGCTGTGAGAGCACGAAGGATACATGAGCTGTCGATGCAGATGTCAAAATTAAAGGAAAAGATACAGTTTTCTGTCTTAGAGTTACAACGGCGCATCTCTTTGAGATTCAGATTAGACTGATCGTCTGTAGAACCTCATTAAGCGTTTACTTCTTTGACAGGGACCGTTAGAGGGACTCAAAAAGAACAGTTATGGGTCTGGGACCAGGGTAGGGTAGTTTCCCCTGGTCTGTTGTTTGGTGTGGGGGCAGCATAGGGCCTGAGAAACCAGATGGCTTTGTTTTGTTTCCCGGATGAGCCTGCCCAGCCACTGGCGAGGTCAAAGACAAATACAGTACAAGGGAGGAAGAAGGGGAGGTGATGTGTTTGTTGGAGAAGGAGGAATCACGAAGACAGCTAAGAATCAAAACAAGACATATCCTTTTTCAATACACACATCTGATGTCAAAGAGAGTATCAAAGAAGCCAGTAAAACATTACCAAGGCACAAGTTAACATCAAGCAACTTGAGCAATTACAATCATGTATGTTGTGAGTACACAATTGTGTTTGTTTGTTTACTCTGAAATTATTTTGTTATTCTAGAGAGTCAGGACAGAGCTTAGGGATGGGCGATAAATTGAAAATTTTACTGATACCAAAATTTACGACAATAACCAACATCATTTTATCCATGTCAATATATTCAGTGTCAAAAAATAATTAAATAAAAATTGGTTTTGGATGTGTGTAAGTAGGCTATGGTCTCGTGTCCCTTTGTAGCGGCTACAGAAGTAGACAGAGTTAATGTGGGAGGGGGTGAGCAGGTTGTGGAGTAGTTATCATCCATTTATAGTTATCGAGGTGAACTGCTCAACAATCATGATATTGATATGAGGCCATATCGCCCAGCCCTAACAGAGCTCTTCTAAAAGAAATTATCAGTGACTGCATTTCAGTTTAAAGTGAAACGGTTTAAGTCTGAATTTAGTAAGTGATATCCAGCTGTAATACAGCAGAGCATAACCTGATATTTAAGCTGAAAGCTTGCAGCTATGACAATTTGCATGCACAATCAGGAGTCAGTCTACAGCAACAATGCAGGTCACTTGGGCAAATCTACACACCAGTGTTTCCTCTGTATTTAATCCACTGTGGTAGAAAACTTCAGCAAGACAGATCTCAACATAAACCATTATTTCATGGAGAAGCTCAGCTTTGAAATAAGTGCCACTGCAAAGCAGAGCCAAATGAAAGCTCTGGCACAGAGAGAGAAAGGCATTTACCTTCAAGGCCATACGAGGCAGTAGAGGCTGTGAGGACATCAGCTAAGTGGGAATTAGGTAGGAAAAACAGCAAAGAAAGGGAATGAGGATAGGGAGTAAACACAAAGACTTGAGTGTTAAAAAAACAAAGAGAAAGAATAAAGTCTGGAAAAAACGACTGATTGGAGGGTTACAGAGTTAGAGATTTGACTGGAAATTCATCAAAGTTGATTTTTAGTGTCTGTTATTGGAAAAACACTGAGTCCAAAATCAAAGATACACTAGTTAGGTAGCAGCTGTCCTCACCATCTGATAGCGACTCGTAGTCATAGTCATACTCATCCTCTTCCTCCTCCTCTTCCTCATTGGTGTGGTTGCTGGGTGAGGTAACCCCTGGTGACCCATTACTAGCCTGGGCCTGCATGTGGGCCAGCTGATGAGCCTAGGAAAGGGTTAAAAAATTAAAAAATAAGTGCATGTTTAAAAAAAAAAGGGTGTAAGAGGAAAACAAATATTGTCTACCTGGCATGCTCTCCGCACCTAATTAGAAGCTGTAAATATTCAATCTCGTACCCGCAAGAATCTGTGCTGTGTTTATCCAGGAGCTCTTCCTGTTTGCATTGTAAACTATGTGAAATTGTGTTTACATCCAGGCACATTAGCATCTTTTATTTATGTGTGAAAGGAAAGTGTTGAATATTGCATGTGCTAATGCTGCCTGAAAGGCAGTTTAAAGGAACGCTTATGTGAATATAAGTGACCGTGTTTCATCCCTACCTTCTGTTTGAGGATGTCAACGGGCGCCTGGTGGGCTTTCAGCTTCTTGTTCTTGAGGAGGATTCTCCCCCGCAGCTGCAGCGGAGACGGCAAGTGAGGGTCATCGCTGAAGTCGCTTTCAAAGAGGAAGCGCGTCACCAGACGTTCCCCGAACACCGTCTGGTGAACGGAGAAGAAAAAAAAAATCAAACATGATATACAGACATCAATAAATCATGTTGGATAATGTGAGCAGAATGTCAAGTGAAAGGAGGAGAAGAGAATCAAAGCGCTTTTATCAACACAGAACAACATTTCAAATAAACAAGCCTGTGGTGACATAAGCTGGAGGCACAGATCTGTTTGAACATGAAAGACTTTTCTTTATCAGGCTACCCAAAAGAAGACAGTCTCCAGGGAGGAGAGGATGCTGGGAAGTTTTGTTACATAAAAGCAAGATGATATTCCATGATGTGTCTGTGGTGCCCAGATATATCTGGCATTGGAGTGTATGTCTTAAAAAAAGAAGAAGAAAGGGAAACTTGTAGCCTGAAGATTAGGAAAGAACGCTGGAGGCCAGTAGTAGCAGCAGCAGTAGAGGATAACTGGGCAAGAAGAATGAATGAGTGGAGAGGAGTTGTGCCCTTTAAAAGTGCCGCCAAAGGTGGAGGAATGGTGGGGTTAGTTGTACTTCAAAGTGTGCTTGTAATGTGTTCTGACATGCTACCTGTAAAATTTTACTGGCTAGTAGATTTAAATATGTTTATACATATATATCCATTGGCCTTTCTATCACCCTGCTGTGGGATCTTGAATCCTGAGTACCTTGAAGATTTCGGCCATCTTGCGCTGCTGTGGTAAGGAGCAGTGGTTCTCTATGGACAGGATGACGGGCATGTCCGAATTGACGAATGCAGAACGGTTAACAGCTTCCACCACATCCTGAGGAATCATGGGATAGAGTCAAATCTTTAAGATGGTACCTTCAAGTCACTTTATCTCTGTTCAAACCCATACCTGTGAGATTTGCTAAAGCATCCCAAAGATACCACATCAAATAAGATGTTGGTATCTGAGGGATCCGACTGCATGAAACACATGTAGGGCTGGGTGATATGGCGTTAAATCATTATCACGATATATTGAGCAGTTCACCTCGATAATGATAAATGGATGATAACTACTCCACAAGCTGCTCACCCCCTCCTACATTAACTTCATCTACTTCAGCCGCTACAACTTTTGAACTGTCCTCCATCTCCTCACCTGTCTTTCCCTCTTTGTAACGGACTGGATGGGGTGGAGTCATATCTTGTAGGTTGTAGGACAACGTCTTAAAGCAGGGGTGGGCAATCATGTGCCATGGAGGGCCGAGAGGCTGCAGGTTTTCTCTCCAACCACAAAGTCCACCAGGTGATTTCACTGATTAGTCCCTGCTCTCTGCTTGGAGGTAAGGTAATCAGTGAAATATCACCTGGTGGAGTTTTGGGTTGGAGAGAAAACCTGCAGCCTCTCGGCCCTCCATGGCACATGATTGCCCACCCCTGTCTTGAAGGGACATGAGACCATAGCCTACCTACACACATCCAAAACCAACTTTTATTTATCTATTCTTTTGATGCTGAATATATTGACATGGGCAAAATAACATTGGTTATTGTCATAAATGTCAGTATCAGTAAATTTTCTGTTCATCACCCAGCCCTACATATTGCCACAAATATCATGAGTGTTTGTTTACTCAATTTTTTTTTTTTCCCTGAGCTTCTTTGTTAAAACAAATGATGCTGACTTTGCTACAAAACTGTTAGGCATTAATGCATTTCCATGGAGCAATAAAACAGGAAGAGCCACCATTTTTATACAGCTGACAGACGAGGTTGCACTGCTGACCTTAAAGGGAATTTTCGTGGTGAGAGTGTGTCCATGATAAATAACTGGCATCCCATCATCTCCATCCCAACAGTCCAGCTCAACACTCCTGCAGCCTTGCAGCAAAACCTAAAGAAAAATTATATTACAAATCAATACACAAAAACAGAAGTTAAAGGTCTGATAAAACTTTAAAACACTGCATTAACAGCTGTGTCACCTGACTGTAAAGCTCCACAGAGGACTCTCCTTTGAGCTGATGTCCCGTCAGGTAAGTGTTATGAGAAGACTCAATGTAGTAGTAGGATAGAGGGTACTGCAGATCCTCCAGGTTCATCTGTGACTCCTCCATTCGTGAAGCAAAGTTCTCCTTATCCATTAAAAACCTGGTCCAGAGAGAGGTGCGAACATATGAATTATGCTATTGCACATTCAAAAGGAAATAGTTTTAAATATCGTGATCTTTAACTCACCTGGCAAAACCTTCAAATGACATCCAACCCATTTGTCTCATACTTGATGAGGGCTCAAATTTCTGAAAACGAAACCATAAAGACAAAAAATTAGAGCAAAAAACACATTAAAGTGAAGATAAACAATTCGTTTTCTCTTTCCTTTTCTTTTTCAGTCAATTCATCCAGAGAAATCACAAATCAACATCAGACATATCCTCAATTTTTTTTCATTTCATGTCATGTAAGGACATTTCCCCTTTATTTTTTCTACCTGTATAATGCTGAGAATCTCATCATAGCTGAGGTGCTCTCTCTGACAGTTAACCAGGAAGTCATTCAGTTGAGGGATAGCCAATCCTAACACCCCCAGAGATGAGTTTTCCACCCCTGTCCCATTGGTGACAATGCTGGCTGCTGCGATGGCGTCTGAGATCTGCTTCTGGTTGTCAGACATCTGCTGCCTCGTCCGGATGAACAGGCCGAGATCTGAGCCGTTGCGTGTTAATAAATCTAAAGAGATGACGGAGATATTAGGCAAGCAGAAGGGAGGAACAATGTAATGCTTGTAGACATGATTCTGACTCATAACTACACATTATTATAGCTGCCTCAGTCTGGTTTTACCTAGGTCTGGCTGCAGCCCTGTGTCTTTGTCATCTATGCTGAGGTTGGTGTAGAGAGGAGCGGACTCTGGACCTGAGCGACTGCAGGGTACAGCAAAAGTGTCGAAAAGCTCCTTTAGGTCCTTCCTGCTTCGAATACTGAGAAGGATATGATGAGACAGAGCCGAATTCAGACACATTTTAAAACGCTATCATTTGATTCGATGAGACTCAACATTTTAAAAACAATCAGTTGATCTTAGGTACAAAAATAGGGAATTTATCAAGCTGATCAGGTGAAGCTCTGAAGCTCAATTTTCACTGCATAGTGGGATTTTAGAGGAAACTGCAGTGCAGCAAATGAGATAATAGGCTGAAATCTAAGAAATGTTGGAGGAATGGGACCGGTATGAGAATAATGCATTACTTATCAAGACAAAACATACTTCCCTTTTATTTGACAAGCAAAAATATTACAGCAGCTAAATTTCCCAGAGACGGGAATCCTTTGAAAATGTGCTTGGCACCGCTACCTAAAGAGAATTTGTTTTATCATCACTGTCTCCACTGCTGTTGATAAGCACGCTATTTTTATGTAACAAGAAGTAATGTGCCAAACAATGCTGTAGGGAATGTCTAAAAAAACATAAACCACTGCTTCAAAACCATGAATTACAGTCTGATATCAAAAGAAAGGTGTGTTTGATGCATGTTTTAGACTATTTAATGTTTAAACTTCGATTTTTAGCCTTTTAACCTGATGCTGGAGTGTTTTGATACCTGAATGACTTGAAGAGCTCGACAAACTCAATAAAGCTCATGGTGCTGTCTGAAACCATGAGATTCTGGAAGCTTTTGAAACAGCCTTTACCCCGACCGTGCCATGACCTGCTGTTCCAAGACCTGTAAGAAAAGAAGGAACAACAATTTCACAAAACAAGAACACTTAACAAGTCTCACCTCCAGTCTTTGTCAATAGAGCAGAAATTACCCAGGCTGTGACTTGGCATTTCCTGAGAGAATCGGAGAGGACTGCGGGCGGGACTGGTTTGATCCCGCCATGCTGGAGGAAGAGGAAGAAGAGGAGGAAGAAGCTACTAAACCAGAGCTTTTACTGGATGAGAGGGTGAAGGGTCCAGGAAAGCTGTCGTCTATGGATGCAAAGACAAGGGACAGGAAACAAATACAAGGTAATTATCTCCTTTGTTATGAATATCATGTTGGGATTGCTGTAATCTTTAAGTAAATGTTTGTCTTTTGAGTTACACCCTCACTTGACAAAGACTTTTTTTTTTTTTTCACCTGGATCGTCTTGGTCGATGCTGTCAGACTCTGGCCCATTTCGGTACAGTCCCTCCTTACAGCTTCGTGTTTTTCTTGAAACCATCTCATCATCTGTTGCATCCCCGCTGTCTCCCTGCGTTAAGAGTTTTAGACACATATCCTAGTTAGTATGAAAGAACCATGTCTGTGTCAGTTGGAAGATCAAGCCTAACCCAAAAATGATCTCGGAACACACCCTAAGTGGACTCTGTTGTGTTTTATCTTTTAAAACTGAAGAAAAAACACCATATGCAGAAAGTTCTGATGGACTCAAATCAGTGGTATAATGGCTTGAATCAAGTCTGTTAAGTAGTGCAGTAAACAGCCCGATGACAAGTGTAAAAATGATGCACTCACCCTGACAAGGACCTTTTTTTTCTTCTTGACTTTATCATTGATGCTCAGAGGGCTGTTTTTCTGGGCCACAGATTTCTCGACTCCCCCTGTGCCTATGTTCCACCGGCGCCCACCAAACAGCTCGATGGCATGTGCAAGGGTAGGGCCCTCGTACCTGCCGTCCTCCTATCAGACACAAACAAGCAGACACAAACAGAGTGTTGATATCATTATCTGTTTCATTCATACATTCAGGGAAAAGTTACTATAATTCTATTTTGAATCTGAAGTTTGAAGTTGTAATTAAAAATGATTCAGGGAACTGTATAAGTTGGGATTCTTCACGTTTACAATGCAATATAGAAAAACCTGACAGTATACTTTTAACAAAAGGGAAAATAAAAAATAACTTTACCTGATATAAACTAACATACTGCCTTCTCAGCCACTGCAGCCTCTGGTCAGGAAACTTCTTTAATTTCCTGGTTGCATTCACCAACTCTGACAGGCCTTTATGGAGCATCCGAGCAGTGTGGTTCGGGGCCACAAAGTGCATAAGTCTAAAGACAGAAGTTTGGAAGAAAAATCAAAAGTGCCATTCGCTCATTTGAAAGAGTATCTTTGTGTTGTAAAAGTGCATTTCAAAGCAGAGTACTTTTGTAAACTAGTGATACTAACCTGTTGTCTGTGGTACTCAGGCCGTAGAGGAGGCTAAGACCGTTCTCCTCCACTGTCATCTGGCTCAGCTTGTTTTGCAAACATACAGTATGAACGTCTACTCCCGGATGACCCAGGAACACTGCCTGCATATTTGAGTAATCACTAAGTTAAAAATATCACCAGTAAAAAAAAATTAAATGCAAAAATAATTGTTTCTCCAGCACAGAATTGTTTTTTTAACCTGCAAGCTAAAGAAAAATATCCTTATGTACTGATTTCAGATCAGAAATAAAGTCGAATGAAGTTGTTGTTCCTCTTAAATTGAACGTACCTTTACTATCCCGAGGTCCAGAAGGCCATCTGTCAGTCCAGCCACCACAGTCTGTCCTATTCCTACAGGTGGCTCTGAGGGAGATGCCCCTCCACTCTGAGGTTTACCTGCAATGAAAACACATGAGGAAAATGCAGTAAAGGCATAGGAGGTTACACTTTAACAGCCAGTTTACACAGTGAGCAGCACAAGACACTGGCTGACTTGTTAAAAAGTTTTTTAACATCATATATGCCCATTTTAAAGAACTTTAAAATGAACTGTCAGCTCATTTAAATCAGGACTGAAAATATTACTGTTTACTGCAGCTTTCCTATAGCGTCAACTCCTTAAACTTCTACTTTGCTGATCCGTCCATTTTAACTGTTTTAATGGTTTTAAATTTTATATATATTTTTTTTACATTACATTTATTAACATTTTATGTCTTTTTGAATTTAAATTGTTTTTTCTTACTGATTTTCAATTGTTTTTATCTCTCCCTTTTTACAGTTTTTATGTATTTCCTTGCATCTGTAAAGCACTTTAAATTGCCTTGTGTATAAATGGTGCTATACAAATAAACTTGCCTTGCCTTGCCTTTGGTTAAAGAATAACAACTGAGAGAAAAAGCTCCCTGTCTATGAGAATAATGAACATTTTAGAATGAACTAGTTATCAAGCAATTCCTAGTTGCTGTTAAGTGAAACAAAAATTTTTAGTGGAGTTTTTTTTTGGTTTCTATTCCCAGTAAAAGCGACATGAACCCTCTCTGTGGTAGTTTACCCCAAGTGAGTGTTGTGTTGTCAGGTTGCAGCCGCAGCAGACAGCGAGCTGAAAGGTGGCTATCCTGGTCATAGTGAATCACTGTGGCTCCCTGCAGCAGAAACTGGTGGACATCTGGCTGTAGTGATAACACGTACCTTATAAAAGAAAATACAGTCAAGTGTTGACTCTCTGTTGAGCTATAGGGTTGTCAGTATGTCTGTGAGTATGTTTCTTACCAGGGAATGAGCTCAGTTCCATGGCTGAAAGCTTTGTGCGTCTCCTCAGTCCCCTGAAACTCTTCTTCTTTCACCAATGACTCAGACGACAAGTCGCCCTCTGAATCCGACAAATCCCCTACCATGAATCTGGATATGGAAAAAAATTTAAAGAAAAATGTTTAGAGACAAAGTGTCTACATATCAAATTTTATGGTGGCTGGACTGCTGGAATCTGCAATTGCATCCATTGCTGAGTTAAATTTAGCAGCAGCTGTAAAGCAGTTATTTTGAACTCACTGTACTCTGTTTTATTGGATGGACATGCAAAACTGCACCATGCATTTGACCTTGCACATTCCTTACTAATCAACAAGCTTTTACAGGAACAGAAACTGTAAACAACAAACATGATGGCATTAGTCATCGATGTTCAAACTCCTTAAACTCTTCTAACCACTTACAGGACGTGGTTTGAGTCTGGCGCTGTCCTGAATGAATGTGAACTAGAAAGGGAGAGAAAGGGAAGATGAAGCCTGAGGTGAAGAAAAAGACAAGACAGAGAGGTTTCTGCACAGAAAGATGAGATAAATAATAAAAAGATAATGCCATGGGAAAGATTTGAACCAAGGAAGAATCTCTAAACCTTTTTGATTAAGAAAAAATAATATTTATCTGCATTCCAGTGCAGATAGATGAACACCACCTGCTTGTCAAAGCAAAACAGAGTTTTCACCCTGGGGTTTCTCATGAAAATCACCTCAGAGTCAGAGAAAATTGTTTAGAAACACAGAAAAGATCATCCAAGTTCTTTAATACAAACACCACAGGCTGTGCTTGAAATAAATTGAGTTTTCTGTGTCCGAGTTACCTGCCAGCAATGTGCTGAAAAGTACCAGAGCTCTGTTCCTTCCTGCCCTGACAGGAAGCTGACCTGTTATCTTTTTTCTCTGTGACACTGGCGTTTATGTTAACAGCACCTCATCACAATAACAATCTGCAAATGTGTTCCTGCACAAAGCCATTATCTGGTGCCGGTGTTTATGAAAGACAACCTGTGCTGTGATAGACCACTGAGCTGACACGGAACAATATCTGCAGAGTCTGAGGACGGTGTGAAGATTTTCTCTGCAGCAAGTCTACGCCCTTTATTAACTGAACTTTACAGACTACATATTTCTATCTGTGACAACAAACGCAATGGTTTGTACTGCTGAATGAAAGGCATTGAGATTACTTTTGTTTTATTCATATTTTCATAAATGATTTATGCTCTTGTTTATTTACTCTATTTATTTTCTAATTTTTGTAAATATAATGTTCATAAAAAAAGTTGGAGAGACTGACTGTTAATTGAGTAGCAGAGAAGGGGTAGGTTTCCGTGAGCATAATGCTTCATCATTTTTTTGCTTTGATTATTGTTGTTGTTTTTTTGAATATTCTTATTGGTTTGATTGTTTGTTTTCAGTTTACGGTCTTGTGTTGCACACATGTTAGATAAATAGATAAATAAACAAAAGTTATAAAAAAAATAGTAAATAAATAAATGAAAGGAGCGGTTGCATTTTCAAAAATCTATTCTAAGAGACTCTTTATTTTGTGTCCAAAAACTAGCAATGAAGCATAGACACATATATATTTTTTTAATGTGGGAGGATGAAAGTTTCAATATTTACTGTAAAATCTGTTAGAAAAAGGCAACTTAACTCTGTTTAGTGGTCACTGTCTGTGAAAACAGACACAAAATGAAATACCAATTTTGCAAACTGACCTTTTTGCTGAAAAGGAATGCAGGCTCAATAATATTATCTACTGAATATGAGAAGTGTACAAAAAAAATACAAAGAGGTGAGCTGTTTTTACAGTAGGGCTGTCAATTTTGATGCATTTATTGTGTTTGCTGTTTAGGTCCTAAATTGATGTTTCATTTTCTGTTAACCACCTGTTGTTTTCTGTTCTTTTTGGCACACTGTAGTCAAGCTGCCACAGTGTCTCCTTACTTCCTTCAGCCGCCATGACGGAAAATAACACAGGAGTCAAACTGAGTAAAACTACCGAGAAGATGGGTGTTATGTGTGTAATGAAAAATAAAGGTATCAATTATTATACAGCTCTGATTTTTAAACTTTGATTTGATTATAGATATAAACAATATAAAATCTGTCATGAAAACTGTAGATTCACATAATTCACAGCCTAAATTGAAGAACTGTAAAACATCAAAAAAAAATAAAATAAAAAATAAAATCTGAGGTATTCACACCGACATTTGATGATGCACCAGGATCTATATGGCTTTCTCACATGCTGTGTGCCATTTGATACTGTCTCATTAGCTTGTTCATAACGAGCAAAACAACCCCCACTCATTCTTTAGTTGACTAAGTTCATGACACCAGGACAGAAAGCACTTTCCTTTTCACCAAATCCTCAAACCAGACACTAATTTTAGAGAGATCAACAGCTTCTGTTTGGTACCTGTGCTGCAAACTGAGAGGTCTTTGTGCTTCAAGATCTAAGAGTCTATGTGTCATAAAAGAAGAGTGGAAAAATGGTACTGACTGATTGCGACAGCGGTCTCTGAAGGAATTGTTTCGGGGTGAAAGAGAAGGGCCGGTAGAGGAGGGGCTGGTGGATGCGTCATCAGGATCCTCTGCTTCCAAACTTCTGTTACAAGATCTAAAAAGTCCAACAGTGAAAAAAAATCTGAGATCAAAGAAGAGTAGTGGCAGGTCGAGCAGGTACAATAACTTCTCCTTAATTTACCTGATAATCTGAAGGATGTTGCTGACAGTGGCTTCCTTCTCTGGGACATGAAGACCATCTGAACCAGAGCGTGACAGAAAGTTGTGTTGGCCGCTGTAGTCAGACACAAACTAGAGAGAAAGGAACAGAAAACACACAGCAGGATGAGGTCTCATAATTCTCATAATCTTGGTCAGATGTTTTATTTCATTGTTACTATACCTCGATTGAGTCCTCAGTGTTATCAGGAGGAGGTTTGAGGCTGATGATGCTTGCTGTCCCATCAAGTGCATCACTGAGCTCCTTCAGGAAAACCCCACAGAATGGTACCACCTGAAAGACAATGAAAAGACATCTTATTGTGGCCTTTACAGTTATATATTTTCCGTATCACATGAATAAACAGAATACTACCTTGCATCCTGGGATATTGAGGGCTCTTGTCACCACCTTCTTATACTCTGCAGAAGACTCGTGCTGTGCCATGGCGTCCTTCAGACTCCTCATGGTCTCAATGTCAGACTGGTCCATAAACTGCCACATCTTTAGCACTTTGCGGGACCTGAAAAGCAAACAGTACCTTAAATATCAGTAACTACTGGAAAGAACTTTTAATCATCTCTGACTAGAGTATGTGAGTCTAAGTTTCAAAACCTGAGTCCAGCCAGGAACTCCATGACACTGTTGTAGTTCCCCATGTTCCAACAGCATTTGGCAACATGCACCAGGTAGGAGAAAACTTCCCTCTTCTCCTCCATGGACCCTGCAGTCAGGATCAGCCAGGTCACCCATGAACTCACCTTAAGAAACAGAGAGACACCAACACAGTCAAAAAGAATCATGGCCTTGGCACAACTCTTCATAAAACACAGACGAGCAGGACAACATAGACTTTTCAGTAGGGCTGGGCGATATGGCCTCAAATCAATATCAAGATATATTGAGCAGTTCACCTCGATAACGATAAATGGGCGATAACTACTCCACAAGCAGCTTGACCCTCCCACATTAACTTTGTCTACTTCAGCCGCTGCTCCAGCCGCTACAACTTTTGAACCGTCCTCCATCTCTTCACCTGTCTTTCTCTCTTTGTTATGGACTGGATGTGGTGGAGTAACATCTCTGACGTAGGACAGCATCTTAAAAGGACATGAGACCATAGCCTACCTACACAACCAAAACCACCTTTTATTTATTAATTTATTTATTTATTTGACACCAAATATACTGATCTGGGCAAAATGACTTTGGTTATTGTTGTAAATTTCGGTATCAGTAAATTTTCAGTTTATCACCCAGCCCTACTTTTTAGAGAAACATAATTTTTTTAATAATTATAATCCATTAGATCTTGTTTATTTTTATGGAACACACAGAGATATAAATGTTAAATTTAGTTAGTTGCATAACCAGCGACAAAGTCCTTGTGGGAGTTTCAAGTAAAAGAAATACACCCTCTCTGATAAAAAAAATGACAAATCTAATAGGTCTTAAAACTTGGATAATGTCTATGAAGTTTGACTTAATGTGCTAAGTCAAAGGATGATATTTAAGTGTGTGAGTGTCTTGCAACAAGGCTGTGATTTACAGCGTTAAGACCAAGACGTGCAAGATGAGCTCCACAGCCAAGCAAAGTGACAGTCAGCTGAAACTAAGTTTTGTGTGTGGTCTGACTTGCACTAATGGCATGCTTTTAAATTCTGGTATGGCGCACTGTGTCTAAAGTGGTGATATATGCACAGGCCCATGCCAGCTGGCTACACACACACACACATACACACACACTTGCACACACACTGAAGAAAGAATGAGATCAGATATCTATCAGCTGCACTCTGTCTCTGTGCTGACTGCCCTCAAGAACTTGCAGAAGATTCCTATCAGGGTCAGCTTCCTTTCTCTTGTTCTGTGAGCGACACACAGTGACTAACACACATGCACACACACAACACTAAAAAAGATCTGATATCAATGAGACCGTACACACAAGTATGTATGTGCTAGGGCCTCATGGATGTAGTCACATATGAAAGAACGCACGCACAGAAACTCCCCAACCCTCTAGCAGGCGGTAACAAAACTCCCCCTGGCCCAGAGATGTATTACTAGGTTATGTAAGCATATGTAAGCCCACCACAGTCTAACTTAACAGGACCTAAATTAAGCCACAGAAAAACACAAATACAGACACACACACAGAAACACACAGAGGGCATGTTTAGATTTGTTTCATGTTGTTTTCTCTCTAACATGACTTGATGAAAGTCAAGTAAAATATGATTTTTTTTCTGACCTTTAAGCTAGCATGCACAAAAAACATACATAGCACATACAAATGAGCCTTTTCCCATATACAGAACATGAACCTTTACATACCTTCACAAGGTATGAGGACAGAGATGCTCACATATCAACCTCAGGCACATACTGCATAAACAAGTGACCACAGTGTATATACAGACATCTTAGATAATAGCCTCTGCATACACAGATCTTACCTCATAAACACATATACTGCAGTCTGTGATAAAAGCTACATTTTATTTGTCAGACTCAACAAACCATAAGACTATTACCATAAGAGAGTTTGGAAACTTGACAACTGGCTTTTTGAAGTCTCAGATTTTCTCCTTATCTAATATTGAGTGAGAGAAAGCAAACCATTTTATGCATTCCTGGGTGATAGAAGCATGAGCATGAAAGAGGCTCAGGGTGGGGAAGGTTACAATAAAAATGTAATCCATCTCAGGCTGTCTCTTCTACACTGTTCTTCTCAATAACATAACCTGGAGGAGTGTGGTGAAGCCTGGACACGGTGTATAACTGCTGACTCCAGCTAACTTCTGACCACTTTAGAAACTTTCGAACACAGGAAGCTGAAGTGAAGTGAAGTGAAAGCTGCAATGTGCCCCCCTATCAGTCTAATCAGCTGTGTCACTTTTGTAAACAATACTATTTTCACTACAAATGCACTTATTGTGAAGAACAGGGCTGATACTGATACCAATGATTTTTGCATTCTTTTTCAAGTAAGCTAGGAGAGCTCATGTTAGGGATGGGTGATAAATTATTGTTTATGATTTATCGTCAGAAAAATCCTCCACGATAATCATTTGCCATCTCACTATAAATGCCATAAACGCAAGTTGATGACGTAAGCGCACAGCCGTAGCCCACACAGAGCCAAATAACAAACAAACAGGGCTGAAGATGGTGAAGACTGGGGCATAGACAAGTGCAATCAGGTATGCCTGACATCAGACAGTGGATCTGTTGCTGTTCATTCTGTGCAAAGAGAGTTTTGAATAAATGTTGAAAGTATTTTTAAATTTCAGGCTTGTAAGATGGCACTCGTTTTCTACATAACCTACTACTCAAACTTGTGGTAACGGTTATGGATTACAATGATAATGTTTTTTTATAGAGACTTTTATCGTTATCACTAGGCAAAACTTATCGTGATCATTTTTTGAGCCCATATCACCCATTCCTAGCTCGTGTGTTTAAATCATTGCCAGTCTTTCCTTGAAAGTCCCTTTAAAATGTCTTCAAATAAATAATAGTCTTCACACTGCATGGCACTGATCTTCCTCAGATACAGCTTGTTATAGCTTTCTGGGTATGGCAGATGAATTGCTGATGTGCTAATATCTGTCAACAGGGCTGTCCATGTTTGACTGATACATCAGACGGATGCTTAAAAAGAGATTTAACCCTAAAGTGTTGTCAAAAATATGGAAACAAGATATTGAGACTAAAGTAATTGTTTGTTGAATTTAGCAGTAAAAATGGTCATAAATCATGGGCTCTAACACTGTTTTCTTGGACTTCCGGAGCCAGACTAAAGTGGACAGAAGTAAACTTAACTCTAGGGTCGTAATGATCTGTGACTGTTTGCTTTAAAAAGGGGATAAAATGGTTTGTTCTTTAAAAAAAATAAAAAATAAATAAACCATCCGGTTTAGGAAATTTTAACCCTTTTGACCTTTTTCAGTCAGGTTAATTTGCTGAATTTGCTGGAAAAGTCCCTAATGTCTATGTTAGTATCAGTCAAATATTCAGTCTCATTATAAATAAATAAATGAACATATGAATAAATAAATAAATGAACATGAACATATCTATATGTTCATTTATTTATTTATAATGAGACTGAATATTTGACTGATATTTGACTGAAATATATATATATATATAGATATAGATATAGATATATACATATATGAAAAACTATGATAAAACCTATCTGCCCACATTTAATATCAAGACAAATACTATTTTTCTCTAAACATACCCCCTTTGTTCCCAGTGTTATTATATCAAACTGCACAACCTTATCTTTTTATTGCACACTGGCTGTAATTACATGGATAGCTTTTTAATTAGCTGATTTAATTAATCACTGGCAGAAGCTGTTTTCTCACTAGAGGCCCTTGGAGATCAGATACAGAGCCTCACTCATGGAGCTGTGTCTTGAAAAATCTACTATATGCGGCATACTGACAAACAACCCTGCTAACCTACAGTCTCTTGTCTCCTCCCCTTCTCCGTGCGTGCCAGGATGTACGTGCCTGATGTGAAAATCTGCTATCAGTCACTCAAACTCAGCAGCTGGGTTAAGTTACAGTCACCATCCTAACGCCGCCGACAGTCTGCACAGAGGCTTTCTGAATCACCAAAGATCAAGGCGGTGTTGAGTTGGCATCTCTCCTGATATTCCAGAAAGCAAAAGTGTGTACTCAGTGTTGTGTACCAAAGATAACCTACAGGATATGAAGGCATGCTAAATAAAGAGAGAGTATAATGACACACGGGGCAAAAAAAAGGAAAATAAGGGACAAGGACGGTCAGGAGATGAAGAAAAAGCGTCCTTGAAAATAGCGTATGTGTCATTAATGACTGTTTGATCCCCTGTGATGTTTGTGCGTGTGTCTCTGTCTCAGTCTGTGCTGGTATTATTAGTCCAACTATGAGGGTCACTTTCTCCTTGATACATGAATTACATAATGGAGGTTGACAGAGAACTATTACAAACTTGACACATGAGCACACGCTGTACTCATCCTGTCAAAAGCTAAACACTCCAGAGGACTTAAAGAGGCCCAGGCTGCTCAGTATTTCCTTTCGCCAAATGTTCTCCTTACGTGCTTTTCGTTTCATAACAAGTCAGTCTATGCAATATCATATATAGACATTAAATACAAGAGTCATAAGACACAGGTTCAGACTGAAATCTTCCAAAGACGCACGATTATGTTCAGAGAAAAAAAGGAACTGCTGAAGTTACACTGATTTAAATAAGTGCAGATAGTTGTCTGTGTCAGTTTACATGTTGTTTACATGAACCAAGTGTTTCAGCTTGACCTGTGACAGAGCAGCTAAATTTTTGAGCTTTTAAAGGAAACAGAAACACCTGCTTTACATTAGCCTGATCATTAAGAACTAAATGTTCAATAAAAATGTTTTGGTAACACTTTTTTTGATGCCTATCTCTATAACGCATTATAAATGTATAATGCATTACAATCATGTTATAGCACTGCATAACTATAGTTATAAACACAAATTAATGATTATAATGCAATAATCATAACAAATTATAAAGCATTTTATCATGACTGACAAAGTCAGGTATTATAATGTGTTATAACTGTTCACAACTCACTGACAATGCCCACATAGATAATGCAATGCAACTGTTGTTAACAGTCATAACACATTATAATACCTGACCTTGTAAGTAATCATAAAATGCTTTATAATGTGTTGTGATTATTGCTATAAAGCATTATGATCATTTATGAGTGTTTATAACTATAGTTATACAGTGCAATAACATGATAACGCATTATAGATATATTTATAATGCGTTATAGAGATAGGCGTCATATAAAGCGTTACCCATGTGTTTATATGGTTTCACACATGTTTAAGATAATTAGCATTGCACAGCAGCAGCTGAGCAAAAGCTGAGAAAAAAAATCATCTACTCGACTGTGAACACTCAAAGCTACAACTGCAAACTAAAACTGATCTCCACCGAGCGAGCGTTTAAACACGAAGCCACCTCAGATCTTCATCAGTGTCTACTCTCTTCTCATTTGACTCTTGTTCCTTTGTGCCCGTATATGGCTACAATGCACATCTGAGAAAGTATTTTGTGTGTCTCTCTTGTGTCTCCCTTCGCTTAAATTAAAACCAGCTGATGTGAAAAGCATGCAACTCAAAGATGACATCATTACTCCCTATCAATCTCTCTGCCTCTCTGAGTTTCTCTTTTGGAGCTTTTTCAGAGTTGTGATTGTTTATTCTCAAAGTCACTCACCAGTAGAGACACGGCCTCAAAGAGAAACTCTGGCCAGCTTGTGCATGCTTGTGTGCACACAGTGTGCGTTTCAGTCAGAGGAGAAAATGCAGGAAAGCAAACCCTGCTGCAGTGAAACATAATTACTGCCCTGCTTTGAATTCCAGCCTTTCACACTCATGTTAAACTGCAGAGCACATTTTTCACGGTCTCTGATTATGTCAATTGTTAGGCAGGCAACACACTTGTCAAATCAAGAGTAGCAGCATCGTACATCGTCAGCTCTTCCCGTTAGCCAAGTTCCCTCTTTCAACATGAAGGCCATCTTTTGACCATGATGTTTGAAGGAGCTGTTCAGGGTATTCAGGGGTTAAATCATTAAGCCTATCCACATAGTTCTCTGATTGGTATCTAGGCTTCTCAAGTGAGCTCACCCTGGCTTCAATCATGCTGTAAAACTCAGCTTGTGAGATATAGACTGACTGTGCAAGAGCGATGATGACTCACAGCCGCTTTAATAAAACAAGACCAATAACTTCAGGAGGATCACACCACAGATTTGTAAGATTTATAGACAATGAATGTTCATAACACGTGGATTCTTACTGAAATGATCTGAAGTTTTTCTTCACATTTTATAAAAATGCTTTATCTCACTTTTACCTCATTGAATCGTGCCACTAGGTCCTCCACAGCATTGCTTTGCTGAGCACTCTGGGTAGGCATGGCTGGCACTGACAGTGAGGCCTTGAGGTTTGGGTGGCGTTTGCTTTGACACTCAGGGCTTCCCAGATCTCGAGTGAGGAAACAGAGGTAGTCCAGTGGAAAGACCTGAAGACATTAAGTCTGCATCAATCTTTCTCCCTACTTTGAATTTTCAAACAAATCCTTAACTTGGACATGTTTGTGTTGATGTAAGTTTTGCTCACCCGTTTGTAGAGCTGCTGTTCTTGCTCTGTGAGGATACAAGCAATCTCCTCGGGGAACTGGACAAGGTGGCGCACATCTGCCAGCTCCTTACTGATCCCGCTGACGCTGGGAGGAAGAGAGCTGCTGCTGCTCATACCGTTAGCTAGCTGACGCTCTGGGAGGAAAGAAAAAGGGACGGAAAAGAAGACGAAGGATCATGAACTCTGTATCAATAATTAACACACGAAAGAGAAACATTATTTAACAAACAGGAAAAAGAGTTAGTAATTCACTAATATGATATTGAAGGACAACAGAGACTGCTGTTTCTGAAATAAATGGAAAAAAAAGGGCAACAGGAATCAGCGAGAGGAGGGATTACATTTGAAACATTAATCTACTCTGGTATTTACCTTTGACCATAAAAGTTTTAAATCTCAAAGAAACAGCGTCTCTCTTCCAGGATTAACCTAAATGTCTTAAGTCTTCTGAACCATCAATCTCTGCATACCGCAAACTCTCTTCCCCCTCGATCTGCAGCTAAGAGAAGCCTGCACACTTCAGCCTCTGCAAGCAGACTACATTGATCACCTGCCAGTTCCTGTGTTTGGATTCGAGTCAGATCAATTAGTCAAACTGCTTACACACAAACAAACCTGTCCTCGTCTTTGCTTATAAAGGACTTCTCGACAGTTTCTACTCTGGTGCTGGAGCTGCACATTCTCAGGATGAATGCCATGTAAACTATTGGGCACTTTTCCACTGCAGGAACTTTTTCCTGGAACAATCTGATGTGGTTTTTTTTAAGCGATTTTACCCACCTGTAAGATGGAGAAATGCTGAGAAATGTCTAAATTTACTACAGGCAATCTTGACCACTGATAAGTCCCTTCTTCTAAAGTTAAGTTCACATAAGATTAAGTTGCTGAGTCATCAAATGCAAGCCATGACACTGCACTTTGATGCAGATGCAGTATTTGTTTAGACAGGAGGGAGACACTTTAAATACAGTTACATGCTTTTGAAGAAAGTGTTTATTATTTTGCCCCTTTGGTCAGAATTCAACCAATACTTTCTTCCACGGGAGTCAATTTAGTGCGTAAAACCAGTGTTATGCAATGTTATGTTTACAAAACCAAGGAGGCGAAGAGATGTATATTATACCAAATAAATACCAGGTGTTAGACAGACTCCCTCTGCTTTCTATAAACTGTCTTAGCCCGACAACTCTTCCTCCTCTAGTCATACACACATTGTTAACAATAGTCTAGGAATACACACATATACACACACACTTAAATGATGTCCTTAGTAACCCTTGAGGTGTTCAGCAGGTAGCCATGACAACAGCAGTAACTGCGCTGTCGGAAAAAAATTGCTTATTTGCACAGTTTGATTTGTGGATCCAGCTTAACAGCTTCTATAAAGATGCCGTGTGTGTGTGTGTGCATTTGTGAGAGTGGTATTAAAAAGAAAGACCGTTAAATAAAAGACAGAGTGTACTTAAATGACAGATGACAATGTGAGACAAAAGAAAAAAGAAGAACAAGGACTGGACTGAAATTAACTAAAACATGAGATTAGGAAAAAGAAAGGTGGTTTTAGAAAGACAAGCAGGAAAAAAAGGAAAAAGGATTGGAGAAACTGAGGAGGAAAACGAGAGAGGAAGAAGGATGAGAGGAGAGGGTGAAGATAAGATAAAGAGAAATGAAAAGATAACTAGGACAAGTGGAAATTTTGTAGTTTAGATTTAGCAGCAGGTGTGAGGTCTCTATCACAGTTAGTGAGACAGTATAATCCATTAAAGCCTTTAAATTTCCAACAGAGGGACTGACCAAAGATTAGGAAGGTTAGTTCATTATAGAGCCATTTAGCACAAGCAGGACATGATGGAAAAACAGTTTCAGCTTTTAAACCCATGGTAAGAAGGTTTTCCATCAGTGGATTTCTGTGGGTCTCTACTGTTGTCATCTGTCAGACTCTCTTTTTTTATTTCATTTCACTGGTTTGAAATATTGGTGTAAAAGTAAACTTCAGTATGTCCATAAATTCAAATCACTGTAACAACACTGAGGCTAGATAATGACACTAAATTGAAAAACAACAAACATGAAAAATGGTTTCTTCATTTAAACCCAAAGTTTAAACCCCTTAAACATAGAACCGACGTCTTACAATCCCTACTCAGGGTCTGTTTTTACGTGGTAGCCTTCTGAAGTGGAAATAGAGACACTCTGAAATGAGTGATATGAATTTCATTACCTCAATCATTCATTTATTCACTCCTTAAACTGGCAGAGACAAAAAACTCTTAAGAGACTCAAAAGAATTTATTAAAAGCCAATGTGCATTAATGCAGAGGACGAGAGCCGTAACCATGGCGGTTGCTGCTGACAGTAATACTAAACCATTTTATTGGCAAAGCAGCTGGACTCAGGTGCAACTGACTGGTTGAAAATCGAATGCGTCTTTTATTTATTGTCAGTGATACTCTATACTTCTGTCTGTAAGCCTCACACAAACTGCACAATAATCAAAGATGACAAGAGAGGGCTGTGATAAATTAACGCTGGGACTGAGATCTTGGGTTGCTGCGATAAGTGTTTCTAATAAAAACTCTTTGGACCCATGAGATGAAGCCTAGTGACCTGTTACAGATAAGAAAAGCCGCAGTGTGAGAAACATCGATGAGCAATACTGCGCATGAGAGAGGGGACAACATGAACCTAGATCTAATTAACCATGAAGTGTCTGTGAATCTAATGCAGAAGTTTACTCATCTGTAACACTCCCTGTGTCTGTGAATGTGTTTAAATCTGAATGTGTGTTTGTGTGTGAGATGGATTCTCCTCTAAATGCATTTGTGGAAAGGTTCGACTGACTGAAAATCCTTTTTAAACGTTTCCAATATCTTTATGCATTAGGAAATACAAGAGTGTGGGTGTTTGTTTGTATGAAATATTCCAAAAATAGTGTATGTGTTGCATGGCTGGGTTTGTTGTATGTGATGTGCCATTTAAATCAAACCACTTTTGTTCTTTTTTTTTATCTACTGAAGTCCAAATGTACGGTATGCTGTTTTTATATACACACATATACATAACAGATTGGGATTTAAAAACTGACACTTCAAACCTTCTTCATAACAAGATCCAGGAAAGTATAGGCTGTTCAAACTACACCTGTGTTTGCAGACTGTCCCTTCTGAATCCAAAATCAATCCAAATCACAGCTCTTATTCCACCACTAACTTGGCACCAAATAGTAGCTAATAACTAGCATGAGCTATATTTCACATCATTAAAAGAGCATGATGATAAAACCCAGGTCTCTGTCTACAAACTTGCTGAATGAAAAAATAACAGCTTGTTTGCATTACATAATTTTCTATTCTGATAAATTTTAACTTTTGCATTGTGTTTTCTGCAAATGATAACCTTGTAACTGTGATTTATGGTGCACTCAGTGAAGGTGAGAAAAATGACACTACTTTGTATACTTGAATGCACAGAAACACTCAATGACGTGATCTGACGCCTTGTTGTGGTTTTCTGCTGAACCTCTGATCACATCTATAGTAAGTTTGTCACCACCACTTCATCCGTCATCACTCAGCAGATTAAGCAAGAAGACTGTGTGATGTATCTAACAGATACAGTGGCACTAATATCAAAAGCAACTCTTCAGGGGAGGTTTGCTCAATGTCAAAACCAGCCTAATAAAGTTTGATACTTTAATTACTTAAAGTCAATAGACAACTGTCTCCCTGCCAACACTGTACGGGCACTTGTGCGTGGAAAATCAATAACTACAGTATGTGTACCAAAGGAGAGGAACCTTGAGCACAGGCCACATCTTTCTTCATCCACCAAGTGCCTCCTGTACACTGGTCTCAGAGCTGATGACAACTTCCCTGCTGAAGTATGCGGGGCATCAAAAAACAGGTGCAGCACAAACAGCAACTACTGTCAACAAACCATGACTATTTGTTATTTATGAAACTTGTATTCCCATTGCTACTCAAAAATATCAACAGACTTTTTTTGCTTTCCCACACTGTAACTTTGAATCTGATCCTCCATGGCTAGTACATGAAGCTCTGACAAATGGTCCTAAAATCTGACAAATATGATATGCATTGTTCTTATTAATACACACAAATCAAAGATAGCAAAGGGTCACGTAAGCACCTGCAAATATGATCAATTAACAAACAAACAGGTGGGGCAGCAAATATAAACACACAAAAATATGTAACTCTCAAAACAGAGAAAAGATACACAGCAGTAGAAGAAGTAATAAACACCGATCAGTCTGACTGCTGAAAATCGTGAGTTATCGCAGGGAGTTTCCCTGTTGGATCAGATGTGAGCCCTGCTTGCACACACAGAAGCATGTGTGGAAAGTAAAACATTGAGAGTTGCCTGACCTTTACAGCATGAAGATAAAATTTAAAAAGAAGTAAAAGGCTTCAGGTAATGAATCAAGAGATAAACCTAAAGAAAATGCAGTCAAGCAAGAGTGAATTTAGAGGAAAGAGATACCTTCATGTGAGTCTGAGCTGTTCAAACCATAATGGCTCATTCCAATGCTTCCCTATGAGTCTAAACATACACACAACCCTGCGTGACATTCATTCTTAGGGTCAATTCAATGTGAAGCCACCTATGGACCCTGAAATTCTTGTGAGGTTGAAAGTATGGAGAGTGCACAACACAGGCATTTTTTAAGGTACTGCATTCCACATCTTTTAAGATGCCCAGTGGCAATATTATTGCTCATTTCAGGCTGTATGGTTTGGGTTGGGATGGGATGGGATGCAAAGCGACACCATGCAATACATTGCCACACCAAATGGCATGGCTCTATGAGATAATACAATATGATACGATACGATACGACATGACACGACACAATATGATATAATACGATACGATATAACCCAGTTATTTGAAGAGTCAAACCTAAAACCTTGAGCAGATACAAAAATGCTGGATTGAAGGAAACACATTGCAAAGTAAAAATCCAACACCAAAGACCTGCTATGAAATCTAAAAGATACAACTCACTGTAACAGTAAAACCACTTTGGCTCAACTTAGATGGTAAGGACAGAGACTCTTCCATGAACTTCACAATTTAAACTGACTCCGACTCAGTCACAACTAACCCAAACATAGTTTAGAAAACCTTAAAAGTGACCTCTTAAAATAAGTCCCTTTTTATTTTATTTTATTTTATTATTTTTTATAATCAAGACTGAATCTTATCACATTCAGAGTCCCTCATTACTATATTTACTAGCTGATTAGTACTCATTCACAATGACTGAAGAACCCTAGATTCCTCATATGCTTAAACTATGCTCCATTTATACTACAGGTACAGTCAGACAAAAATACTGATTCATAGGCAGTTCTTTTGAGTCAGCAAAAAAAAAAAGAAAGAAAGAAAGAAAGAAAACAGCAACAAAAAACATGCAACGGTTTAAAAGTGACATTTAACACACATTGAGGACACTTCAGGATGAAAATCTTCAACACACACACATCATAACTCACTTTTGCTCTACTCACTGATCAGCTTGTAGTCCATTCTGTGGGAGTGTTTCATGGTTGCTAGATACAGCTGGCTGCTCTACTTCCACACTGACAGCTCAGTGACCGAGGTACACTTGTCCACATTTGAGTCCGTCAAGTCCTGTCTCTACGGCAGCTGCTCTCTCTCTCTCTCTCTCTCTCTCTCTATCTCTCTCTGTTGTATGTCTCTCTCCCTCAATCCATTCCCTGTACAGCTCTCTCTTGAACCAGACTGTATCTCAGCCTGTTGCTTTTTCTCCTTCACCTGGCTCCTTTCTCTCTCCTTATCAGCAAACAATCCTTGCTCTCTCTCTCTCTCTCCCTCTCTCTCCTGGCCAAGTTAATGGCACTATTCCTCACTCCCCTCTTACTGTGTGTGTGTCTCCCTCTCCCTCTTTTGGTCTCCCGCCCACCCCTTACTGACACCATACATAGTTCACAGCCATGCGCTAGAGTTAGACCAGCAGACAGCGACTCTACTGCACGAAGACTCCCCATTGCTTATGTAGTCAGGCTACACAAGGCAAGGTGCTTCAAGGCTAAAGAAGCTAGTCGGTCAGCAAGTGAGTCTGTCTGCTAGTCTTTAACATCCTTATGATGAAAAATACATCAAACAGGTGGAAAAAAATATTTCTACTGATATTATGCAAGCTTAGGTTTTATGGGTGGAGGGGTGCATCTGGGGTACCACATGGTCAGCAGTATTGGTGGTCAATATCAATACTGACTTAATAAATATTGACCTTAAGGTGTTTTTAAAGTATTAATAGTTGAATTTGAAGTTCTATATTGGAGTCAGCACGCTGTATATTCAACCTCCAAGATTAAGGAGTTTGTTTTTGATAAGTTATGAAACTGGTACAGAGCAGGATGCCTCTATGATCTCAAATGCAAATAGGACAAGTGAGATAAAGTTGGATTTTATAGTGAACTAATACTGATACGAGGGGGTGAGGTGTCAGACCATGAAATCTATAGCACAGTAAAAATGAGCCATTTTTGTATATTTTCAGCAGGAAATATTCATGATGAAGATCATATCTGACTGATTTAAGAAAGCAGGATGACATTTGTCATCATAAAACCGCACTTTCACATGTAGGCTACAGAAAAATACCTGCAAAAACATGAAGTGTCACTTTGACTTCAGGGGTACCAGAATAAACACAAAAAGTTGCTTTAAGAAGGATGAAAACATGTTCAAAATATTGGTGGAAAAAACACTAACATCACAAGAAAGAAAGAAAGGACTACGACTTTTAAGCTTGAATGATGACTACCAATTACTGAACTGCCTGCTTCCTTTTCAGCAGTGGAGTAAATTGTGTTACAAAGGAAACAGGGTCAGGAAGAGCACTTAGACCACTCCCATATATAGTTCACATGAATAAGGCTGAATCCCAGAGGTCTCTAGAGGAGTTTTTTTCCCTTAAACTTAAATAACTGAGTCACTGTATACTTTGGCAGTAAATACAGCCGTAAGAATGAGTGTCTATTCTAAGAAGAATGACAACAACTTAAAATATCATTTTATCATAATTATGTCATCATATTTTCAGTGCTTGTTTAGTCATCTCCAGTTTTTTGTTAATGTTGTTTTTTTTTAATCTTTTTTTTTTCTTTTTTCTTTTTTAACCACAAGCTTTCCTTCATATGTCATCATACAGGTTTGTCACCACAGATTACACAACTAACCCCTCCACATGAATTTTTAAACAATGGCAATAACATAACAGAAATTAATTTAAAAAATAAATCAATGTGGCTCCTTTAACTGCTGTAACTTCTTATTAGTATTATCAAAAACTAATATGTGTATTTATTTTACCAGAGATTAAGGCTCTTAAATATTTAAATTAAAAAAAATAAACCTTATCACTCAAGCTGAACAAGTAGCTTCTTCTCCGATAGTGTTTAAGTCACCACAGAGAGGATCGATCATTAGAACTAGCTATCAATTTATATAGGTTAGGTACAATTTTACATACAAACAAAAAAGTTAGCTGAAAAACAATATATAGAGAATTTTAACTATCCATTAAATGATTTCTCATTACTGGGTTCTGTTAAAAAAAAAACAAGAAAAAAAAAACAAACAAACAGGTGGAACAATCAGAGACACACATCTGCGTGAAGTTAGGGATGTCCTGAAGCAACTAATTTAGCAGTTTTTAAACTGAAACATAAATTCAGACTGATGAGCCTAAATGTTAGAAATAATGAGAAAATCCTCATTTGAGTACAGTTTATTTAACATACCCAGATACATGCATGCTTCTCCACCTGGTGTGCACACACATTCACCCTTGACCTGTCCTACATCATTACCAGCTGACATTTCTTCCAACACCACTATTTGTCTGAATTGTTGTCAGTGTAGCCACTAAACACAAACCAGCCATACTGACCCAGACATGTGCCAGCTCAACCACTAAGAAATCCTTCATCTTTAAAATCTCCTCTCTGACGAGCCACTAAAACTGAATGATTGTTTTACTCCAGAGAGACACAAGTCATTCACCCTCACCCAGAAAATGCTTTGGTGTTGTTACAGTGGACATGGCACGAGAAGAAGGTCCTGAGACATTCCTCCTCTCAACGCTCACATTAAAACTCTAAGAATACACTAAGGTTGGCCAAGCGATTATCCTCGTAATCCTTAAAAGCATTTGGGCCAGAGGCAGTGTAAGAGTTTGCTAAGTTGTACCTCCAGCCCCAGTTCTGCTAGCACAACACTGAACCTAAAAATAATACCTTATTAGGACAGGAGAGGGATGATGATAACACACACAAGTACACAGTGTTCACAAAGGAAACCAAAAGCCCAGGTGATACTTGTAAATTTGACCTTCTGGCGCAATGTTAATATATGAAAACAAACTGCCAATTACAGTATCTTTATAATCAAGTGGTCCTTTCTCACTGTCTTAATGTGTGCTTTTAATAGCCTCCCTCAAAGTGTGGTGTACACAAACAGAGAGGATGATGTTTATGACACATGTAACGGAAACTATTTAAAATTATAAGTAACAACAGGTTTTGGGCTGGAAATGTATGGCTAGAACACACAAAAGCTCTTTTATGGAGATGGTGCAATGATGACCTTCACTATAGAAGAAGGTAGACCACTTCAGAAAATAGAGGCAGTACACTGCAGATTGCATCTTCTTGATGTTGCTTTTTAAGCCTATTTTATCAGATGCACACTATAAAATTTGTGCATAAGATAAGAAAAACAGGGGCTGAATTAAGACTTGAAAATAACCATAACAAGCCATTCCATTTCCAGGTGGAGCCTGCACCATAAACATTGCTATACAAATGGATGTGATCTGGACCTGCTGATTTGTGTGCATGTACAGTTTGTGTCAGAGAAAGCAGTGAGCACATCCTCTGTTTTGGACACCAACAGAACTATTATATCTAAAGCCATAAAACGATATCAGGAGACAAATATTCCCAGTGATCTCCAAATCCTCATATCTGTTTGAGCAAATACACAGATACACAACCACCAAATTAGGGTGCTGCTGCACGTCCCAGTGTGTTACAAAGTTCAACCACCTAATGAAAACTGCAAACTCCAGCAATCTGTAGAAATAATGCTTCCTTTTCATGGAAAGAAAAAAACTTCACCTTGGACTTTACACAGGATTTGACTGGTGGAGGGCACCATACCCTCTCTGCTGTTTCATGACCGATTTGTCAATGTATGCAGACAAAACCAGTAGTAGTGAGTAGTAGTGCAACCCATCTGGTAGGGGTAAGGAAAAAATCAATACAGCATAGTATTGCAATATTTTGTCTGGTGATACATCTTATATCGTCTCTTTTAACAAGAATTTATTTTTTAAATCAATTGCTAATATGAAGTCAAATCTATGACAATGGGAAAATAAAATCAAGTGTTTGTCCAGTGAGGGGACATCATAGAGCAGGAGAAAGTTAGTACAACAAATATATATAAGGTTTGCAAGATGTGCTACATGAAAATAAAAAGAAAGCATGAATAAGAAAAACATAAAGGAAAGACAAATGATAAATTAGCTCAAAATTTGAAAAAATTGTATGAATCCTTTATTGCAATACTCACTGTATTGCAAAATGTTAAAAATTGCAAAAATATCATAGCGTGGCCCAAGTATTGTTATAATACTGTATCATGGGGCCCCTATTATCTAGTGTGCATATTTCTAAAAGAGCAGGCAAGTTTTAAATGCTTTTAACAGCTGCCTTTGCAAGCATGTTCATTTTCAGTTGAATTAGCTTACAGAAGTTTGTATGGGAAAAAACTTGACTGCTAATGCCTGTGGCAAATAAAGGATGGATTTTAAAAAGATGGACGGTCCCTTGAATGATATCTGAGTAAAAACTATACTAGTACACAGAAAATCAAACATAAGATTGACTTTCCTCATCGTTCAGCTGAGTGAAACAATCCTCTATGAAGGACAATGACATAATCATGACTGAGGAAACAGACTGTGCCCGCCTGGCATCAATCAATAGAACAACTTACTAGGCTCCTAAAAAAACTGTTTTTACTCACATACCTGTTTTTCTTTTTTTTTCATTTCTACCAAATATTTTTAAACAGTATATCCGTCTGTTGTTATGGATAGATGAATGCCACTGTCCAGTTTATTAAATGTCAAATCAGCCAAATGCAAACTGGTGGTTTGTGTGAATGAAAGCCAGAGGTGATATGCAGATGAGAAACAGACCACTTCTTATAAACACAAAGTAACAATCTGGGTCTCAGTCTGAGCAGTAAATGTTGTGCAATATCTGGGTAGTTTTTGGCACAAGGCTACAGAGACAGAATGACTCGTGGAGTCTTTCATATGTGTGCGTGTGTGTGTGTGCGTGTGTGTGTGTCTGTGTCTGTGTGTGTGCGTGTATGTGTGACTGTGAAACCAGAGTCCTGCCAAGACTTCTGAGCTGCTATGTGTGCGCGTGTCTGGCTCTATTCTGTTTCCTGCAACACCCATTAGGACAGAACAAGGTGTCATGTTAAAGATATGTGCTGTGTGTGTGTTGAGTTTTTTGTCTCAGCCTTTGAATGTGAAGTTAAATGTTTAATTTGAATAAAAAACTACAAAAAAGTAGATGTTTGTCAAATATTTATGTGTGCTTTTTTCTGCCTCTGAAAGAGTTACATGTGAAAACTGGTATTTATCAAGCGAGACACAAAGAAACAAATCCCCTCTTGCATACAAGTGCATGCACTTGTGTAATCTTGCATGAAAGCATATGTGTGTGTTTGTATTTAGCTCTCCAGAGTCCTCCGGAAAATACATTTCAAGCTTTAAATAATAGCAAGACAAAAAGACACAAAATGAAAAATCATGTTCTTGATTGTCATTTATGGACCCTGCGTGTGCATGTGTGTATGTGTGTGTGTGTGCGCGTGTCTTCTGGGTCTTGAGGGAGACAGTCTGTCCCCTGGCTTTCTGCCTGTAGAATGAATGTCAGGCTCAGCTTACATTGAAGTCATACGTAACATCATTGTAGTGAAGGTGGACTGACAGTTACCAGCTGGGCGAGTGAAAGACCAGCTGATTGGTTGGATGATGAAGTCATGCTGAAAGTAAGAGAGTAAGAGAGAAAGGTCGCACCCTCTGTCTGCTTATTAAGAAAATGTGTTTTAAAATTCCCCTTAAAAGACACATTCATATATTCATGTAAAACTTCCTAGCTTTCCAGTGTGTTAAAGAGAGCATTATAAGAGGTTAGGACACAACCTGCTGTGTTTGAAGTCTCTGTTCTCGACTGGCTGTGAGGGGACCCTGTGGTGTCTGTGTCGGTGTTGTGTAAGTGAAAGTCTACCTAAAACGAGGAACGGAGTGGAGAGTGACAGAGATAAAGCGAGAGTGAAAAGATCGTATGAGGACAGTGGAAATAAAAAGAAACGTATAAAGGAAAGGGCAACCGCTGAGATCAACTACAGACGTGCTCCGACCGACCCGAAACCCGCTGTGGATAAGGAACCGTGTGGGAAAAGAGCTGAGAGTGAGGGAGGACAGTGAAGCAGTAAATCACAGGGGAACAGTGAGAACCTTTTCTTCTCAGAATCAAACAAATACAAGCTCAAACTCCTGCTCTGCCCCCCGTTGAATCCATTTTAATCCTACTAAGTATGATCATATGGAGCATTAGAGTGCTAAGAAGGCTAGAAGTGAAGTCTAGCATAGTATAACACTTACCTTTCAGCACGGCGTGTCCGTTGGGCCCTTGAGGCAGCGGGTAGGGCAGAGTGGAGCGGGCACCGAGAGCAGCTGTGGCCTCCAATAGAGCTCCTGTCAGTAATGAACACGCTGACGTCCTCTGGTCACAAGCACGATAAAGTCTAAGAAACAAAGTCACATAAGTCATATCGAATTAATATGTGAGTTTTCTGATCGCATTTCAAACTGGGAAAGTGAAAAACTTTAAGTCTCAAACACTAACGTCAGAATCCCAGCACAGATGTGAGAGTGGCCTAAAAAACTACTGGACCTAAACCATCTCTGATATGGTCTGTTCCAGTTCATCATCTTTGTTGGGACACCACCTTTAAACATCACTAAATCCAAAACCATCTTCTGTTGAGCATTCACTTTACTTGCCATCTTCACTTTTTGATTTTTCTTTATCTTTTTGAGTTGCACCTCTCCTCCTTTTTCCCATAATGCCATAAGTGACCACACAGAATTGACTATTTCTCACAGCTGTGTGATGGGTTGGTCACAGTGAGTTTTTTCCCTCTAGTTTCCATTGTTATTCATGTTTCTTTATTCATTTTCTAAATGTAATTATGAATTTTAAAGCAACTTTTTCTTCACCTGATGGACCAAAGACAAACGTGGCCACATATTAAATATGTGCAGAAAAACTATATCATACAAACCTCTGTGGATGAGAAGGGGGATGACTCAAGGTGCCGAGGCAGGGATTCAATTCCAGTCTCTCTGGGGGGATGCTGCGAGTGTACAATGACTTCCTGAGACACACATATCCACCGTGAGACAGCAAGAGCTTTTTGGCAGGATGGATCAGGTTAAGTTCCTCTCTATTCTGCACATGGTGGTTGACCTGTTAAGAATTAAAGATAGGTCGTCACTCATTTACAAAAGGCTTCTTATATTTTTAGAGATTTCAAGGTTTAAATTTTATGTCTGATGTAAAAATAAAAAACAATCAATGCAGTGTATGGATGTAATCACTCTTTTTAACCTCGTGTAGAATGACTGAGATTAAAGAGTTGTTTTAACCTTCATATTTTTATTCAACCTTTGAATCATAAGACACTGTCATTGACTTCTCTCCTGTGGTCATTATCGGGAGCTATCTCCTTTTTATCAACAAGAATTCAAAGCATGAAAAGAAGAGAAAAAACACCAAGCCACATAACAGGCAGGAAGTAAGGTGGGCAAAGGATCTGGGCGGATGACGGTCGAGCCAGAAAGACAGCTTTGTAGGCTCATAGAGGGGGAGAGGGAAATGAGATGTGTCACTAAAGAATCAAACATCTGACCTTGAAGAAAAGCCTCCTCCTCTTACTGTCACACTCTTCTTCTCGGAAACAGAATTTCTCGGATGTAAAAGGAAATACTTTTTCAAAACGGACTGACTTGTTCTACAGCCTTGGGTGAACCTGCTTTATGGGCTCTACTGGCATGACTTCCAGAGGAAAGCCATTAGGGAAACATTTTGCGGCACTGTAAGTGGGCACTAATGCTTTTAAGCTGGGCTCAATTTTGCAAAATAGGGCAAAATCAATACTGACGACAAAGAGAAATGAAAACACTTTCAGTTTGTGTATGAAAGTGCCAGGAAGGAGGTGCTAAAAGGCCATTAGACTCTTAAGTTTAGGGGTAAACTTTTGTAACAGGGCATGTGAACGACTGTGCACTGTCATTGAAAAAAACTGGTTTGTATTGGGCACTGGCTGTCAGTAAGATGGCATGAATACACACGTTAGTCCATGGCCAACTAGCTGTCTCACTGGGATGGGTTTCCTGCCCGGGTGTAGGCCTAGCTGTTGTCAGATCTGAGCCCATCCCGAGGGAGAACAAACATACCAGCTTGCACGTTCAGAGAGAGCCCAGCTAAGAAAGCCGGAGACACAAGAAAGAAAAACACACAAACAGAAAGTCTGACTAGCAGCGTCATTGTTATTTTTTTCTCCTTTATCTAGAAAATTCACTGACTCCACAGCATTATCAATCTGTACGTGTTCATGACAAAGATAATTTGAGTAGCTGCTGGATTGGTTGCAACTAATGGGGAATCAAAATGAGAGGACTCTGCTGAGTCAGCCATTGAGAAAAAAATGGATACAGCATAATGTCGCGATATTTTGTTTGGTGATAGACAAACATAAAGGAAAGACAAATGCAGAATCAGCTAGACAGTTGAAAAAATTTTTTATAAATCGCAATATTTTTTATCCCAATAATCATTGTATTGCAAAATGTTAAAAATGGCAATAATGTTGTATTGGGGCAACAAGCGATACCCACCCCTAATTGCACCCATTTCAGTATTCACTCTATATTTATATGGGCATGTTTTCTTTTTATTAAAGCCGATTAAGATCACAAAAAACACAAAATACCTGCAGGAATCATAGGTAAAGAAGTTTCTTTGCACTTCAATGTTGATTTCGAAACAAGTAAAGCATCAGGAGGATGACTAGTTTTATTTTTCTAGCTTAGTAAAAGGTGACAGAGTGTGGAGGGTAAAAACAATGCTAATTCATTTTCTACACGCTGATGAAAAGTCTGAAAGCGGTAACTAATGATCCAGAAAAAGCCGTGTGTAAATCTGTCTGTGTGCAGAAGTGTGTGACAGTGACTTCAAAGATAGGAATGTGGTGCTTCTTTGATGGACAAGGAGCAGCTGTCTTCACACACACACACACACACACAAACAAACAAACTCATCTTCACGTTTCAGACAAACAGCTGGACTCAAAGCCAAACACTTCTTCACAGTCGAAAAAAATAAAGTGAAGTATCTGGTGTCAAAAATTAAAAGACATTAAAACAGCTGTATCTTTAAAAACAGTAGAGCTGAGATGTTTCTGAGGATTTGAGCTAGAGAAGAAAGTTTGTCTGTGATACTTGGATACCTCTGAGTCTCAGGTTTCACAGATGTCCCAAGACAGCCCAAAATAAAAAATGATGGAGAGTAAATGTGATAGAAAATAGAAAAATGAAGGCACAAGGAAAGCGCCTGAGGAGAGACAATCAAGACTGAGAGGAGGAGGAAAAAGCTCTGTATCTGTTTTATAACCAAATAAAAACGACAGGTCAACTTATAATTATTCTCATATTAAAATTTTGAATTAAAAAAATGATGCCTCAGGGAGTTAATTATTTCATCTCAGCTCATACAGGTTCCTGTCATCGTTCTCTCTTGTCAGAGCCAAAGCGCAGATCTATAACTGTAAGAGTTAAAAGGCGTTCATACATCATTGTGTCTCATGTTACACTCGTGTACACTCTGTGTGAAAAGCTAATTAGTTTAAGCCCACTGAAGGGAAATTATAACTTCTTGGCAGCTGCACTGATAAACTCTGATGACAGACAGTGACAGTATCCTCCAAAAGATTTCTGTGATGCCTCATTAAGTAAGGCTATATTTCCGGTCACTGAAACAATAATAATCATGTCGCAGCAGACAGTGCACATGTCCAGACAGAAAAACAAAAACATACTCATCCTCATGTTGACTAGGTGGTTGTGTGAAGGGTTAAGTTTTAGACTGATTTAACCTCTGATTACATTATTTCTGTCAATGTCAAAGTCATATTTACAGACTTTATTTTTGCTAATCTGGAGGAGGACTTGTCATGATCTCTTGAAAGTTTGAGCATGAAATACTGCTGCCTGTTAACAACCACTCAAGGCAGACAGTCAAAGTTTCACTCTGACTATGTACAGCTGTTAGCGCTGGTATTTGTGAATTACAGCAGTTGATGGTTTTTGCAATAAGGGCAATTTTACCCCACGTGTCTGCTGCCTAATGACGGTTTAAATATGCACAAACATAACTAAAGGACTGACACCGTTTTTTTGCTCTGTAGCCCAGTTTGAGCTGCTTTGGACCTTTGAATGTTTGGTGAATCAGACGGTAGGGCCAGGCGATAAACCGAATATTTACAGATACTGAAATTTACAACAATAACCAACATCATTTTGACAAGACGCTGTCCTACGTCAGAGACTTGACTTCATCCCATCCAGTTCGTAACAAAGAGGGAAAGACAGGTGAGGAGATGGAGGATGGTTCAAAAGTTGAAACGGCTGGAGCGGCGACTGAAGTAGACAAAGTTAATGTAGGAGAGTTGAGCAGCTTGTGGAGTAGTTATCATCCATTTGTTGTTATCAAGGCGAACTGCTCAATATATCATGATATTGATTTGAGGCCGTATTGCCCAGCCCTATCAGACAGGTTTTTCTTTTCATTTTCACAGGTTTCCTGAACTCAAGATCACACAGTCCTTTTGTGAATCAGGTTAAGTGTGATGAGATGAGAATCTGGAAACACACTGAAGACTGTTTGTGACATTTTTGCAATAAAATAGTCAACTGATGAGATTTTTAGCTCTATAAAGATTTTTTTTCCCTCTTTGAGTTTGGGATCTTGGATTTTCGTGGAGGTAATTTTCGTGTAATTCTAACTGAATGTTACCATGCTTGGCACAGCTTCATGCCAAGTCTAAAGCTCTTTTCTTAAAACTTGTGCACAAAGAAAATCTCAAGTAGTTACCACTATGAGCTCCAAAGGGCAGACATTTATCCAAACGTCAACATTTTTAAATGCCACCAAGTTTTGCAATCAGGATTTAATAAGCTTCAGCTCAAACAAAGAGTTACAAGACTGATGAGCTTTTTTATAAAAGATTTATAACTTTTTTCAAAATACATACAGTACATACACCTATAACACACACATACACACACATATATATAACTTACAATCAGTCCACATCCCTGACAGTTATGAACGAGTTTCCTTTAAGTCCCATTAGCGTCCCACTGGGTCATTTCTTTGCCTGGCAACAGCCATTCTTGGAAGGGATTAGGAAGCAGCACTGTGGGGCACTGTGCAGATCTACTGAACTTTGAGCTGGAATGTACACTCACAAACACACACAGACTAAAATCCAGACATGCAAACGCACTCTGACTCATGCTGTTATGCATATCACAGTAGACACATACAAGTATGTTAGTGCGTGCAGGATGCTCGAAAGGCTGAAGCTGGTTCCCTGAAATCCAACTTCCAAACTCCTCGACCTCTGTACTTTGATGTCTGTGGCCCCCACACACACACATACACACACACACACATTTTCCCACACTGACACCATCTCCCTATACTGACACTCTCTTTCATTCACACACACACTCCTCTGCAATTACATAGGATTCTTGACAGAACTTAAAGGCTGACATTGCACGATGCAATGTAGCCCAGCTGTCTGTGAAATGCTGCCATAGCGTCTGTGTGTGTATGCGCGCGCACGTTTGGCGTGCGTGCGTGCATGCGTGTGTCTGTTTGTGTGCATGTGTGGGAGGTCATCTTTACATTAGATCTTTTATTATTTCCATGATGGCACACACAAGGCTTCAAAGTTTAACTTGGTACTGCCTTTGTGCAAATAAACACAAAATACTCACATGGGATTTGAGGAATAACTGCAGCAGTACTCTGCCACCCGCAACATTCTCTCCCACGAAGTCGACATTCGAGGACTTAAAAAACAACATTTCAACTGAATTCTACTTTAAGACATATCATGGAGGGTTGAGGTTAGCCTGGGTCACCAGGAGGTCACTGTTAAAAGGACTCTGTTATTCTGGTCTGCGCTCTCTGAGCTGAGGTCGTCACAGAAACGTCAGACTTAACCCTTGCTTCACTGAGTAAGTTGATCATGAATATCTTTTCTTGATTTTGCCTCTTAAACATTTATGGTCCTGTTAATCTGCAAAACTGGACCGGACGGGATTTTTGCCACAGTGATGACAGGCAGAGATGAAATGTGGTAGATCCCTTTCTGATTCTTGCCTTTTTTGCTGAAAATTAGCGTTTTGACCGCTCAGGATCAAGAATGATTAAACAGAGCCAGGTAAAAACTCACATTACAATCCTCTTCAATCCCATTAAATAAGGTCTTTTGCAGAAGCTATAATAACAGATTTAGAATAATTCATGTGCTTTCTTTAATCAAAAGCAAAAGAAGAAGTGTTGGTTGCTCATTTTAAGCTATTTTCTTGCTGGTCACATAAAGAGAAAATACTTCCTATTATTTAAAATAATTTAGAAGATATTATAGATAGAGGGTAAAGGATGCATATTGTGCTGCATTGCAATTGTACTCAGAAGTTGGAATTTCCAAGCTCCAAGTCAGAAATTGATCTGGAACGCCCCCCCCGAAGTCGGATTTATGACTCGGAAAGTCGGACGATCGTCACCAACCCCGAACTGAAGACAATATCATAATCCAAGATGGCAGCGTAGTGCATCAATAGTAAAGAGTAATGGTGAAAGCTCTCGTAATATATTATTTATTACCACTTCTGTTTTCTTTTTGTGAAGTTAAATAAGTGGAATATGTTGTACTGCCCAACTTCTAAGTGTGAACACAGTGCTATGGTGTTTGTAAAAGTAAAATACTGTGCGTTGTTTACAACTGGTATAGCTAACTTCAACTAACAACCGCTGGCGGCAGCTAACAACAACTGACAACAGCTAACGACAGCTGACAATTGTAAACAACAGTTAACAACAGTTAACAACAGCTAACGGTAGGCGTCCATCTTGGTTTTCCGTCTTGTTTACCGGAACGCCGTCAGTTCAGGTGTAATGTCATTCCGAGCTCTGACATCTGTCTTCAGAGAAAATTGGAACGCAGGATTAGTTCACCTGGCAGGGGAGCAGCTCTATTCACAGACTTTTATTTAAATCAAATCAAACACAGAAAAAATGAAATTTAATATGAAGTCTTTATGTTTACATTGCGACAACATATTATCAGGGTTCCCATCATTTATAACAATCTGCTCACTGTAAAATGTCCCCATTCAAATCAATTTGACATTCAATAATTAGCCTGTTCCTTATCTTGCACATTTTCAGTGAATTATCAAACTACAAATAATCATGGCAGGGAAATATAAACTCAGTAAACTTCACTTGCACTTATCCACACTGCTTGGCTCCATCTTATAGTCCTACAAATCACAGAAAGAATTTAGGTCGAGAAAGCCCCGTTTTCTTAAAACCCTTAATACCTGTTGAACTATGTGTTCAAGTGGAGCTCAAAAATCTCACAAAGCTTTTTGGTAGGAAATTAGAAAACGTGGACCCTGATCAAAACAGGGCTAATGTGTTCAAGGTTGACAGCTGCAAGATAATTGAAAATTAAAGGGCAAGGCATGTTCAGCAGCTCTGGTATCTCAGCACCCAGATATTCTCAACCTCACCCATCCTAGACAGAGCAAACCCAACCAAAAGCCAAACACACTCAGAGATGCCAAACAAAAACATGTCCTACTTCCCAGACCGAACATGTAAAAAAAAAGAATTGCTTAGAATGTTTTCGATGCCAAAACACCAGCCTCTTTATCCTAGCAACTTCAAAACCTGGTTTACATCACCAAAAAAAACACACAAAAAAAACAGAGTCTCTGCACCGTCCTGCACTGCTCTGACCTTTTCTCCCGTCTCTGTCTTCACAAGGTAATGTTTGCTTTCCTGCAGTCTGGACTGTCTCACTGCTCTGCTCATTATCGCACATGTGCTCGTCATTGGCAACAGGCCTTTGTAAAGTTTTATACACTCAGATACAAATTTCCTCAATTTTTTTGTATCTATGCAGGCTGTAGATACTGACTGTGAACTCTGGTTGTGATGAACGTCTGAACATGTGTATGTGAATATACTGTATATGTGTGTAGGTGGTCCATGCACTCCAAACTCAGTGATCAATCTTCAAAAAAGTCAGTGCTGCTTAGACTAGGGGAGCCTGAAGTCTGAGTATCTGTTTTGAACAGGCACTTTAGAGTGTGTACTCGGGGATGAAATACACACAGACACTTTGGCATATTGAGATCATAATCCAGGTAAAATTAAGGTTGTTTAGCAAACACTTTGACATTCAGCACATTTAAAAATTAGAGCACCTTCTGGATAAATGCAAACCCTACTGAGGCTTCCAAATGTCTGATACTTTGATATTTTTTAGTGCACCAAAGGAATGAAAAAGAAGGAGCTACACTTAAAAGAGAGAACAAGCCAGTAAAATGGGTAAGGAAGTTATTTTCTGATCATTTTACAACATTTATAAACACAGATGTCCATACAAATGTGTAGGAAGATGCTGAATTTTGTTTCCTGCTAAAGTCAAAGTTCTCAAACCTGAAGTGTCTCTTTGCTGTATCAATAGGATTTCATTCTTTATATCACAGTTATGTATAAAATTCCGGTGTGATAACTCTAAACCCTAGAAAAACACTACTTTGATCTGTATATTACTGATATTTAGTAAGTGATTTTCTGTGCATTGTCTCAGTTACGAGTCTGATTAGGGGTATCCCGATATAATATTTATATCGGATTTCAGTCCGATAGCAGCAAAAAAATAACAAATATCAGATTATATCAGCCTGCATCCAAAATCTCTGATATCAGCACTCAGATACAAGCAGTCCATTTCAGACTCCACTCTGGCACCTCTATCTAGCAGCACCTGAATCCAGCATGCACAACCCACATAATCACAGTAACATTGTGTACTAAGGTACTAACAAAGTACCAAGGAGTAGAAGTGATGTAGAAGTGATGACACGTACATCAGCCTAACTGACATCAATAAAATAAAACTAGAGTAAACTGCCATTGAGTTTTAACTTCAATAACCTTAAATTAATTTAACATAGTCCATAACAATTAGTTATTTCATTATCCTGTACATTGAAGTCATATTCTCCCATCAAATTGCTAACCAGATCTCTCTGTATGTCTCTGAGCCCTTCAGTCTCCTAGGTTGCTCTGGACTGATGGCTGCTGCAGACCTGCTTGACTTCAGCCGCATCGTCTATGATTGTCCGCCTCAGGCCCTGAGCTCCTTCTTCTCTTGGGTTCCTCTGGACTGTTACTGCAGACATGAACATCAGCCTCACTCACATTAATAACATAAAACTAAAGCTGACTACTATTAGGCCTGCTGACTATAATCACATTAAATTGATTTAACATAGTTCATAATTACTCATATCCTAACCCTGTAAACTGAATTCATTTTGTTTCACCATTACATGAGTTGTTGTTGTTGTTGCTGTTGTTTTAATGTTGCTGCTGTCCTCTGTCCCTCTCTCGCTCTCTCTCCTTCCCTCTATCTTGTTCTCTCTCTCTCCCCCTGCCCTCTCTCCACCTCTCTCTCTCTCTCTCTCTCTCTCTCTCTCTCTCTATCTCTTTGTATTCCTCCCCAACCGACGTGTGGCAGTATTTTTCGTTCAAATCCGAAAAGATGTTGCAGCTGAGTGCAAAACTTATCATGCACAAGTTTGTGCAATAACGGATCAATATCAGTATTGGCCGATACTAAAGGCTACAATATATTGTTTTGTAGGTTAAAAAAAAAGTTGTATCCTGACACCCCTAAGTCTCATGGTCTCAGTTTTGTCTTCATGAGGGATCTAAATTGTCAACCTCAGATCTGGTAGACAGTAGGTATTGACAGTGGATCAAACGTACTGATGTGCACAAGAACTGTGCCGAAAAACAAGAATGGAAATATTCCTGGACATCTAAATGTAAAAGAAAAAGTCACAACATGATGTCTGAACATCCTTTTCTTATTTTCTTTTTTTTTATCTCTCTCTCTCAGCTTCTTCAAGCATGTTCAATCTCTTTACTTTTAGCAGAATTCCGTCATTGCACAAAACATAGCTGAGAAATAAGCTAGGAAAAAGCCCTCTTGTGTGACTCACGACTTGTATCAGGCCTTAGAGGATTATGATGCTGACATTTCTGGGATCGTGTGACACAGTAGGTTATATATCATGTGAGTGTCAAAAGTTTGAAGTCTTTTGGAGACCTTTTATTTTTTTTAAATGGGGCAACATTTTCTCAAGTCACTGCCTAAAAAATGACCTAAATTAAAAACATGGAACAGTATTTAACATGAAATATGACTCAACAAAGTTAAGATGAGCCAAACAGCTCTCAGAAGAATTCTTCTCTCTTGATCACAGTAAGAAAAAAAATATGAGGTGTGGTCTGGTGACAGTGCATGATTCGATTCAGCCAATTATGAAATGTTTGCCCTGTAGAGTTAAATTCAGCATTATGTTCATTTTCAGTGTTAAAAACTGTGTTATCAATATGGTGCCCTGTCTGGAACAATCCGTACAAACCAGCTCTAGTTTTTCTTGTGAAAGGAAATCTTAAGATCCAAAAATGATGCTGAGGAGGAAGAATGGAAAAAATGGACATCAACAAGGTTTGAAGAGGGTTTAAAACAGGATAGGAAATTCGACAGAAATATGGGGAAAAGGAAAGGGGAATAAAACATAAGAGGAAGGACGAGAAAAGCCATCAAAAATGAAAGCAGTGGAGCAGGAAAACAAAAAAAGGAGGTAAACAGAGAAAAACTCAGGGGAGTACAACAGAGGAAACGGAGAGCGAGGCCAAGGGTGACTTGAATCATAATCTACTGTTGAATTTCACAAGGAGCTGTTTCACCAAAGATCCAAGAGCTTGGCCCAGCTCCAGCACCCTGCCTCACACCTTTAACAAGCTTAAGGCATTGCTGTGTGAACCTCTTGTGCGCATGTCTAATATTGAATTGGACAGCAGTAGAAAACATTCAATCTACTGAGTCTGGTTTAAATATTCAACAATGTAAAAGAGGAAGAAAGACAGAAAAGTTAGGCAGCAAAACAACAAAGATGAAGAAGAAATGTGCAGGTTTTTATGCTGACCATTTAAGAGAAAAGAACTGCAAAGAACAGAGAAATAGAAAGTGCAGCAGAGAAGACTTGTCTACAGGAAAGGGCTCACTGATCCAATTTCACAGAGTGATTACAGAGGAGAAAGGCTACGACAAGTTGTGCTTAGTATTAATATAAAGATCCCTCTAATTTAGCAGAAAAGACACTGTGTCCTTCATGGTGCTCTTGAAAACTTGACTTCATAAATCAAAAGGTACAGTATAACTGCATCAGTCTTTATTTTATATTGACCTAGTATTCATATCTTTTGTAACTACTCATGAGAACATACTCAAAAGCTGCACCAAAACAAATCAGAGGATGATGGCAATAAAACAGATTTATTTGGTAAGCAGTCCCTTCAGGATTTTGCATGCTTTTAAAGGGATTTTTGCAGCCTTATATGCCTGTTATGGCATTTTGAGGCTACCCTAAGAAACTAAGACAAACACTGTACTGAAGCAAATCATTTTTAATCTGCTTTTTGTCAAAATTTCACATAAAACGTTTAAAGATTGAATGAAACTAAAGTTAATTGCTTAGCGATACAAAGTTCTTAAAGTTTGTACCTTTCTATCTACCATCCAACCTCTGTTATAAGTTTAATATTTATTTTCAGTATCTCATTGTACAATCACTTACACGTATTTATAACAGAGCCTTTTATTGGTGAAATATTTGGGACAGAGCCCCTGATTGGCCAGTTTTCTTTTTTTTTCTTTTTTTTTTTTTCTCAACACAAGGCACCAGGAAGTGGTTAAAAAGGATAAATAACGAGACGGTTGGTAGAGCAGGAGCTTCAGTGTACAGACACTCAAGTCCTTGTCCCCCTAAACCTGACAGTATGTGGTGCAGTTGGATGTCACCCTTTCCTGACTCTTGTTCTCTCGCTCTAAGCTGTCCTATCAATCAAAAATCAATTGACCAAAGGCAGAAAAAGACCAGCATATAATTTTAAAAAAAGAAGGAAATGTGCAGAAAAGTAGCAAAAAATGGTCAAAATTACAAGATTAAGAAAAGGTGAAAGGACTGGTTGAGCTTGCTCAAATTCACTGAATTATAATTTCCAGGGGGGATCTGGATAAGTGAATCTGGGTTAACTTCCTGAAACCTTGAGTGGAAAATAAAGCATGTGCCTCCGTATTTTCTTTGCAGAAATAACTATTTATTTTGACTTTATTTGCAAAGAGGGTTTAGACATGGACTGGTTTGTCTGTCTACTGGTTTCATATTTACTTCAAGCTCTGTCTTATGAAAACACTGAATCAGGACACAGGCAGACAGCAAGAGAAGTGTAACAGAGATGAAAAGTTCCACAGACAAAAAAACAGGGGTCATCTCGAGGGCCAAAACAACCTGGAACCCATTACCCAGAGCACCCAGTGGGACCCCTCTACGCCCCCCACTTACAGTTCTCATGATGTCATACTACAGCGAGCTGTTACAGTACACTCTCCTACACAACAGCACACATAACAGCCCTGGTGAGACAGTCGGAGATAAGCTTGATGAAGTTTTTCTTTTTCTTTTGTTGTTTGTCTCTTAAGAGAAATGGAGAGAAATATAGTCAGACGGATTTAAAAGTAGCTTTGGCAGGATTGGTTTCATTTTGTGCTTTACATTTTGAGCTGATTTAGGACACGAGATGGTATGATTTCTTATCCATCTTATACGCTAATATGTCATAAGCTTTACTCATGCTGCTACCACTGCTACCACTCCTGAACTTTTATCTCCATCCAGCTACTTCTCCTCATCTTTACTGTGTAAAAGACATTCAGCTTTGTAAGACTCACCGGGCTAAAATGTAAGTCCTCAAGTGTAGTTCCTTCTAGCCACATACCACAATGAATGAAAAGATGCTTGAAATCTTCCTCTGAAGTACAGCAAGAATTTGTAGTAAACAGTTTACTTACTGCAGCGCAGAAAAAGCAGATTTATTGGAGAGAAGGGGAGGAAAAAAAAAACAAGGTCCAATCCCTCTTAGTCTGTGTACACTTACAAAAATGAGTGAGAAGGCTTGGGTGAGAGAAAGCAGGAGAGAGAGAGAGCGAGAGAGAAAGTGTGTGAGAGAGAGTGAGTGAGAGAGAGAGAGAGAGAGAGAAAAGAGAGAGAGAGATGCATCATTAGAGCAAGCCTGCAACAAGGAGAAGAGAGAGAGAGAGAGGAGAGTAGGGGAGAAGACAGAATCAGATGGTACCCCCATATTAGGTTAAAAGGCAACCAGCCCATAACAACCCAGCAGCAAGAAGTGAGATATGATCAGCTAGTGAGCGCACTTTAAACACACAAAGACTGAGGAGGCACTAGTACACAAGATTTCAATCGATCCTCCTCTGGAAACCTGTCTAAACAATGTCCAACACAACTCAAAAAAGACACGCGTTCAGATTCAGAACCTGTAAATCAACTGACAAAGACGCCCTTGCTTAAACCAACAGCAGTCTAACATAATGCAAAAAAAAATGAAATTCCAACTAAAGACAATTCATTATGAATCATTTGGAATTTCCTGTCTTATCTTATCTTCATTCTGGTTGTGACTTAAAGTAAAGAAGGCTATTTAAAAAAAACGTCTTTTTATTTAGTACCAGATCACTTGTGCATCTTTTTTTAATTAAGGAAATAGTACAAACCCTTTTACCAACTGGCTTCATTAAACAGTGTAGTCACCTGCTACAGAATGCTTTGGAAGAAAATCAAATTGTTATCCACATGGATATGGAGTTAAGCCATGGGGCAAATGATATATAATGAAGTAGTTTCTCCTCAAGTTTCTGTGATGGTTGAAAACTACACCCAAACAAAGATTTTGTGGCATGACTGAAAGCACAGGAAAAAGCAAAGTAGTAGACTTTGAGGTGGTTTTGTTTCATCAGACTATAATCACCAGATCTGAGATTCTCAACTTTGATACAATTCCAATAACAGCTATAAGCATCTTAAATTACAGGATACGGTGTCAATATTTTTAAAAAAAATGTTGCTTTTGTTTATAAATGTTTGTCGAAATTGTGATTTTTAAAGTTGCCTTGAGAACTTCCCGTTTGCATCTATTTTGGTGCCCCCTATAGAATAAAAAAAACCCTGACTACTCAGGCAATCTTCTCCAGCATAATCACAAGAAGTGTTTTCTGAAGAGAGATGTCCTGCTGTTTTCTTTTTACATCTATCTCTCATTAGCCATGAAAATACAGGCTGTTCTTGGGACAACCTTGTTTATGGTAATGATTACAGGCACTGAAATGACCATATCAAAGTAATCAGTTTTGGGGGTTGTATTTAGAAATCTATATTAATTTTATTCTCTTTAGTCACCTGCTAAAAACTCCTCACAGGGGCTTTGAACACCAAACTGTTCTGAAGCATACCTACAGAATGATGTCAGATATATATGGGCCAAAACAGAGATAACTAGGAGATAATCGTCTTAAGACTTACATGATGAAAAATTGCCAACATCAGCTCTGAAGTCATTAGACTTTTAAAAGTATCTTTCAATCACAACATCCTCTGATTCACATATCATGTTTTCAAAATGTACTTTATATCAATTGTTGCCTAAAATCCAAGATTCAAACAAAATGAAAAAGGGTCTCTCCCTGTTGCTCTTTCCTGGGTCTGATGAAGTCTAATTTAATCTAAATCACCTTTAAGGTGTCATAATATAATAACAACAACTGTGTTCCAGCTCCGCTCTTCATGCAGGCAGGTGAAGCAGCAGGACGTTAAACCAATAGAGACCAAGGTGTGACCACTTGATTCTTGTTATTAGCTTTGCTCTGGCTGCTGTTTCTATGCCAACCTCTAATTAAAGGCCACTGTTGCAGTTTCTCTGTTGAAGCAACTTTCCTCAGTGAAGCTTCAAGCACTTGCTGAAAAACGGACTTAATATTTTCATTTAAAACACACATTTTACCTTTTTCTGATAACAAACCATGCAGTCGATGGATAATGGGCCAATTATGAATACCAATTACAATAATAATGGTCAAAAACTTCATAAAACTGACATGGTGATCTCCTAACACATCTTCATGGTGAGAAACTGTAGACTTTTACAAACTTTTCCATTTAAATGTTCAACGCCACGGTAATGTCTTCTCTAATCAGTAATTGCAACATTACCAAACACATAAAAGCATTTAATCACAACAGCCACACGCCTAAATGAATGCAGTATGCTCTATTGAATCCGCTTAATCAAGAGGAGGAAAAATAATCTGCTCATGCACGGTTAACATCAAAGCAGTTTCCAGAACAAAGGAACAGCTGGCCCACGCTCAGTCTTTGCTTTGCAATACTTTGATCAATACCCGGATAATGAGAGAGGCCTCCTGAGCCAGCGACCAGGGGTCACAGTCATGTCCTATTCTGCATTTATTACATTAATTGCATCTAAAGAGCTCAGAGTCCCACAATCGATACTAATTAGGACAAAGACACTGCATGATGTGGTGAAGTCTTGTTCAATGCCCACTCTCAACATTTCTCTATTAACCCTAGAGTGGTTTTCACCGAGCAGAGTGTATTTTCTACCACAGAGTCTATCTGTAACAACAAAGCTGCAGGACAATAACAGATATACGATTCATTTCAAAAAGTGTGGCGCCCTCTGGTGGATATCGCAATAAGCAATGCTTTTTTTTTTTTTTTTTTTTTTAAGAGAAAAAAAAAAAAAGAAAATTAGGAACCCCTAAATAAAAATTACAGGCAACTGGTAACTAACCATCTTTGTGCAACACACAAATAACAAGGATGACTAGTCAAACACATGCAAATCTGGTGAAATGCCTCTGAAATATGCAGACAGATAACAAGCATGAAGATTAAAAAGCAGCAAGAAGAACAGCTTGTATGCTGAACACACTATCCAGTTTCTTAATAAAACAACAATCATGACTCACAAACTAGAGGTATTCTAAAATCTGACTTTGTTTTGAGCATAAAAATATCATCCCCACTAGATGGCACCAAAGGCTGACTAACATTGCACCAGCTCTTATCCACAGTCATGGGTCAAATGACTTCATATCTATAATGCCATCTTGATGCATGTTTGTCAAATGAGCCCAACAAGGTGAGTTTTCTTGACTAAAGATGACTTCCATAATCAAATCATCAGAAACTTTCGCGCTGCTTTTTGCAATGCATTTGAACATTGCCTGACTGTCTACTTGGGTCTTACACTGCACTGCATCCTGTGTGCTTGAGGGTTTAATTTTGGCTGCATCCCCTCCATCTGACCTCCTAAAATATGAAGTCGAAGTGTTAGGAAGGGTAGGCGCAGAGCTATTTTTACATCAATTGTGTTATTCTTCGAATGCAACAATTATAGCATGACCCAGGGCTGGTGCGTGCTCTCATCTAATCCGATTTTAGGAGAACTGTTGCATAATATCCGTGAAATGTTCTTTTTTTTTATGTACTAAATCAGTGTGTTACTGTGTGTTACATTTTACATGATGCATTTTTACTTGTCTTGAAGTGTGCATGAAAAATGTGATGCATGATGCGGGAGTTCAACCATGGTGCTGTGAGCAGAGATGCATTATCACATAGGGTCAATGAAACTGGGAGAAGTGAAGAGAGCAGAGGTTTAAAGACTAAGTCAATCATTATGACAAAGTTCGAGTCTGTGTGCTTGGTTTCATTTCTTATACTGTATGTGTTCCATAACCAGGAAAGTTCACTATAGTTCATGTCCTGCATCTGGATTGAAGCCTGCACTATAACAGAAGTCATCAGCCTCATGGGACGATGGACAACTTTTATAGTGCAACCAAGGGACAGTGAGAAACAACTTCCAGCTAAGACTTGCTTTTCCATGTGCTGCTTTTATTTGTAGCTGTGATGCAATGTGATAAGATACACTTAAAATTTCCCAATGGGGATAATAAAGTGTTTCGTATTGCATTGTATCATATCGTATCGTATCGTATCATATTGTATAGTATCGTATCGCAATAAGACTGTTCACAAATAAAAGGCTGCTGTAGATAATCAGACAAGTGCCAAATATAGGGCTGAATTCCTGCCCCTTAATATCTGCCCCATTCCCTTCGGTACAAATCTCTTTTTTTGCATAGAATCTGTAAATACAGATTAATTTCCACATATTATCACATTTTTAGCAGGAGTGGAGTGTGTGGTTCTGCCAACTGCATTTACCTCAGGGGTCAGATTTCTCCACTGTTTGTTTTTTGTGTTTTTGTGTCGTGTTTATGTGACCCATAGTTCAACAACCTCAGCTCTGGGTCCCCGTAGGGACATTTTTTGAGTTTTAGGATGAGCACAATTTTCCCACAACATCACAGGGATGTGAGAGGCCTAAGCCAACCCACAAAAACACACACACATTTCAACCCCATGAGGTGGAAACTCACCCACATGCAGTTTTGACACCCTTGTGTCACCCCACGAAGACAAACACATGGAATGTTTGCTTGAACACAAAACAACGCAGAGGTCACATGTGCTCCTGTGTGACGGGTTTATAGGCAGGGATGGAGCTGTGAACAAAGTCTCCAAAATACACCATCTGCAGGGAGGTCACATTGTTCAAGATACTGTCATTGAGAAAACAGAACTCCTTCGAAAGGCATGCTTGATATCTACTGTCCTTCCAGTGTTCTGAGTAAGTAGACATCTGACAAAACAAGAATGTGTTCAGCACACACAAACACACACAAACACGCAGACTAATCTCAGGCTAAGCCACAACACCCAGCTGGGTTAGTAGAGTGGCCTGCTCGGCACATTCCTTTGTAGTGGCAAAACTCACAGCGAGAACATTAGAGTGATAGACAGAAGGTTAAATGAGTGTGACATACATGGAGAGTGACTGTTTATGTAAAGGGGGGTCTGTGTGTGTGTGTGGCTTCCTAAGTGTGTACAAGGATGGGGTTCATCAGTCATTTTTCAGATTCTGAATTAAAATTAAAACCAAATTTTTAATCCTTTAAGTCTCTTGTTAAACACGTTTTAATCATTTATTCTTCCTTTCTTGAAAAAAGGCATTAAGTCATTTTCATATTTATCTTGTTTACATTTTAAGTTCATGTTTGTTTTTCAGCTGTGTCTGAATAGGGGACACAAGTTATTAGATATTTAGAAAGGCACACTTGAATACAGTCCAAGTTAAAAGCAGTAGTCTGAATATATCTCTTGACTGACATAAAACCCAAGCACTAAGTCCTTATGGTAAAAATGTCAATTGACATCATTAAGAACTCTAACCTGTTTTTAAATAATAGAAACGTATTAAACGTTTTAATCATAGAAACATTTTAAGTCAAAGCTTTCCAGGATGTTACCAGTTTGATTTATATATGTTTTATCAGATAATCATAAGACAGCCAAAGAGCCTCACATGACATCCTGGTGTGCGAATACTTAAAAAGGTACACTGGCACATCATGTACAATTTCAGTGACGCAACTCAAAGTTGATTTATAAAGTTGACACTTGGATAAATAAATAAAAAAAGAGTCATGATGTTCATTCACATGCTTTGCTGATTACAAGTGTGTGTCAAAAACTAGGATGGTGTGTTGCACTGTTGCCCAACAATTCACAATTCACTTGGCAAAAAAGTACATGCCATGCACTGCCAGTATTTACACCCTGGCTTCATCTTCATCTGTCTTCTGTTTTTTTTACACTTTTGGCTCAAAGTTGTTTTTCCATTGTTTTTAACGACACAGCAAGCAGCTAGTTGTGCAAACAAAGAGTTTGTGTATGGTACTTTTATTTTTTTTACATTCTCCAAAAACACAGTTAAAACAAATTTTCTGATTCACCTAAGAAATGAAAAGCCACTCCATTAACATCAGCACATACCTGGGAAGCAATAAAATGCAAAGGCAAAATATAGCATGGAAGCGTATCTTTGCTGGTCAGTTTATCTTTAAAGCACCAGCTGAAACTAACTGCCACTGTTAAGATGTGTTTGCTAAAGTTATTACCTGAGCTCCAGAATAACTGGTCTTAAAGGTATATGACCCTTTTTACAGGCACTGATGTTGACCTAGCAAACAGCTAGATTAGAAAATTGCATTCGACAGCACAAACAGGGATGAGTTTAACAACAAGTCCCATATGTGCCTGACTGGATTTTAATATTATTGTCTTGTTTGCTGAGAGCCAAGAGGAGACAGCTCCAACAGGCACCTCCATATTGCAGCACAGGTCACAAATAGATATTAACTTTTTGAAGCCTGTTTCACAGTTATCTATTTATAAATTCATTTATTGGACGGGAATAGAGTGAACTTTGAACACTGGAATAAAAATACATGAGCTTAACATGCCTTTGTTATATCAACCATTTTCATTTATATGTCTTGCGTACAGTTAAGACAGTTATTGGGCCAACATAATATACTGTATACCTTATATCCATCACAGGCCCATGAACTGAAAAGAACCTCTTCTGCTGCATGTTTGACTTTGTGATATCAGCAAATATAATTCATAAGCGCTGACGTCATTTTCTGATGAAATTAATCTCCTGATCAACACACCTAATCCAAGGCAAAAGGCACGCGACTCTGCCTAAGTCAAAGGATAAACAGCTGTCAAAAATATCCGTGTTTAAATAGTCAAGCCTGCACATTTCCAAGCAGCATATCAGAAGAATACATTTAGAAATCACTTTCCAGTTTCGAGTAGACACACTGAGGGAAACTGGAAAGCACACAGCGTCCCCGGAGACAAGGATGTATTCTCGTCCCTCTAGACTATTTTGCATCCCTGGTTGTGGGAAGACAACTTATTCACTAGCATCCGTCCATCAGCCCAACGCCCACTCAGTCTAAAATGTGTAAAAGTGTTGGTGTATTGGCATGCTTCTGCTCGCCTATGTGTGTGTACTTGTGTGTGTGTAATGAAGTGCATGGTCACTTACCACTTAGTCCGACATCAATTTGGGTTAAATGAAAGGACTCAGCAGGGCTGTAATTGTAAGTCCCCACAAAGTGAAACAATAAAAAGCTTCAGGCTTTAGAGACTGTTTGATCCCAGTGCCAGGTGTGTGTATGTGTGTGTGTGTGTGTGTGTGTGTGTATGCGTCAGCCTGTCGCTGTTAAGCAAGCACAAAGTAATGAAACACTTCCTTGTTTTGTGTGTTGAACTTCCCAGACAGTTAGTGGTACAACAGATGAAAAAGAGACTGTAGGTAGGATTGTCAGCGCTTCTAAAGTGTCAGTGTCACAGACACTGACACTTTATTTACAGCTTTAGCTTTTGGTTTCTTTTTGAGGAATTCTCATCACTGTTAAGGTGAACAGACACTATGTAGAGCGGGAAATGTGTGATTTAATGTGATCCCTTTGGTTTGAACATTGTGACTTCTGGTGAAATATCGCCTAATTAGCAATATATCTGTCATATAAAGTCCCGCAAGAAAAAAAACAAAACAAGGATACTGATTTAAAGATTAAAAACAAACTCTTACTCTCCCCTTTTTACACTTAATCTTCTCTTTTCACATTTTTCATTAAAAACATCTAATAGCTTTTGCTACTTTACTGCATAACTCTTGAGAGAATGCAAAGTCCTTTCTTCTTCTCATCATGTTCATTTTCCATTGCAGCCTCCTTTAAAAATGTATATGAAATGCAACTTCTTTGTGTTTTCTCTCTCCTGTGCCTTATTCCCCCTCCACCGCCTTCTTTCTAACTTTTCCATCATGTGAGATTTTCTTCTTTTTCTCCCTCTTTCTCTCCCAGTGTGTTACTCTTTCTCCGTCTCTCTCCCTCTTGCTGCCCTGCTCCAGTCCCTCCTTCACATAATCCTGTGTTCTTTGGCTCGCTTCATTAGTTGTAGCAATAAACACGCAGGGCAACAGGATACTTCCAGAAAAGCCCTCCATAAGATTACTGTAGAGTCAGGCTTGCACGCACACATATAGAGACCCTGTGTGTTTTAAAGTGTGTTTGTTTAGAAAGGAGATGGTTTTTTTTTAGAATTTTAACAATTTTGTTCATGTTTTTGCATCTTGAGAAACTAGTGTTCTGAACTTATGGAAGTACATATGCATGATCTGATTCAAACATACATTCAGACTGGATATCTATCAATTGTGCATCAATAATGCAACAATTTACTCTGCACTGTTAGATTTTTATGTTTCCATATGCAATAGGGTTTTTAATAGAGCAGAAATTTACATAAAATAGGAGTGTTTCTTTTTGCCAGCATGTTTCTACTCCATGCCTCCCCTTTATTCACAGTGGGACTTGTTCCTACTTTTTTACGGCTTTTCATGATCTTGATGACAACTCCTTAAGCCCAACTTATTCACCGCTGCTCAGTGTTTCTTTGACTTTCTCTGGTGACCCCTCACAGGAGCCGCTCAGATGGTGTTTTGACAAGGAAAGTGCGAGCAACCCCCACATTTTTTTCAATAGGCTCATTATTTCAGTGTCTCTGCTTGGACTTAACTCTGCCCGTTTTTCTACAACCACAAAGGACTCATAAAAAACCCTTTGGCAAGGTCAGAAACCGCACTGCAGCAGCAGTATGCACATGGATACAAGTGTGTGAGTTTTTATGACAGGAGTGCGCAACGCTAGTTCTCCGTATGTGACAAATTCAAGAGAGGGCTTAGCTCTGTTGTGGTTATGCAAGACGCAATAAAATAAAAAATACAAATATATGCAAAAAACGGTGAATGTCCGGTCAAAGGGCTGGTGATGTAGATAAAACCTTGAACATCCTTAGAAAGTAGCACTTACATGAAAGACAACAAACCAAGGCAAATAAGCAGGGTTTAAAAAACCAATGACATTAAATGGAAGATGAAGTTAGGCATAGCTATGTTTTAAAATATGTAAATACAGAATATTAAAATGAAAGAGCAAGAAGGAAAGAAAGACCAGACAGAAGGATAACAGCAAAGAAGGAGAAACAGGAAAATACAAAAAGAAAATCAAACATTAAAAAGAGGGAGATTGTGAAAAACTGGAAATCTAGTATTAGTTTAGTTTATTAGCAAAGTTTATGAAGCAACATGTCACCCCACCCTTTATTTTTATAGACAACATTGAATTTTTCCCATTTTTCACACATATTGGGATTTTTTGTCCATGATAATCATTTGTTTAATAGGATCAGATATCAGCCCTAATATATGTATATATATATATGATATATATATATATATATATATATATATATATATATATATATATATATATATATATGTATATATGATTATTTAATTTTATATTATGTGTAATACCGATATGCGCAAAGTGATGTCGGTTATTGTTGTAAGTTTCCATATCTATAAATTTTCGGTTTATCGCCCAGCCCTAATGGGTCGCATCAGTGTTCATGACACAGCCCATATTTAAGACAAAAATAAAGATAATAAAAGTGTGTCTTATACTCAGGGCGTTATTATCACGCTAATATAAAAGAAGCCATCCCTCATTCCTCTGTAGACCTGACTCAAAATAAAAAAATCTGTGATGTGGAGAAAGTAAAACACAATGTGGCTCTGATCTTGAATCCATTATCTATGTTGTCTGGATCAAATAGTTGGCTATTAAATTTACATTTAAATAAATGTGCAGCGAGATGCTCGTCTGAATTAATTGTGTCTGCATTGATTCCTGGTTCTCTGTGTTTGTGTGTTCAGAGTTTCAACAGGAAATGGTGGGATAAATTAACAAAAAAACTACTTGACAGCATCCTGGCATGGTGGTGGTGTTAGTCCAAACCCTTCACAGATCCATCTCATTTTCACCCCTCCCAGACTCAAAAGCCGATTACTAATGGAAAAAAATGCCCTTAATCAAAAGGTCAAACTGAGACTGCTGCAGTTGCTTGTATAGAGCAGCTCCTGAGTCAAGGTTTGTAAAACCACAATCTCTCTCTGTCTTATTTGATAAAGGCACAGCAAATGACTGGATTTCTGAATTTCTCTCTCAGTCTGCTCCTTTACTCTCTACAGTTCCCATGGCTGTAACTTTACCGCAGATGCCAACTCTGCTCAGTCCATTTACACATGCACACACACACACATATGCAGGCACACACTCTCACAGAAGGCTCAGTCATTCGGTCTGTCAGTAATATTGGGAGCAGAGCTCACAGAATATAAATCATTTTTCCGCAGCAGGGGCCTACTCTCAACAAAGAGCCAGTGTCCAAGTGTTTTTTGTACTGTGTGTTGGTCTATTAACATATTCCTTGAACAAATTATTCTTCTTTCATGCAAAATAAGCTTCACATTTCAACCAAAACAGAAGCAAGCACCAGCCAGGAACAATATTTCTCCACTGAAACAAGAATCAATCAAGTCAGAAACACTTATGCGCCACTGCAGTTACTGGTACTGCATATTTCACTGGTGTTGCAAAGAGAAGAGGTATTACTATATGGTAAAGCTACACACAAACCCATGGCTTTACCATAAGTGGAAACTACACGTCATTTTTATGCCTCAAAGAATAAGTACCCTACAGCTCATGGCAAAGCATCAGCGATGTAGGACTATAAACACCATGGAGATTAAAAGTTCCCACTACAAGGAATTTCCTAAACTCATGAAAAGGCAACCTCAATAACCCTTGGCTTGAAATGATGATGGGAAACATTTAATTGTGCAGATTAACAACTGCAGACTTCTGTGAAATCCTGTTAAGATACACTGATAAAGTTAGCCCAAGCAGGAAAGACAAAGCCCCTGTGGAAATACCCTGAATCTACTCCCTACAGCACATTTCTGAAACTCACAAAATGAATCACAAACCAAAAGTCTGTGTGTCTATTCTCTTACCTGTTGTAGTTTATCGCCAACAAAACACAGCATCCCTCTGCAGACTCTGACCTCCTCTCTCACTCTGCGTGTGAAGGTGGGCCATAAGTTTGTCTTGCTGGGTTGTATCATCATGGGGTGAACAACTAATTCCCAGACCTCCTCTGGGATGCATCCCGATGGCAGCGCCCTGACAATCGCTCTGGTTCCTGTGCACACCGACTTGGTCACCTTATGAGAATGAAACAGGGAAGTATTTCAACATATCTAATGATACAAAGCACAATTTATCTTTAGTCGAACAAAAAAAAGGAGAAAGGAAAAAAAGCCAAACCTTCTGATTATTCTTGAAGAAACGCCTCACGAGGACTGTGGAACGTTCAATGCGGTTCCTATCAAACTCTGGGTCACCCAAAAGACCATCCCCATCCTCGTCCTCACTGCTGCCCCCGCTGCCAGTCCTGGACCCCTCTGAGGACAACCTGCCATCATTCCCCATAGTGGCTGTCATGTTCTCTAGAGATGCTCGTCGCCTAAACAGTTTCTCCAGAGAGCATTTGTTGACTCTGGGCCTTCCGTTAAGCCTCTCTAAACTTAAATAGCCATCGTGAAGGTGGTGGCGTCTGGTGTGTCCGTTTAGGTGATGCTGGCGGTGACTGGTCAGAGGGGAACCACAGGGGGAGGATGTCAAAGAGCTGGGTTCACTGACTGTACTGCACAGAGAAGAATGGCAGGGGGATGCCTAGAAGAGAAGACAGAGATTAGAAGTCCAATGAGACAATATAAACACTGTGATAGGGCTAGGGGATAAACTGAAAATTTATTGATATGGAAATTTATGACAATGACGGACATCATTTTGCCGATATCAGTATATTCGGTGTCAAATAAATAAATAAATCAAAGTTGGTTTTGGATGTGTGTAGGCAGGCTATGGTCTCATGTCCCTTTAAGACGCTATTCTATGTCAGACATGTGACTCCACCGATCTTGTCCTTAACAAAGAGGGGTGACAGATGAGGAGATGGTTCAAAAGTTGTAGCGGCTGGAGCAGTGGCTGAAGTAGACAAAGTTAATGTGGAAGAGGTTGAGCAGCTTGTGGAGTGGTTATCGTTCATTATCGTTCGTTATCGTTTATTGAGGTGAACTACTCAATATATCGTGAGGCCATATCGCCCAGCCCTACACTGTGATGAAGACAGCATTAGCAGCTTTATGTATTCATTTCCCAGTTGTGTTCAATACTTGATCCTGACCGGTTCATTCCCACATCAGGTATTTCTCAGTAGCAGATTGCTGTCATGATTGTCAGACTACTGCTACAAATGCAGACCAACTCGAATCAAATGAATCACAGAAAGAAGTCAATTTAACATCAGCTCGTTCAAGGTGACAAAAAAAGAAAAAAGAAGAAACCAGTGCTAGAAAACTAGAGAGGGGCAAAGAAATAAAAAGCTGAATGAGAGAGAAATCTAAAAGAGCAAAACACTTAAGTTGCAGCCAACCAGGGCTTTCAGCATCCTGCTGTTATACCTTTTGCAAAGTCAGCATTGACACTGGCATGCTACTCCGGCGGATGTGTCGTCGCTTAGATTGAGATGGGCTGAGATGGGGACTGTGGACAGGGCTGGAGTTTGAGTTCAGGCTGGATCTGAGGTTGTTGTTACAGTAGATATTTGGACTCCTCTTTAAGCTTGACATGTTACAGGAGCAGTGGGCGCTCCCGGCCCTGTTTCTGTCTGTATCCACACCCTCTGTGGAGACGTCAGGTCGGCACATAGATCCCTCTGAACCTTTCCCAGGTATGGTGGGAGCCGTGTTAGTCATTCCTTCAGTTCTCTTGCCAGACAGCTGCTCTGGATTAAGTTCCTCTGCTTTCTTTGACAGTTTTGATCCATAATCCAAAAACTTGTACTCCTCATCCAAAATCGTGTCCTTCCCACTGTCATATGACAGCTTCCTATATAAGAGGAGAGAGGGGCTGCTCCGCTGTTTGGAACTCCATGATTGGTCAGAGTATCTTCGTACCTCCTGGCTGTCCTTTGCATTCTTGGCCTCTCTGTTTGATTTGATCCCAGAGGATGGAGGTGATGCACATTGCTCAGGAACAGCAGCACTGACCTCAGCCTGATTTTCATCAGTAGCCATCGCGTCTCCCTGGAGCATCTCGCCTTATTTTGTTTTCCTGCACATGAGAAATAAATATGAGTGTTTTTATCACAAATAATCAGAATAGATTTACAACCCGATGAATGTCACAATTTATCTCAAGTCCTCAATTTCTCTAAAGCCCATCATTAGTAAAAAATACATTTCCCTTGAAAACTTCACTCCGTATGTTTCAGAGGCCATCGTCTATCTTCATTAGTGGCTCCAAAGAGCAGGAAGGGGATAATGAAATTTGCAGAGGAAATGCAATTTGCTGACTTCAAAAGCGATATATTTTGTAATTTAATAGCATTGAGATGTTTGTGAGTCAGCTAGTCTTGATGATTGTTAATAATACTGAATTCATTTCACCTTAGAAGAAGCCTGTTTCCATCACCCTTTATGATATTTGAAATATTTCTACTTCTTTTAAAAGCAGCTTTGACTCATGGTGACATTCATTATAACATTACTACTTTAACCATTAATAACCTACAAGCACGGTTATTTATGTATTTTAATTCAGTTAGAAATACTTACTGATGCAACGAGAGGAATCGACTTCAAGTCATGCTACACAACAGACCCGAGCTTCTTCTCTCTCACTTTCTGTGTGCCATGGTGGTCAAAGGACTTGAGCTGTGGCAGATGATGACTTCAGCTCCCGAACAGTGTGCACTGTGTGTTTTCAGAGTGTGTTGTGGAAACAGAAGCTTGTGCAGCTGTACAAACCGCCTGATAGAGAACCCACGGAGGTGACCCTGGAGGACTGAGGAATTTCCTTGATAGTACGGTTCACAGTCACAGCATACAAGGCTGAGTGTGTGTCAGTGAGCAACAGCTCCCATTGGTCCTGATCTGTGTTCGGTCCATGGTTTTCCACTTTAAAGTCTACATGAGACAAATCAAAACAGAGAGAGGACAAAAATCAGACCAACATTATTATTTTACTTTTTATGTCATAAATAATTTACATTCATTAAAAATCAACTTATATGCCTTTAACTAACGCTCAAAGATATAAGACTGTTAAAAGTTCAAGACTACATACAGTAGCTTGAGAAAAAATTGGAAAAAGAAACTGAAAGACAAATGATATGGCCTCCACATTTATCAAGCTTTCCTCTTAACTCCTACAGTGCCCTCCTCTTTCATCACATTTGCTTGCTTATCTAAAACTATTCAACTACATCAACCACACCAAGTGTGAGTTATTGTGACTGGAACAACAAATGCTGAATTTTATGCTGAAAGGAAAATTCTGAGAAGAAAACAAAGAACTCATTATAGAAACGAGTGAAAACTCACTGGTGCAGTAGAAAAAAAGGATAGTCATTGACTCAGCGTTTGGAAAAGAAGTGACTCAGCTTGACTCTTGAAGTCTTCTGTAATATTTTGTCTTGTAAGCTGAAATTGTTCAGATAAGGAGGAGTTTCATTTATTTCGAAACCTCAAGCCATCTCAATGCTACACTTCTGCGGTAACCATTAATAATGACCTGCTATGTAATATAAAAACAGATCCAGTACCAAGCTACATCTGTTATTTAACATCAACTTGCAGTTTTGGAATAATAAGAAAAACTCTGTTAGATTTGTGTAATGCTGCAATTATTTCAAAAATGAAAGAAATGTTGTGATTTTATTTTAAGATTTTAAAATAGACAAACCACTTATCACCTTATCTTTATCACATCTACTTAAGCTAGTATACCTGCAGATTCAGAGAAGAAGACCTAATTGGGCACAAGAAATCACTTATTGGTAGGGGTGTCCCGGTACAACTTTTTTACTTCCGATACAATACCGATATTGTAGCCTTCAGTATCGGCTGATACCGATATTGATCCAATATTGGCACAAACTTATGCATGACAAGTTTTGCACTCAGCCTCAATGTCTTTTTTGGACTTAAATGAAAAAATACTGCCACACAGCCGACGTCACTCTTACTCCTTGCTACTTTGTTAGTACCTTAGTATATTCTGTTGTTGTGATCATGTGGGCTCTGCATGCTGGATCCGGGCACTGCTACATAGAGGTGCCTGAGTGGAGTCTGGAATGGACTGCTTGTACTGGAGTGCTGATATTGGAGATTTTAGATGCAGGCCAATATAATCTGATATTTGTTTTTTGGCTAATATTGGACCGATACCTGATATCAATATAGTATCGGGACAGCCCTACTTACTGGACAAACTATAATTTGTTATTACTGTCAAACACACATGAAAGAGTTGGCTTACTAAAATGACCCTTACTTTTTCAAACTTTTAAAATCACAGATCCTGACTCAGCCTCAGTTGTTTTCAACACAGAAAACTAGTGCATTTGCTAACATAGTGAATCTTAATAGAGACCAAGTAACAGATAACATGTACTGAGCAGTAAATGCAGTAAAAACAAAACACTCATGCAAAAAAAAATTGAAATTCAAGAATCTTCTCTATGTAGGTTAAAGCACATCTTCCTACTATAAAGTTAAAATGCTGTAAGTATCAGCCTCTCAGTCTCCCCTTCTGGTTGGTGTATAAATCAGAGCTGAACAGACAGTAGTCAGGCACCCTGCTTGCATGAAATACATCCATAACACACACACAGTCACCCACAGCATGTAGGATTATGAATTGTGTGGTTACGGTATTATCACGATGGCCAGCACAGGGATGAATTAATCTGACACACTACTGCCTGAAGCCCATGTAATTAGAGTGACCGAAGTCCTCAATTTCCTGCCAAAATGTGTGGGCAATAGTTGGACTGTGACTTTAGCCCCAGAGGGAGGACTGGCTCCAAGTTTAGTATGTGTGAGTGAAAGAGGGAAAGAAGTAAAAGTAAGGAGGTTTTTATATCAAGGTGTTTGTGCTTGATGTCTGAGCTTGAATTATAAAGTGAGGGCCTCACTGAAGGAGATGAAATTGACCTCTGCTGCAATCATTACCTCAATCAAATTAATTCTACCTCTTTATGCAACCAGCATGGCAATCTTAAAGCCTAAGAGTGTGGGTTAATATAACACAACTGTGTCTCTCATAACAGGCTGACTCTAGGTTGGTGGGATTTGCCCATTTGACAAATAATGCGAAGTTATATCACAAGTCTTGTTAACAAACTAATCTGACTCATGCAAAAAGTGATGTCAAGAAAAAAAAGGACTTGATAATAGATTAGTGCTAGAGTTGAACATTCATTTGCAAAAAAATAACAAGAAAAAAATCAAAATGAAGGTCTGTTGGAGGGGTCACAGCTTCAGCTCCAAATATGAGCCCTGGCCCTCGGTCTTGTGATATCATTTCCAATTAAAACAAACTTCACAGTATAGATCAGGATCACAAATGTAACCTCCTTGATATCTCTCAGACATCAGAGTTACACCTGCACATTTCTCAATCCACATCTCTAAAATTCCTCATTATCACTCAGTGGAACCATGGATTTTAAGCTGAGTTGGAAGTTTCGTTTGTATTCCCCACAAACTGTTGATAAGTGCTAGTGTGAACTTTTTCAGGGCACTGACCGAAAGCTTAATCAAATAACCCTTACTGGTAGGACATAAAAACCGCCCTGCTTGATTTCTGCAAATTTTTTTCAGAGCCAGAACTTGCTCTACATCTACAATGGATCTCTGAAAACCAGCTATATCTAGCGCCTAACCAGAGGAAAGTTTTGTACATAAAACAGGCCACCATAAATCAAAGACATGGCTATTGTTTCCGAAGTAATGTTGAAACAGAATAAATTATCAGCGCTGCCAAAAACTTCCAAACTTCCAAGGAAGTAATAGTGAAAAGAATCATGGAGTAAGAAAGTGAAGATTACTCAGAGTTTTATAGTTTGAAATTGGCCTTTGCATCAACAATACAGCTGATAAGAATTAAATGTTGGCAAAACTGTTAGTTAATAGTGGGAAAATATAGCTTAAAATTAAATCAAACCATGCCCTACAATTGGAAATATAATACTCAGCGCTCAAAGAGAAAGGGAAGCTAATAGCTTTACAGGAGAGTCAAAATAGCCTGGTGAACTGGTTACTTGGGATGTAAGTTTACCGAATTCAGTAAGTTGCAATCTTCCTATGAAATTGAATTAAAAACTCCCCAGTAAGATGTTTACTTTTATCTTATATTTTCTGAAATTAATGCCAAAGTAAAAAAAAAAACCCACAGAAATAACTTGCTTCTGTCTCATACAAAATGTAAGAAGGACCCTTGTTTGTTAATTTTCATGTTAATATGAAAGTTCTTAGCAGCTGTCATATGAAATATCAAGGAAGTTTTCAGAAACTCATGATCTTAACAAAAAGTGATCAGCAATCATACCTGATAACATTTTTAGAGTCCTCTGTGTAGGACTCTTCTGAGAGCCCACCCCAAGCCATAACAGGTTGATCTCACCTGCTTGTGACAGAGCAAACTAACAGGTCTAACCAGACGTAGGCCGACAACATGCAAAATGTTGATATGTGACACAGAACTATAACGAAAGCCTCACCTTCAAAGTTTGGTTACAGTTTTACTAAGTTCATGTGTGTTCCCTTTAAATTGATAGTAACAAATAATACTGTATGATGAGCGCCAAATTTCTGTGAACCTGTGTGTGCAAGCCTTTATTCTTGATACCTGAAATCAACTTTGGTATGTCTCTGATTCTGTTATGAAAAACAGATTACCAGACAGGCCGCAGGCAAGTCAAAGCAACAACTTTTAATTTGGAGGACCAATTTGAATTAGAAATGTACTGAAACTAAACATGCAAAGATATAATTAACAGTAACTGATCTCTATTTAGCAGCCTTGGGTGTGTTTATCATGTGTCACCTCAGCTTGCGTCACAACTGTAAAGATATTTGCAGTCAAATTAAGGCCGGTGTTACCTGAGGCCAAAAACTGACATTTGACACATGTAAAGGATGAACCTGCTTAGCAAAGGGTCAGGAGGGCGGGACTGAAATAACATTTATTTTTTTACCCCAACCAAGGAGTTCCCTGCTATAGCTTTAAATCCTGGAGCCACGTGCCCGCAGGCAAGATTCACAGCTGTGCTTGCCATCAAGCTAATTTAAAAACACCCTACAATTAGCATCAGGATAACATTTCTACACTGTGGTTACTGAAAATGGCAGCATGTGGACTGATATAGCTGTGCTCCAGAACACTTGATCCCAGGACCAAACCAAAAGAAAAATTGACTTTGAGCAGCTGGTAAACTCGAAGAGTTCAAAGTAAGATTTGTTATCAGATAAACCGTGACCCTGGCAGGGGGGAAGCAAATGGCTTGTCCAGACTAAACCTTAGCCTCGGGCAGAAATCACAGACACATGCATATAACACACACACATGCACCGACACACCCATAGATGGGTAAACCAGGTCACACAGAAATGCACTGACCAAGAAAACCCTCAATCACTTCTACTTGGCTTGTTGTATTATTTACAATACTGTCCAAAACATTATGCTCATGCTCCCAACCGTCTGTTTTTGAAATGATCTGAAGTGGTATAAAACCCAAGCACTGAAAATAATTTCATTAAAATACTCACAGCAAGGCAGGTAAATTCCTGTGAAAGAGAGGTTGCTCAATGTGTGAAACGTAGCGTTAGTCTGTGATTCTCTTTTTGTGATTGAGAGAGACACAGACTGACAGGAGGGATGAGCCCTCCACATTCAGTCAGCAGGTTCAGCAGCCAATCAGAACGTGTTCTTGAAGTTTGGGCATAACTTTTCGATAAAAGCTTCACCTCATCTGACACTTGTCTTGCAGCACCATAAAAACCCTGAAGTGACACACGCAAAGAAACATTTGAGGATGGTTTCGGTCTGAAAAGAACATAACATATCTTATGTCCACATTGGTGTAAAAAAAAAAAAAAAAAAAACTTTAAAGTTTAACAGGATGTCTATGGGAGATTAAATTTTATGAATGCACACGTTATCAAACACCACTTGACACAGGACCAGAGTCTGTGGGTAAAATCTGTCAAATTGCAAAATCAGTATTTCAACTTCCTTGCAAGTGTAAATCTGTTTGCCTGTAATGCATTCCTCTGATCAGATAGTTTTATGTAAACACAGCCTACACAAAACTTAATTTTTACTTTCTAGATAAAAATACTGCCAAATGGGGCTGGAAAATTAATGGTGTTTCAATACTGATTACAACTGTCTGTTGCACTCATTTTGTTTGATGCAGTGACTGTTGCACACCTTCCTTTTCTTCCTTTACTGAGCACTACGCTAATAATCACTGAACTAAAGCTAGAGGTGGACTGCTGCATCTTCAGCATGTTGTGCTATATCAGTACAAACTATCATGCATGGTGGAGAGAGAAGGTTAAGAGAAGATTGGTGTATGTACCGGCGCCTGTCTGAAAAGCCAAGGGACAGAACAGACCTTACAAGAGAAAGGTCATGGCAATCACAAGCATGTACAAACGCTAAAAAGCTAACAACTACTAGACTCAAAAACGGGAGACATTTTTCCATATCAAAATAAAATAAAAATAAATAAAAAAATTACACATGAAACCAAAGCATGATTTGGTATCACAGTTTTTCACTTCACATTTTTTCCAAAGAATTCAGATCTTTGGTTATGATTTTTGCCGTAATCAAGCAGCTCGACTGCCAAACCATACAAGATGTCATCTGTGCTTTTTTACATCAATGTTGTAGAACAGTACTGCATTCTTAAAGTCACCCGACATACAGCTCCAGCTAGTGGTGGGTGGCTGCACTACAACTCTAACACAAGAGTTCAGGCCCACCCTAACAAAAATGTTACACATTTGCTTAAAGAAAAGTCTACAAATTCTGCTTCCACCTTGTAAAGGTGACAGCATCTCTACTTTAACTTTTAAAACCAACCTAAGCCATAAAACTTTTTCAAAATTTAAACATTTTTAAACAGGGGCATATATCCAGCTTATAAAAATTCTTATAAAAAAGGCCTGATCCCCACTATACTACTGTGAAAATCTGTTGAAGTAAGCAGAAACAGTTGTCCACTCATTTTACTTTAACACAGAGAGTTGTTGGCTCTTTCCAGTATGATCCAAAGTCTCTGGTGTTGCTGTAAAGTGTAACACGTGTTGACGAAAATGAAAGAGGATGATCTCAGCACCACGTCTGACTCTCCTGAAGAAACTGGATATAATCAGAATCAGATGCTTAACAACAGGACTGTATGTTTTTTGTTTTTCTGCGTGTCAGTCGTTCCATCATTTATCTTCAGGGGTTATTTCCAAACTGGAATAAATCAAATCAAAAATGATTTATAGTACGATCTGTTTTGGAACAAAACTCCTCAGTTAAACCACGTAATAGCGATTGCACTTAAACAATTTTAATGTTGATGGGAGTCAGATACAGACCTTTAGCAAATCCATGTATTTGAGTGGTAAAAATGTTCACAAACAAGCCCACCTTTGACTACTTGAAATAAATGTGAGTCCTATATTGATGCTGCTTCTTATTCTTCCCTCTCATTTAAATGATTAACAGTTTTTGCTAATGAGTCTGTGTCCCAGGAATACACCAGTTTTTCAACCCCTGTCCTAAATGATCACTTATCCCCTCAATAGGGAGCTGCCACTCTTACATAAAGCCTTTTTCTAATGCTCATTCATGGGGGATTATTTCACAACTCATCCCAATGATGACTCATGGCCTGGAATGATGAGGTCCAATCTCACATGGAGTGGAGGAAAGTAAAGAATGATCAGGGAGGCAGAGAGCAGAACCACAAATGACAGTCAAAGTCTTTTATGCTCCATGCTAATGATTATTCTAAAGCTTACTTCAACGCTGTAGAGTGAAGACAGAGAAAGTGAGTGAAAAACTAGAATTGGTGTTAAGACTTAGCTCAAATGTTACTGATCCTCCTGAGCTTTCAAAATATTCCACTAAATACTTCAAACTATGTTCAGAGTTGGCTCTTTGGCATTCCTGAAGCCAAATAAGCAGGTCAGAGAGAAGGAATCCCTGTCTTTGCTGTGTAGGGGGAAAAGGGCATACCAATACAATGGGATGATGCTCAAACTATAACTGCACTGCTACGAGAAAGTGAAAACACAAGTTTCAGTCATTTGTTTATTGTTATGGCAAACTGTGATTGTTGGACTGTCGAGAACGTGTCACAGAGAAGACACTCCTGCTGGCAAAGTCTATGGAAAATCAGTATTCAGCCATCTGTACCAGTAAATCCAACACAGTCAGTCTCCTTTAAATCTGCACTCCTCATGCAAAGAACCCCCTCTCTTTTACACAGTGGGGCAGAGAGAAGAAAAGACACATCATATGACTACAATAGAACCACATTCCTCTAACTGGTTGCAGTTGAATAGAAACAAACCAATGTGGGCATGCAACACAAAGACCTAGACAAAAAGGGCAGATCAGTGTATCTGATGGGTTAAAATAACTTTATGTGCCTTGCGAAAAATGCAGTTTTGAAACAAGAAAGCATGTTATAGTTTGTATTTACATTAGGATACTGCACTTTTATTTAGACTGTTGTCACCAACTGTGTTTAATCTGGCAAAAAGAAACTTGGATCAAGCCATAATCAATAAAGTGATTGTTCCTCTCTTATCCCAGCCTGAAGTTGAACCACTGCAGCATCTACTAGATTACTGCTCTGCTAACTCCTCATTCGACTCTAAATTAACCAAAATCAACATCTTTTGTTGTAAAAATTAGACATTAACTTAAGATTCTTCTTCTTAATTGCACAAAGGAGACTGATTTAAGAGTGATGACTTAATACTCTCTTTATCATTCAATTTCTTAAGTCAACATCAAAATAGAGCCTGAATCTTCACTTATGTCAAGTTCGAGCAAATTCAAAGGGCCCCTTTTCAAAGTTACCAGGGGGGTCCAGCTTTAGCAAAGAATCATGGGTCAAGTGGTCAAGAGGTGATTAAAAGAAACCGCTTTTGATCCACCGCTCTGTACTAGTCATTAGAGAAATCTGGATTGAATCTGAGCTTGATCTTGAACTAGATACACAGGGTGGCATCTCACTTCTTAGGAGGGTTTAGAACTTGCATTATGCTTCATTTGAAGGGAGTATTATTACATATTAGGGTCTGGATCCATAATGAGTCACATGGTGGTTTGTGGTGGGTCCCCACATAACAAGAGTGCTGGTTATGTTTGTATTAGTCATGGTCACTTAATGAGGCCACACTGGAAAAGTTTGTTTGATTAATAAGCTTGAGCAGCGCCAGCGTGGCCTCCTGGATCCTGCATTTGATAATAACAAAGTGAAAGTATATTCAGCCTGAGACGCTTCATAATATCAGAAACGGTGCTTTGATTAGTCAAGATTTTGTGATACCAAAGAGACCAAATACTGAAGCAGTAACACAAGTAAGCGAGGTATAAGAGAGATTTGAGCAAAGGAAAACGACCCCTGCTTCCTATTACCAATGTGATCACCATGGAGACAATACCTGCAACATCAACAACATACAGGGTTCAAGAAACTTCGAAGGATGAAACAACAAGCTGAAATATTTCACAGGTTACCTTTCACTTTCAAAACAGTCTCCTCCTGCCAGTAACAGAGCGAAAGGCTTGTTGTGCTGAAACAGTTCTGCAAACAGAGCAGACTGTTCATGCGAGGGACTTGGAGAACATATGGCTTTGATTAGAGGGCAGGGCAGAGAGAAACTCCAGTGGAAACAGCACAGAAACAGAGAGTGGGGCTCAATGTGAGAAAGTGTGTGTATATAAGATTGTATGTGCATTGCAGAGGGAGAGAGGCTGACTCAAGAATGAGTGGCTGTGTTTTCATGGCGGATTAGTGTGTGAATGGTGAGTGTGTGCGAGCAAGAAGTGATTAACTGAGGCAGAAAAAAAGATGAGTCAAAACGGACAATTGCTGAAAATGAAAGGCAAAATGAATGAGTGCTGGCTTTTTAGCAATCAGTGCAGAGTTTTTCTCAACACAAACACACTTGTAGCTGTGGCTGAAAATCAAATAATCAGATGGAGAGGTCTGATTTAAGAAACACAATTTTCCTTTGTTTCAGATGCATGCTGAGTTTTGGAGATGAGGATTAATTGTGCACCATTACATGGCATGCACATTTTCCTTTAAAGCGATGCCTTTTAATGATACACAAAAGCAATCAAAACCATCAGCAACAAGACTGAAGATTTTGAAATCCTTATTTTTATTGTGTGAGACCAGTGCAAGACGGTAGGTCCAAGCCTTACAGCTGGAGAATCACCCCCCTTAGTACAATTTTTACATAAACTATTCAGCATGAATGATATATTTGGCTGTCAAAAGTTTTTAGATCAGATTTAGATTAGATAAGATTTTAGATCATAAATCACCACTCAAGCATGAAGCGGACAAGATAAGCAAGGACTGCTTTGTCCACAGGGGGCGCCAGGTTTGACACAAACCAAGTTCCTCACAGAAGCTTTAAGTATTCATCCAATTAATTCTTTATATCAATTACCTCCTAATTGAAGCATCCTCCAAGTCATGAGCTGATATCAGGGACAATTTTGAGCTAAGAAAAAAGTTGGTCCCAACAGTGAAGCCACAAAATATTAAGGTTACAAGTTTGTCGTTATTACCAGAGGGTTGACTGACAGGTGGGCACACAATAGCTATTACAGAGGAGGCAGAATGCCAGCCTCCAGAACGCCTCATCAACCCTCATCATAAAATCAACTTAACAGTTCAAAATCTTATTTAACTTCAGCTTTGCATGTAACATTCATAAGACACATTAGAAAAAGTGCTAGAAATAATGCAAATGCATACTCAGAAATAAAAAATTATTTCAAATTAAAATGTGTACAACAATATTATGTTTCATAATGATATGTGTTTAGATTCAAAGCTGATTGGCCTACTAGCTCAAGTTGTGCACCTAACAACACACAGAGGTCATAGCACTTAAGACAGGTGACATGGGTGCAACTCTAACCTGCTTGTCATTTCACATATTTCTCTGAAGAAAGGTGCAAAACCCACAAGTTTATCTTAATAATGTCAAAGGGCAGTTGTGGCTGCATGTAATCAATCTCTGAATCATCGGGAAAACTATTATGTAACCAATATACAGTCTAAAGTTGATCCACAGCTGAACAAATCAGGGAACCCAGGAATTAAATAAACAAGAAGTTTGAAAACAACAAGTCCAACCAGTCTCCCATCCCTGTCCGTTTTATCTGAAAATATCACCACACCTTCCCTCCAACGGCTAGGCTGACAGTATGTTTTGATGTTGTAGTAGAAATAATGACAAGAGGTTAAAGTAAAACCTGTTTTAAACTTGAGAGAAGTTTAGGCATAAAGACTCTACCATCACTTCAAAACTGAGACAGTCAACCAGGCCGTTAAAATGATCTTTTGATCAACAATGCTGCAAACTGTAGTTTAACCACCAGACTTATTATCCCTTATGTTTTATGCTTTAGACAGCAAATATCTCCCTGCTATCCATTGTTTATCTCTTGGTGTGCCTGACTGTCATATGTATCCATGCTTTAGTTTAGTTGTCTATTTGTCTCAAAAGTTCTGCCACAGATTCTGATTCCTGCTGTATTTGCATTTAGGGTCAATTTGGAAGTGATAAAACTATTTAATAACGATTAAAAGGAACTTTTACCTAAGCATTAGCTATGTAAGTGGTTAAAGGTAACAAGTTACAAAGAGATGCCTCAGGGACTCAGCTAATGTAAACAATGTCTGACCTGTCACACTTTAAAACTAACAAACACGCGTGCACAAGCAACAATAAAGTGAAATATAGGTTTGGCAACTAAGTCCTCCACATAATAGTTTTTTTTTTTTCACTTTTCGTGGATAAACTCAATATATGAAAAGGAAAAAACAACTTTGAGAGTAGTATCAACTTACGAACTATATGCATCTCGAAAAAAGCACGAAGAAACGAAGGTTGATATTAAATTAAATAAACTTTTCAATCAAATTAAACACAGACACCAGCACAAACTCCATCTATTTTACGAAGGGTTTTGGTGTTTTCTTTTCGGAAACTGGTGTCTCAACTGAAATTAAGTCAACCTGACAAACTTTTTCACACACATATCAGCTTAAACAAAGGCAAACACAGGCAAATGCAATAACACAAAAATAAGGAAAGCTCCACGGTACTTTGGGGTTCATGGACAGCAATTTGCCAACCGCTGACACAATGAGTAACTTCACAGACAAACCACACTCCCGACCAAGACATTCGTGCAACCTAACACTCAAGTGTCTGAACGTCGTCAATATACCTGACATTTGAGAATGCAATGAAACAAACTTACCCACAGATGTCGTAAAATACAAAAAGCATCCATCAAAATTCCCCAAAGAGACAAGTTCCTCGTTTGGTTTTCTAAGTTTTAATGCTGTCTGACTTGCTCCACGGCACTCGTGGACAGAGACAGTTGATGCAGCAGCTTGTGCTGCTGTGAGAAACCGCTTTCCTCAGTGGTGCGTTCAGGTGCTCCTCGGAATATTGCTTTTCACCTGAAAACAATTCCAAACGACCACTCAAATGGGTTATTATGTCATAATAAAAAAACATACATAGAACCTCAGTACTTCTTCATACTTTATAAGCTTAGCTTTTTGTAACAGATAATTAGACAGGAAAGTCTGTTACGTTAAGATTTTTAAGGGATTAACATGCAATGTTTACATGGGAGAACTGGTACAAAAGTAAACAAGCACCGTGAGGTTACACAGACAGTTAAACCGAGGCTAGTGTGATGTATAAGAAAATGAAATAAAACAATTAAAATCCACAGATATTTGCCTTTAAGGCTTTAAAAAATGGAAAGCAGTCGGCCAAGGCAAAGCCAGTGATTGAATAACAACGAGTCATAAATGCAACTGCGCTGGGGTACTTTGTAAAACGACCTAATCTAATGCCACCGTATTGTATCTGATTTATGAACTAAGCGTTTCGTTTACTTGTGACTAATAAGGTTTTAAACATGAATATATCTAATCGTACCCGAATGCAGCATCATGTTTTCGCTCAGTAGCTGCCGACAGGAGGACAATAAGTGGAGCTCTGGGTGATTTTCTGTGTGTGTGTGTGTGTGTGTGTGTGTGTGTGTGTGTGTGTGTGTGTGTGTGTGTGTGTGTGTGTGTGTGTGTGTGTGTGTCACCACATCGGAATGTCTGGCTACAATTTCGCACCATAGCCAATCCTCCATATGAACGGCGCGTCCCATGCATTGTGTCTGTGTCTAAGCAAGGTGATCTACTTTTCCTACACGTTCTTCACTGTGAACCCCAGACTTCATGTTTCCAGAATTATAGAGCATTGTCAGTTAAACCTGGGAGTCATCCTCTGAGATCTGACTGACTAATGATGACTGGCCTACTTGACAAAATAATAGCCGCTTTCATTGCAGTGTTTTTTCCACACGTGAAACGCACACCGGTTTCCAAGCACAGACTCTACCTGGTTTTAGTGAAATCCCACAGATCTTGAAATTTCTGTCTGGGAAACTTCTCTGTCAGCAAAAATATCAAATCTGTCCTAGAAACCAGTTTGCCAACGCAGCACATTGATGGCATGTGGTTTTCATCCATCTCTGGATTTCATGGTTGTAGTTCTCGTTTTATTCTGAAAGTATTAAAGACAGTAGGTTGCGGTTTTGCATTAGTTCCGCCCCTGAACGCACCTCCGCCCCGCCCCCGACCTCAACAGCAAAAGCACGTGCCTGAAAGCGAACTCCTTTTCCACTTCACAACCTATAACTGCTTTTATTTCAACTTGGAAAATGAGGGATAGATTTTCCAATTCCCTCCCGCTCCTCTGATGGGAAGTCTGATGCCATTCGTCAGGAATGTGCAACACTTCCATTCCTGCAACTCTCCTCCACCCAGGAGCGTAAATCTTTGGGAATCCCCAGCTCACTGATAAATAGCAGGGATGGTGGCTTTTTTTTTCATTAGGCCTCCTTATTTCTGAGAAAAAGCCACACCTTTAAAAATATGACATCATACTGAATTGTTGCAGGTAACTTCTTGCTTCAGGCAAGTGGGCCTGTGCCGTTCCAGTTTTGCTAAATTTAATGCATTGACAAGTCTCAGCTGATCTCTTTCATGTTTAGATTTTTCATGTCAGTGCTGACAGCTGAAGTTGCAAAAAGAAAGTAATACCATAAGGATGGAAAAAGTTAATGGGCCATTATTACATGGATGAAAATGATAGCTTTGGATGTTTGATTCTAAAAGTAAGACAAGAAAGGCTTGAGCTCTTGATTAGGAATTAGATCTGTTTATGTTACAATTCACTGTCAGGAAATAAAACTACAGAGTTTTAAGCCAAGCAAAAGTTCATGTTATTCATTTGACATGTGTACCCGAAATACAAATTCAAAACAACCAGAAAGAAGTCATTCTCTTTAAAAATTGGAATATCTAAAAAGGATGGATGAATGTTAGTTTAGGGCGTATGTGTTGGAGTCTTGACTAGTTTTTTTGATGACCAATGCCAATACCAATAATCAGTGCATTTAAATGCACAGTTATGCCAATCTACAGCAAAGCTGAGATCTCAAGAAAATGACAGAAAATCATTTATTGCAGGAAATAAGCAAAATGTTTGGATGTACCTACAGTATATGGGTGGGTCTTGACAGGTAATGCATAAAAGTGCCACAGACTTATCAATAATGCATAACCTGGATTGTCTGCATTCCTCTCCTCCTTTTTCTAGGAATTATGTGTAGAAACTGTTGAATCTTCCTTTAATAAAACTCATGACAGTTAACCACGAGATTAACTCCTTCCATTGTCTCATCAATAAAAAAAATAAAAAAATAAACTAATTTAAAAATAACTAAAATCTGCACAAACAGGGGTCCGTCGGTTGTAACTCATTGCTCCGATTTGTCACTCTGTACAGTTAAGCTCCTTCAGCTCTGACCAACAAATCCAGGTAACCTTAGACTGTACAGAAAAGCTGCCACCTGCACAAAAGTGACACCTGCTCAGAATAGAAGGCACAGAGCTGAAGCAAGGTTTCAGAGATGCAGAGACGTTGCACAGACTTGGTACAATGTTTGAAATGGCTTTTTGCAAACACAAATATAGTCTATTATGGCTTGTCATGACAATTGATAAAATGAAGTAGATGTACTGCATTCCTCCATGTGGGCTGAAACTTTAAAACATGTTGCAATTCAGACAACACCTTCATTCATGAGTCATACTAAAGAGATGTCTTTACCTCTGTGGGAAATGAAGAATTACTGAGGGACATTTCTGTGGTGGCTGTGACTAAACAGAAATGATGCAGCACAACAGAAGCAGCAACGACGGCAGAAGTCCTTTTCTTCATGGTACAAGGTTCTAATTTGTGCCCACAAGATAGCTGTTTTGAGTGCACAAGATAAAATTCACATCTCAAGGGTATCTGAGGGAGACTGAGAAATAATGGCAGTATTAATCAGAGTCATTTTTTTGCACTGTAAAGAACCATGAAACCACAAGTGTCTACATCAACGCAACTGTCCTAGTTTCAGGTGAGGTTACTCCCAAGATGAGATAATGTCTTAACTTTGCGTATACTGCTATCTGCTGTCAGTAAAGCCTCATTGCAAGTGCAAGAGACTGCTGTTGCACTGCTGCACATTTACCCCTGTAATGCAATAGTTGCAGACATTATTTATCCCTGCAGAGCAACTTCTCTGGACATAAATACAGCAAAAATCCCATCAAACTGCTATTACATGAAGTCCATTTTGTTATTGCATAATACTAATGCACAGTTGGTATATTGTGCAAGAAAAGTGATTAACTTTATGGATATTGGTTGTGCGTAGTAACAGATCACAAAAAAAAGTATTTAAAACTAAAACGGCTTCTATTTTTTCAGACACCCCTGTTCTCGAGTTGTGCTCCTAACAAAGAGCGGCCCTGTTCTTTATCAGCTATTTCACACCTGACTTAGCTTGGTGCGTAACCCAGCAGTTGGGAAAGTTTTTATCAGCCTCTGCACTCTGTGGAAGAGGTACAGGCCTTTTGTTCTGAAAGATATGGATTATATTGGTACATAGTGAAATACAGGTGTTGTTTGTGGATGTACAATCGCTTGCAGACTGTTGTTTACAAAGGAGTAAGAAACAAAGAAACAAATGTGTGTACAATGATCAGCCAGGAGGTATTTTATGCTCTCCTGTCAGCCGCTACCTGACTCTGTGGTCATGAAGTCTTGATTGTATAATTGTCACCTATCCAGTCATGAGTGACACCATATGCTGCTTACACAATTACACAATGCTTTTACACAGTGTGTATTTGCCTGAGAGAGAGAGAGAAACCAATTCTTAAACTTTTATTTAGAAAAAGGCCAACTTAATTATTACAGTAATGATCGCAGACAAACAGTTATAAATTCATATGGAATTTATTATCAAATTATAATATACCAAATATAATCCATCACTATGCAGAAATATATACATCTTTTAGTATATAATGATGTTATACTTTACAGAAATAGTGAAATAAATACTGTTAAAGCAAAGTTGACAACCTTAAATAACAGCTTTAGTAGGTTTGTAAGGCTTAGAGGTCCAGAAATTAAGGTAAAAACGGCACATTGTGCTTATAGGAGTAGCACTCAAGTCAACTAAAATAATATCTGCAGAAGTAAAAATAAATGTCAAAGCAAATCAAGTACAGAGAACTTCTAAGAAGCCTCCAAAGATATGAAGTAAACATCCTTCTACAGTATACAGTAATAGAAATGTCACAATAGTCACCATGCCTGGAAATCAAGTCTTTGTTAAAGGGTAACACATTTGGGAGGACATTTCTATTCTACACCCTGACATTGCTTACATTTCTTAGAACACATCATGTGTTTTCAGATTTGTTTTTCTCTTTAAATCAAGTAAGTATAATCAGAAGTTTAAGACTCAAAAAAGTTATTGGAAATAAAATATAAAGGCGCAATCCTAATCACAATGAATCCAGCATAACATTCGTGCACAGATGAGATGGATTTCAAACCACTGCAAAAGAAGAAAAAACATCTATTTAGAGAGATTTTTCCAGCATGGAACGGAGAGTTGCTTTTATAAGCTTTCACAGATCATAACGTGGTGCCTTTGTATATCACAATATTCCTCATAATATTCATAACTTCATTTTTCCTTCATAAGGAAGATAAAGAAAGAGACACATCACTGTCTAAAATAGTGTAACACAGTTATTCAAAACAGCAATAATGTGCATACTCAGACTTGGGTGTTTAGTAGGGATTTAATGTTATGGAAGGAAGAACTAGAATTGGAGGGGAGTCTGAGAGTGCTGCTGTGCTGACACAGTTTTAGACAGGTGGAACAAAAACAGACACAGCAGCCAGTGAGAAACAGAAGGGAAGAAACTGCAGGATATTAAATTGCGCAGTCTAGCAGCAGTAATTGCCTTTCTTTTTTCAGCTACATTGCACCCAAGTAAACATTTCTGCAACAGAGGACTGCAGATGTGTGGTGACTTCATCAGTCCTGACAGCAGGAGACTCCCTGCTAAATGCTAAAAATACAGTATGAGTTAAAGACGACACAGAAACAGAAGAAGCGAGAAACCCACAGCCCTGGAGAGAAAGGTATTTTGAAGGGTTTCACTGAACAGTTATACAAGAATATCATCTTTGAGCCTGAGGAAAGCGGTACACAAGGTAACTCTCTAGTGCCAAAGGGCCAACGACAACAATGCTTTCAGCCAAAAATCCAATATTTGACCATTGTGGTGACTAAGAATGTCTTTCAAGACATTCTTAGTCACCACCATTTCTTAATGGTTTACCCAATAATCTCACAACAACATTTCTAGTTTCTGGTGTTAGTTAATCTCAAGAGCAACTACCATAACTTTAGTGAGAGCTTGAAAATGATTGTCTGATTCAAATGATCACATGCAATTTCCGAGATTATTTTCATGACCATCAGGAAATTAACTCTCTAGATTAGACCTTGAATGATGTATAATTTGATGAGTAAATCAATAACTCGCACTCCTAGGTTTAATATTAATGCTTAAAGCTCCTATCAGGAGTTTTTTGATGGGTTAAGAAACAGACTGAAATGAACGGTGTTGTGTCTCTATGATGCACAAAAGCAAATGTGAGCATTTACGACGAGATTGATTTTCTCCATATAATCAGCTTTAATGCCTTCAACTGCTATGACGGAGTTGGTACATTGACGAAATAGCCTCCTTCTGTCTGTCATTATCTCTTTTATAAGGATGAGATGAAATCAGCAAGACCACTTTGTCCAAAGGGGGCGCCAAAATAAACACAGATGGAAAATTCCTCACTGGAGCTTTAATTAAGTAAGCGTCTACAGCTGTTGAGAATTCACTCTGCTTCATGAAAAATGTTTCTTTTTTGATGAGGACATAAAATATTACAGAAAACAAGGCAGTTTTCTGCCTTTGAACACTATTCAATACTCATATTAAGTCCCAGCCTCTTTCTGTTTTTGCAGAGAATTTAAAGCTCCCATTAGGCCTCCTGTGGAGCAAACAGTATGTAATTAACAGATGTTGTACACACTAAAGGTAATGTTTTCTGTCGAAACATGTCACCCTGCTTGCTTTAAACCGATACGCACATCACTTGTCTTGAAGTTTTGTGATGGCAAATTACAAAATAAGACTTATCCTGTCAGCATTTTTGACTGAGGTGGCAAAACATTTCATTACACTTTCTACTTCTTACATTCAGGCATTCCAAAAATGCCATACTCCTGTTTGTAATGTTTCAACTTTAAAAAGGAACACAACATTTAAATCTCTTTGAAGACTCTAAATTTTCAGTAACTCAAAAAGAAGATGTCTGTCTGAAGTCTCAATTTAAAGTACTAACCAAAGAGAATGTGCTGGGGCTGTTGCAATTTGGCCCAAAAAGTTGATGTCAACCTAAGTCCCGCATTTATATAGTCAACAAGCTAATCAAAGTTCAGGATTTTGGGGTGACTGGGCAGATTTCAAAGGGGGGCTGGATCTGCCCCTGGTTAGGTGTCTGTGTTTAAAATAATTCAAAATCACTTGATTGTCAGTCAGTATTATTTTAATTGGTTTCATAAAAAACTCCTCACGGGGGCTTTACCTAATCCACATTATTCCAGGCAAACCTTAACTTGACCTGGCACATGAAACCCACTCATGAATGTTCACTCGTACATGGCACAAGAGTCATATTTGTCTGCTTTAAGTCACATAGGAAAACCCAATGGTACTCAAGTGTATCACCTCAATGTCAGCCAAAATGTGACAGGTTCATTACTATTCATCTGAGCGCTGCAGGGTTCACTCTTCAGAACCTGCACTGTTATGAAGAGGTTGCACCTCTCATCTCTCTTCCTTAGGTGCTAGAATTAATTGAGGTAGCTATCATCTTTCCTGGGAGCATTCTTTGTGTGCAGCTTTTTAGATGATAGCTTCATTTGTTGAATTATAGTGGCAGGTTACTGACACTTTTTTCTCCCCTCCAGCAAAGACAAAGTGCAAACAACACCCTCCTCCCTCTGAGCACCGTATTTTTAGACTGTTGAAAACACTTATTAGAAACTTTGAGCTCGAAGATGACATGAGAGAGCTGACTCCTCCCAAGGCCATGAAGGCATCAGTGTGGCCTTTATGGGATGCCGGTTGCAGGTGCCTTGCGAAAAATAATGTCAGACATCATCTTAATATTGTCCTACTTTACGAATAAAGTCAGTCTTCTGAGTTTTTCAGGGTCATCCTAGTCCAGTCATATTTTCATTGACTGTCACACCTGAGATCTGCAAGAGAGCGAGATGCTGGTTACTGAGAGCTACGGGGAGCTAGAGGTAAATGTTCCCAGCTTAAGGCACTTAAAAGTTAAGAACTGGATTTGATAAAGAGGTATTTTAGCTGAATTTGTTTGTATAAAAAAGGAGAGGGGAAGAGTGGAAGAAAACTCAGTGTAATATGACTAAAAAGTATGAGTATATTTGAGAGGGGCAATTTTTTGATTGGGCCTTTTAAGCAGTTAGGCATAAAATCCATATGAAAATCCAGTGTGCACCTGATTTGAAGTAACTATGTATTTTGGGAGCTTTATATCCTGCTTTTGTATTTGTCTTTGTTGACTTAAATTCTTGCAGTAGAGCTTCATACCCTCTCTAATCATGCTTGGTAAACACCACTGTGAAATGTGTGGTGTGTCTGTTGAAATTTTAACAGTAACACTGGTCCCTGTGCAGTAAATCTCTCTCTTTGGTTATTCAAGGTTAAAGCAAAAAAGAATAAAAAGGGATAGTTCCCTTTTTTTAAAGCGGGGTTGCATAAGGTACCTAATATGTATGTTCTATATCAGCCAGATAATGTCACTCAGACACAGACCTCAATAGTGTGCTGCAGGTGGAGAAGTATGGATGTGTCCTGAAAAACTTCTGAACAAAGCACACATTTACATTTAAAAATTATTATTTGGGTCGTAGTTTCTTGTAGTTAGCTAGTTAAAATGTAGAGTATATCCCCTCTGTAGCAGGTGATAACTTAGCATCCATTCAACTTCTCTGGCCAGTTTCTCAACAAAGGGCTCTTGCTGACTGACATCACCTGAGGGTAATACACTTACAATTGGCAAGTCCCTTATGCAACCCCACTTTAAAACAAAATATCCTTTTAAACCATTTTATTATGGTTATAACGTTCAGCCCTCTTTCTACAGTAAAACGCACATTATGAAAGAGATAACAGGAATACTCTAATGAACTGAATGTTGATTATTTAGCGACCTGGCTGTAAAGAGCAGGATATGGTTATAGATAGTTTTTTCTTCCCCTAAGTCATTCGTAGAGGGGTTCAAAAGACAAATGCATAATTGTACTGTGTGTATTATAAGTAGATTCAGGTTGTATGAATCAACTTGAAGAAAAGTAAAGAATTCAATTTTAAATTGAAAAGTATCATAGCTTCATTAGTAATCTCTATTAGATGATCTTTCTTTTTTTAAAGAGCTTCACCTCCTCACAGTTTTTGTCTTCATAACAAGTAAAATACAGAAGAAATCTAAAACACATGATAGAGAATAAAGAATAAATAGTTATACCAAAGTACTCTAGGTTTCTCCTTTTTCCTAGCTCTTTCGAGAGCTGCTGTACCACTTCTTAAGTGCTACCCCACTGGTGCTAGCCACAACACACAGTGCCCCACCCAGGCTCCACCAGGTTGGTATACGCTGAAAGAAAATAAACTGGAAGATGAATGCCAGCACCACATCAAAAGTCCTCATTAGGGCCACGGGACCAGCCTTCTCAATCTGCAGGGCCTTTGTGAGGAAGGTCTGTCCAGCGACACCCAGGACGGCGATCAGCATCAGCATCCAGCGATCGCGGCCGCAGGACGGAAGCTTCCATTCCCCAAGGACGGATACAGTGATGATGCACTCGATGAAGCCGATGACAGCATAGTACCAGACAGAGAGGTAGTAATGGACGCTCTTCCCAATCTTGCGAATGACGACATATGTAAAAGCAGCTCCAATGGCTCCTACAAATAAAAAATCAGAACGAAGACAGCAATCAGGAAAAGGAAAAATTAATTGGTCAAAAAGAAAGATATTTGACACTTGAATTATGTGGATGAATTAATGAACTATCCCTGCAGTGCAACTGGCAGCATTCTGCCATTTCTGTAAATGGCAGGATATTATCAGACAATGTTGGGGTATTGCAGGCTCTGCCTTTCCTTGATTTTGCAGGCCTTAACTCAAAGTAGTCATACTCAAGATCAGTGAAGTGTACCCTGCTTTGGCTTCTGTGCCTGCTGACGGAAGAGCAGTTGCACCGTTCATTTCATCACACATTATTTTAGTTCAGCATTTAGTATGGCTGCAAAAAAATTAAAAATGTTACTGTTACTCACAGTAATGCGCTGTTACGATTTTTAATTGCACTTTGAAAAAAAAAAAAAAAAAAAAGGTAAAATCGTTGGCAGAAATTGTCTTGGTGGCGTTGTATTGGTTTTCTGATGTGGCATTATGTTGCCCAACAAGATTTGAAATGCTGACATCAAGGGACTTGTAAAATAACACTTAGCCGTGATTTGATCAAAACAACTTAATAAACGTACATTTGTAACAAATCAAAATATAATTTCATCATGGGCTCTGTAGAGGTTTATTTGGCTTTTTGAGTCAGCCTCAGGTGGACATATGAGGAACTGCAGCTTTTTTGCACTTGATGATTTCCTTTTCAACACCAGAGGTTACTGTTTTGGAGAAACTCTAAATTCACTTGTAAATCTTCATTAGCACACATTTTAAGGCACTGGATATGACCAGTGTCGTAAATACATCAAGAAGTCCTCTGTGCATTTCTGGGGATATGAAAATGATCACTTTGTTTACAAAATAATCCCAGTTAATAATATCCGGTTAGAAACATTCTGGCAACTGAATATACATAAAACAAGTACAGAGAGTTGGGCTTTCACAACAGCAAGATTGATGTAAGGAGATCAGAGGGCCTATGACCTCTGACCCTGAAAATCCCATGAGTTAATCCTTGGACCAAAAGACCAGCTCACAGTTCTCACAGGCTCAAAGACACAAAGAAGCTCCTGACACTCGAGAGACAGCACTCAATTTGTGGCTGTGCCATGTGGGTAAACATCTGCTTGTAATGGCTTGATGGTAAGGGGGCTGGTGCAGGATCAGCACTAAATCATTTTTAAATCAATAACTTCATCCATAAATAAATATTTTGTGCCAACTTGTTTATGTTTGTAACCAAGTAACAAGCAGGATAATGTATAATAAACTGCTGGCATTGCAGAAAAGGATCCCTCTTTACTCGTCTTGTCAGGGTTTTAATGTGCATAATCACCGGCTCACTATACATTATTCCTCACTGGGCAGAGAAGCTAATGGTAGCTTTTTAATATTGTGTGAATTGCGATCTATTACCAACACTGCCAGGAGTATACAGGTGTTGCATTCAAATTCCCTGCATCCCCATGGGAATTTTGACATAGATTGAGTCTGAATTAAATCATTGATATCATACCAAGACACTTATCAGGGTCAACAAATTTTTGCTTCTACTCACGAGCACTCTTTAAAATCACATTTCTTAATCATATCACCTGCAAAGGCAGCAATGGTCCCCTTGATGTGGTTGGTGTAGTTTCCTTCAATGCCATGTAAATGCTCCCCAAAGATGAATGGTGGTCGGGCAATGAGGATTACCCCTGTAAGGGTAAAAACGGTGAAGACACAATCCCAGATTGTGCACCGCTCCTTTAGAAAGATCCAGGCCAAGAGAGAGGTAAAGACTGGATTACTGTTAAAAAAGAAGGGTAATGATATAAGAAAAGAAGGAATACACAGTAGTGAGACATGGCTGAAGGTAACACATGTATTATAGCTTTATAGGTTTAGGGTAAACTGAAGAGAAATGTTGCTTTTGTCTTGGCAGATTTGTCACATAAAAGCTATTTGGCTCTATTGAAACCCCTGCTTTCAGATCTTTAATGAATTACTGCACGGATAAGAGAGGGAGAGATAATTAAGAATAATGAGGAAACAGATCAAGGATATGAATGAATGACAATGAGAGGGAGATTAACAAAAAGGGTGACTAACGGAGAAGTCAGGCAGGACTGAGAATATTGTAATGATGCGATAATCTCTACTAATGCATTCAATTACCTACTCTCACCTGAACATGATGACTGTAGCATCTGCAAGCGGCATCTGTTGAACAGCATAGAAGAGCATGATCATAGCGTTGGAACCAACGAAACCTCGCAGCACCAAGTACTTTCGTTTTTCCTTGGGACCTAAGAAACCTGTCCTGGACGAGAGAAGACATGAGGATGATGGATGAATGAGCGACAGGATGGATGGACGGGTGAAAGGACTCAGTGACAGAGGCAGTTATACACAGAATTTTTTTTTTCCTGAAATATTTGGCAGCAAGGAGAGGTCAGAAAGGAGACACATGATGAGCAGGCTGGAAAGACAGATGGAAAGATCTAGGTCGTGTAAGGATGACAGTGATGGATGGATAGGTGTATGATTGGGGCTAAACAGAGAGGTGGTAATGAATTAATGTCATAAAAAGGGGGAATGTAAGGACGTATGGGTGTATGAATGAATAGATAAACAAATGAATAGGAGTCCTGAGGTCGTTTCTAAATATATAATATTAAATCTGAATTCTTCAGATCACAATCTGATTCTTAAATAAGTTTATATTAATACAAAGAAAAGGCAACATTTTTTTTTTAATTTCTTAATGCACATTTCCTGAGTACTGCAGTTGGAAAGACAGTTGTGTTATTTTTTTTTTTTGCTTTAGCTGAAATTTCTGCCAGAAATCCTCCTGAGCATCAGCATAGACACGTTAGAGTACCAACATGACTGGATGTGATAAACAGCACTGTTATATAATTGAATATCAGCTTAAATTAACACAAATCATCACAATACATAAATCAAAATCATAGCTTGTGTTAGCTGACAAAGAACTTTTTTGCTAGATATTGAACTCACCCATTCAGGTAGCAAAGATGAGCTGCATAAATCTGGTTTTGAATGTTTTTTTTTTTTTTACGTTTCCTGATAAATAATTGTACTAAATAAATAAAAAGCTAGTGTTTCTTTGCTATGTTCGCCATATGTTTACACTAATAGGGAAGCTAATTTGAGCTAGATAGCTAAACAAAGCAAAGGTCCACAGATATGCCTATCATTGTTTTCTTTTCTTTTATATTAAATTAAATTATTGGACTTTTAAGCATATATTTGAAGAGGGTAGGGCAGCAGATGGAGCAGGAAACTGGGAGGGAGTTGGGAGTGACATAGAGGAAAACAGCAGCAGGTTGGAATCAAACATAGTCCACCTGCTCAAGGACTATAGCCTCTATATATGGAGTCTCTATATAAAAGGTGTACAACTATTGCATAAAGTCAAAACAGGACGCTCTATTCCTGTTCTTCTTTACAGTCAATTGTATAACTCTCGCGGACTTTGCAGAGTACAGTTTATTAAAAAGGCTCTCAGAGCAGCCTGCTTTCAGTCATTTTTCATGCACATACCACACAATACTGGTTAAAGATGTTTATAGAAACAATAAACCTTTATGCTGATGATCTCGTTTAGAGAGTTTTCTAGTTTTAAAAACTTCTTCAGAAGCTTTGAGTCAATGTACAATGAGTTCATTCATCAGTAAAACAAAATATCCATAATTATGTAAATCATTTCACATAGTACCACATAAACTGCTATTCTACTGAAACTCAATGTTTGGTGAAAATAAATAATCGGGGGGAAAAATGAAAATCGTTTTTAAAACATGCTAATTATGTTGGTTGTAAATTTCAGCTTTGAGAAATGGTAAAAATGATGTCTTTATGTGGGATGGGAGTTTTTCAACCTTCCCATCACTGAGGCTTAAGATTGTAATTTTCATCAACAGCTATGGATTTTAATACATGTTTTTCCACAGTGTTGTGACAACTTCGGGTTGTTTGAGAAATTATTATATGATATGTCGAGATAAATGGCTAGGAATTCATCCAAAAATGGTTTCAAATTAAAATTGATTGTGAGTGATACCATAGCCTTGAAATCTTTCCATTATGTATAAATCTTGAACTTTTGATTCATGTTTGACTCTCAAACAATGGAAATCTAACTATTTGAGTTTTCCCATTATGCTTACTTGTGATAGATGAGTAGTGGCATAGTAAAGAGAATCTGGAAGAAGCAGCGTATGGCACTGATCTCTATGGCGTGGATTCCCTGGATGGTTTTAACCAACAGGGCAATGATGGAGAAGAAAACTGTGGACAGGAAAGCATAGAACAAACCAAGGCCTGGACATCTCTTCCGTTTCTCTTGGCCTGAGAAAAAGACAGAGATAACGAAGAGTGAATCAAAGATAAGGGAGAGGGACGGTGTCAGTGTTTCAACATGTTGATAATGCTTGTTGTGCCTATGTTGATACAGTAATTACAAGATGAAATAGAAAAGCTGAGTATATTATTGAACCCCATGTGGCTGGGTGAGAAATTCTGTTGGGAAAAACACAAACAAAAGATCTGCGAGAGAGAGAGTGGTGTAGTGTTTGCAAACCGTGCCAGTGGAGCAATAAACTGATATGCTTGTGAAGATTAGATTTCGACCGGAGGTCACACAGCCGTCTCTCTTTGTATTAGTCCACACTGTGAGGTCCATTTACCACTCCTTATTCAATAAGACATGTATTATCTTTACCTTCTACTCAGCCAAAGACCTAACCTAACCTTTCTGTTGTCATATTGGAGAAGCAATATCACATTTAGTTGTGTTTGGTGTTTTCCTACTCCCATTTCAACAGTAAGGCCTGTAGTATACAGAGGTATTTTATTTCATACAGGGTTGTTATCAGTTATCATGAAGCACTCTTAGTGCATATAAATATTGAAAAAAAATTAAATATAAAATCATTTTTGGAGAACCATCAAAACGCACTGATTTACAAGATACACAGGAAATGGATGAAATGAGCATTTCTTTCTTTTTTTTTTTAAGTACCAGTTTAATCCCTTTTCAGTCTTCACCCTGTGAGCCAGGTCCTATTTTCCCTGAGAGGTATTAAGGAAAACTGATATCCTGGGTCAATGGGGACATTCCTCACATCTCTGTAAGCCCCCTAAAATATTCCTCTCTTATTCAAACACAACAAAGGAAAAAAAGGCCTCTTTTCATGATGGGAAACTGCCCAATGAACTAGAGTTACAATGATGCAGACAGAAAAGTTTTTAATCAACTTTTACCACAGCTCTTATCTTTGAGTGTGATGTGAAAAAGTCCACTTGGTGGTGGCTCCAGTGCTGTGGGTAAAAAGTGCACAGTCATCCATCCTCTTCAAGGATGATGCAAATGTTAAGCTGGTTTACAGCACTTCATTTCCACGGGCTTCACACAGCAGATTTGTGTTTTAATGGATGAAAAATCATGATGAAATGGTCGTCAGGGTACTTATAGGGTGTACATTAAGAGTCAGTCATGACCGTATTACACTAAAAAGGTAAAAAGAAAAAAAAGCACCTTTCTTAGGAGGAAATTACCTTTAAAAGTGATTCCCTTTATTATAAATCTGCCTATAGGCTAATAGTCTCCACGTGATGACCCTACACTGATACTGATATATGACGTTTCAGGGTTAGATAACGTAAACGCTACGCAGGAAGTCGATGCTTCTCTGGCTTGTCCTTGTGTTGTCGCCTCTTCTCCTTTTCTCAAATTTTATTAACACGCTGCATTCATTTGTTCATATGCCAAACGTACGACTATGGTTTATTTGTTGTTTTGAGTAAGTGCGTGAGTTCCTCTACCTTCTAGGGATGCGGGCTCGCCTCTGACGCAAAACGCTGGCGGGCATAACGTGTTTCTCTTCCTCTTCTCCTCCTCGCAGCCTTCCTGTGAGTTTTGGCTCCTGCTCGCTTCCCCTTTCTCCTCAGCATCCTCGTCGTACCCACGACAGTTACTTCGCAGGTGAATCCTCTCTGCTGTCCGCTCATCCTCGCCGCTGTCGTCGTGCTCGTCGACACTGCTCCTGCCATGGCCGTCAACTTTGTGAAACACTACAGTAATGTCGTCCTCTACGGTTAAAGCCCGCTCCTGAGTACAGTTGTTACAGTCGCCCATAGTAAGATGTGACGGCTGAGCGACAGCATGCCTCGGATAGAGTACCGTCCGCCTTCTTTGGTGCCCTGAGTGACTGAGAAAAGGCAAGGTTAATGTCTAACCTTGGTGGCGGTATACAAACTCTCATGCGGTGGTTACTTTACCCACAGGGGGGCAGAAATGAACCCAAACTATCACTGCTCGACAACTACTACATCACCTCACGTTTACGCCCATTGTAGAGAGAGGCAGCTGAGATTTAAACCAACCAAAACTCGGTTTAAAGCTGAGAAACGTCTTTATGACAGGCATGCGTAGTCTCCTAGCTTTATTTCTCTTAATTTGATTTAATAGGCTGTGCAGATTTACATCAAAAGTCTACTACTGAGGTTCCTACATATTTGACTCACTAAATCCCCAGTTCCATACATGTGAGTGAATAAGGGTGATTAAACAATAAATATTACACTCTTTTGCAGAAATGTCATATTTGAGAAGGAATACAATTTACTAATACATATTTAGCCCATATGCATGGAAGCCCTAAGTGGACACACTCCTGAATTTTAGATGCTCATATCTTGTATTATAGTTTCAAACACACAAATAGGCTTAGTTTACCTTATATGGTGAGCAATGGCACAGTACCATGTCCTAAACTGGCCCATATGGAAAAGTCTACTAGTTAAGATGCAGTGTCTATATCAGTTGTATTTGTAAGCAGTATTTGTTTGAGTCATTACCTTGTTTGTGTGGTTTGAATGATTGTGAAGTCCATTGTGCATGCTTTCATATCACAGCTGTTAAGGTGCTTCACAATTAAGGTATTTGAAAGACAATGTGATGAGTTAAGATGGTAAGCTCTATTATCCTGATATATTGAGGAAAATAAGTCAAAATCAACTTAATATTTCTAGAAAGAATAGCTTGGTTTCGCCAAGATCAATGAGATCTTATGAAAACAATCAGGAATTAGGAAAAACACAGTAAATATGTATATGTACATGTCCCCTGAGGGCTAGTGCACACATGGATTCATTCACTGCTATTCAATTGTTTAATCCCCAACGAAACCAACGGCATACCAAATGATGCAATTATCCCGCTTCTTTCATATATACAAAAAATCATAAAGCCAAGAAAAACAACATAAGGAGGAGTTAAAAATGTAATGTTACTGGAAATAAAACAGTAAGTCACCAATAAATCAAGAATAACAAGGACAGAACTTAGTCTGATGTAGCTTTTTAGCATTTTATTTCTACTGTACTAAAAATACATTGACAAGATGACAACAGCTAAAAACCTCTATTATTACCCAACATACTTACACATACACATTTAAGCCTGCACTGTTTGGCTAGAGTAGCATATTACAGAGCATTAAGGGTTGTGATCTCCATTTATTTTAGTTGTATCTATATTAAAGTCTATTTCTACACAAAAATAAAACACTGAGTGTGGTCCCCTCTACATACAAAAGCAGTATATAAATTACTTTACACAGTACTGTAGAAACGTAAACATTATATTTGGCAAATTGTTGTCAGTAAAGGTGTTAATTATTAGAATTTTGTGTCCTATGTGTCAGAATAAGAGGTGTGTGTGTTTGTGAAAGCACAGGTACTAGGTGCTGCACAGTGGTTGGCTTTTTAGTGGTGGAGTAAAGACAACAATGGCTTTGTCAATGAGGGAGAAAAGGGGCAAGAGTGCAGTGAAAGGGGGAGGGCGAGGTGACACAGTGGGACGCTTCTAGCTGGTCATTCATCAGGAATCAACACCAATGGAGTTTGTGTCATGCGTGCAGTCTTGCTTAACTGACAGCCATAGAGTAGAAAGGATAGAGAAGGCTATCTCTGTTACAGTATTTTGTACCTGAAATGTATACATTAGGGTCCCACTTGTAAGGGTAAAAGTCATAACTATAGACTGATGGAATACAAGCTGAACTGCTGCCATGGTGCCCTGAAGTAATGGACATAATTCACAGAGAGTAGTCCCATTACAATAACAAACTACCTCTTGCGGTATCCTGCTTTTTGTTTTTTCACACATTATTGTGACACAGTTTGTTTTGTACAATGTGTTAAAACAAATCCACACTTTTGATGCTGGGAAAAAGTTGTTGAATCCTGTTGCATGAAAGTTGTAAATGGTCAGTATAGAAAATATAAAATGACATGGTCCAACAATGACAAGCCTAATGCTTCTACCCCAAATCCTCAAACATCACAGTTGCTTCCAAAAACTCAATCCAGATATTTCAATCAAGGAAAACTGATATCAAAGAAAAACTCAATCCAGACATTTTACCTTCCTACCCTAAGATTTTCCCCCTATTTTCCTATAATCATTTTGTCCTACTGTAATTTAATGCTACCAAACTTCAAATCTGGACTAAAAAACTGCTACTGTAGAAATATAAATGCTGCATTAAGTTGACTTACCAAGAAAATATACATTATGTCCAGTAACTGCAAGGGCACTTGCAGTGTTGAACAACAGATTCTATAGCTTGTTTTTCCTGAAAGATAGTCAGTTCGCACTTTGAGTGAAGTTAAGGTTTTTCAAATAGCATAAGGTGTTCACAAATCTAAAAACACAAGCCGATTTAAAAACTCAGAAGTTGCCAAATATTGACCTACCAAATAATTTAATAATTACTTCAGAAAAAATTTCAACTTAAGGTCATGAATCCTATTTGTAATATTTCAGCTTTTTCTTGTATGTATCTCTTTTTTTCAAACCTTAGGTGAGAACTGCTGATGGATGTTAAAGTTCAGTTTTTAATTACAGGAAAAGAACATTCAAATGTATTTCGATAACTTGTCACAAACTGAGAGTGGGTTTAATTACTCAAATCGATCATGAGATGCTCATATATTTGAGTTTTTCCCTTGAAGCTGGATGCGAGCAGAAACACTCGATCGTCAATAGAAACCAGGGAAAATGCTCGAGGCGCCTGGATATTCAGCTCCTGTGATGGGACAAACTGGCCCCTCTTGGTGTCCCATTGGTAGACCTGCGTCAGTGAATAATCGCTGCCCAAGATGGCGTACTGCCAGTTGCCGATGGAGACAGGCTGGAACACCATGGAGCCGCGGGAAGGAAATGTCTGGACCTCTTTGAACATGGCACCGTCCCAGCGCATCACCTTGGAGTCCCCGATGAATCTTGTCAGGCATATAAACAGCTCACCTTTGAAAAGATTCAGGAGACTGTTACACTCTCACATTCAACTGCTCAGGCTGGATCTGAAACAGAAAAGCTGAACAAAGTTTGTATAATTCCAAAATCATTCACATCTTGCTATATATATTTTCAAACATAGAGTCCTTCATAGATAAGGTCTTCCTTGGAAAGACAAAAATGCAAAAAAAAAAATTACAATGTAAAACATCCAGATTTTATCACAGTGTACACTGACATTCACTGTTGGCACTGTCAAAGCAAATGTCTATGAAGTGCAGAGCAACATGGTGCTAAAGTGAATAAATTAGCTGCACTCTAAAGAGCACGAGTCATAAATTCTTTTATTTAATTGACCAAATGTTGGCCCTGAGTCAAAATCCACTGTTAACCAAATGGCATATTCCCAGACTTTATTCATCCAAGCATTGAAAAAGTGAATACCTGCCTCCAGCCTTAATAAATATACTGTACATAGAATGTCCTGCTTGAATGGAGAACCAAGGAGATAGTTATGAACATATCTAAGAGCTGCAGCTCTCACCTTGGACACGGAAGTGCTTGACAGAGAAGACGTCCTCCATGTCAGGTATGTCTGTCCTCCGGTCAAACTGTTTCTGGCCCCTGTTCCACTGGTAGACCACAGGCCTCTGAGAGCTGCTAGACAAGACTAGGTGGGGTTTGTTGGAGATCTCCAAATATTCTACATCTGTGTCACGGTACCACGGGTGGAGTGACTGGTGGGAGTAGAAGCCGTTGCCGTTCCATTTGTACACAGTTGTGGAGCCAGCCTAGAAGGAAAAATGCACAAGAAGTCTTAGTGCAAAAAATATAAACTACAAAACAGGAGAAAAATAAACCTGACAAACAATTGGCCAGTAACTTGTGAATTTCTGAGTTCGAGAGCAAATGTTTGTGTTTGAGTGTTAGCCTAAGTGTCCCCAAGCATATGCTAGAGCACATGTGAACATTTGGCAGTGCCAGGGTAATCAGCAGCTGTGCACTACACACAGCACAGAAGGACACCAGAGGGATGGAAATGCTGACATGGTGAGAAGAGTGGTTTAGAGGAGCAGTGTGCAGTCAGAGGCTGGATACAGTAAGAGAAATGCCTGCACAGAACGATGCAATCAGTGAGGCTTTCTGCTAACAGATAATGATTCAAACAATGACTTATATTTAGTCAAGTGCATCTCATTATCAAAGGTTTATCATTTTACACTGAGAATGCAGAAGCATGACAGGGTGCAAACTTTGGGCCAAGAAACTGGGTCTCAAAAGGCCCTACGGGGCTCAGTGATTTCAAGGTTTTCTACCTGGAGTTGAATTATCCACAGAGATCCCCTGCTGTCAGATGAAACGATTGCCGAAATGGCTTTTGTTCACATTTTCATGGCAAGGATAAGCTGACACATTTATACAAAATCAATAAAGAGGTAAGAAGTGTTACTTGTCCACAGGGGGGTGCCAAAACCAACACAAACTTTAGTTTTAAAGCTGAATAATTCCTCAATCAGGTTGAATTATACGGTTAGAAAGGATAGAGATGTGACATAAAAAGCTTCATAAACATGCATCATACGGGTACATGTGAAAGTCTTTATGCTATACTACAACAGGAGTTTCGTTTGCTGGTGTCTACCAAGCAATCAGGTGCTAAAATATAGTGGTCACATCCAGGTTGATTCAAGGACTTAGACCAGTAGTACAGCCGGAGTAACTCACCTTGGAGCTGTCAGCAATGACAAAGAAAGATTCCCCATCGATCATGAATGTCTCAATGTCATTGGGTTTGCGAATCTTGAGGATGTCGATGTCCTGAATCTTAATGAACTTATTGGCGGAGATGTCACGTTTGTAAATGTGCGAGCCTCCAAACAACTGAGCCACGATGACAAAAAGGTGGTTGTCGATCACCATGGGCTTACAGACCACAGTGGAGGTACCTGATTAATTGGAGAAAAGACAAAAACACATTTCAATGTTGTGAATTTTTATCTATTTAATCTATTTTTTAAATGCCTGTTTTATACTGTATCTCATTGGGTACAAAAACCTCTGTGTGATACTAATACTGACATTTGGACCACCATTATTTTTATACAGTCATTCACTCATTAATAATTCCACATTGACATTTCAGGTGGAAATACTCACAAAGGTGACTGTCATGCATCTGTGCAACAACAATGCGTCTGTTTACTTCAGTTTGAACTCACTTTCAATGGTGTCGTATGTACGGAAGGTCATCTCAACATGATCCCATTCCAGGAAGCTGCATGTCCCAGCAAAGGGTTGGGCAAACACAACATACTGATCTTTACCAAAGGTGAAGGCCTCCACTGAAATGGACTCAAACTTCATAGACTGATAGGAGGCGAACTCTGAAAAGGATGGTATCACTGTCAGTTCTTTCTGTCATATTTCAATAAGCATTTTTATCCCAAAGATTTAGCTCTATTCTAAACTCTGACATTCTCGATAAGAACTGGAAGAGGTGAGGAAAGGGCAAGACAGCTTATGAGAGTCTTGTGCTTTTATAAGTCAGGAATAAAATACCTGATGCAATGCAATCAAAAGAGTGTGGGAGCAGGTCATTGAGCTTCTTCCCCTGGTGGGTGGGTGGGCCACTGCAGTAGATCTGATCCAGGGTGGCATTTGTGTGGTGCATCCACTCTACCAACCACTTGAGCTTGCAGTCACATATCAGATTGTTGCCACGTAGATCTCTACAGGTAGGATGAATGTATTTGAATATCCTGAACTGTGTACACAAGAAACTTCCCTTTTTAAATTTCCCTGTCCTATTGATCTCTTTCTCTTTGGGAGCACTGGGGGGTTAAAGCCAGCAGCCACAACAAATGACCTATCTGTTATAAAGTCTTTGCTTGCCTACTATTAGTTGTGCCATTAATTTACTCACACTCAAGCATGCATTATCTGTTGCTCAAATATTCGTATCGTGCGAGTGAAGAAAAAGCCAAAACCTTCTCTGTTCCTTGTGATTGATTTATCTGCTTTTTTTTCTTGGATGCTCCAATGTTCTGTTACAGATCTCAAAATTATAGTCTCTTCCTTCATTGAAATGCATGGCTTCAACATCAATCTTTTACTCTCTCATACCATAAGATTTAATAACTAAACCAAAACTTCAACAAGAAAACTTTCAGTCTAAATAAATGAGTGTTATATGAGTACTGCATGTCCTGTGTCTCAACACACCACACAGACTGAAAGACAAACTGAACTCACACTTTGGTCAAAGCATCCATGCCCTTGAAGACATCTTTGGGCAGGGTCTCAAGGTTGTTGTAAGCCAGACTCCTGATGAGCAAAGAGAGGAAACACAATTAAATTAGACTGTCTCGCTGCACATAAGTGACATTGGGTTGGTACACTGTCTGGTCGTTACTGGCTTTTCAATTGTCCCGTGCGCCAGCTTCGGGGGGGCAAATTAGAGTCAGTGTTCTGAAAGCATATGACTATACGAGCCAAGTGGATAAATTGTGAAATTGAAGTTGAGCGACCATTTGAGTTTTTATAGAGAAAAAAATGACATTTATAAAAAGTCAATGTTCTCCAACACTGTGATACAGCTCTAACCAACCAAAACTGTTAAATTGTGAGTTACAGACTGAACCCAAAAACCAAGTGAAAGACATAACTGGAACGAAATGTCAGTCTAGTTCATGAATGCTTCTTTAGTCACTCAAGAGTCATTTTTCTGAGGAGCGTTAGGCCCTCGACTGAGAGTTTGTACATTTCCTCAATCATGATGTAAATAGAGCAGACTGGACAAGACTGCAGCCGACTCCTGGTTGAGTCCTTAAATAATGGCTCTACTGTATGTGGTGCATCAAATGAATACTCTCAAATAAAAGAAAAGGTTATTGTATTTTTGTAAAGGTTATTTACTTTACACTAGAACTGTGTAGTTTTCTTTCAAGCTGTAAAGAGCTCCTATCCTGGAAACAAAACATTCATTGTGGCCTGGTCTAGTAACAAGCAAATATCGTTACTGTTTAATCAAAGATAACACAGGCACAGTAGAAACTATTTGGTTTATGAGTCAGTAAATGATGCATGGTGAAACCTTGTGGTTTTTCAGGGTTTAATTATGATACACTGTTTCCTTATTCCTGCTTCCCTGACAAGATCATCACGTTTGGCATGTCTCACATCAGCGTAGAATCAAAGTTTTCATATCAAATATCTTGCTTTCATAGTAATATATAAATTTGTCACATGTTATAGAAGCATAGAAACTAAAGATAGGGCAAAACAAACACCAAGTGCCTTTACACAGGTGGGTGACATGAAAAACTATTCCCGTGGCCAACTCAGTCTTGTCAGTCTTCGAAGCAAATCAAAGCTTACCTATCAAGTTGCAGACAATCTTATGATTGTGCTTGCGTCAATTACAACCTCAGTATGTTGTAATATTTCTTGTAAAACATACATGGTGGGAAATAACTATGGTTTGTCTTTGTTTATAATACAAATGGAATTTTCTCCCTCCAGACAGTCTGTTGCAACCACAGATTGCACAAAACACGGGTGTAGTCTTAGTGATGTCTCCCATCTGTTTTAGGAGAGGTGTGATAAAGCCAAAGGTCACCTTTTGCTCACACCACCACTTCTGAATGGGCTTCAAACTGTATGCAGCTGATCATTGCTTTTATTTGTCTAGAATTCAGTTTTAATGTTATCTGACTACATAGTCATCACACATTTAGCATATATAAGAATAGAGGCTGATGAAGTGTAACATTTACTGGAGGTAGTTTTAAACACCAAGTCCACCAAGGTGTTGACAAGAAGTATCCCTGTATTTGGCTGCACTGCCTAAATGTAAACATGTTGGGAACGACCTGTCAGAGACAGAAAGAGGCAGCAGAGCACAGGTCACTTGGTGTAAGGTAGCATTCAGCTATATTTAGTTCTGACCTACAGGTCACCCAAGTTCTCACCTATCTTTAGTTTTGGCAAGCTTTGCAGATCAGCAGTGTTTGCAAAAACACAGATATTTGTTTCCTTTAGTAAGATTTAGCTAACGTTATTACCCTCAAGAAAGAATGCTAATTAATAATTTTTTTTCTAGATATATAAACACTCCAAATACATAAATATATTCCAAACTATGCAATCTATTCAGGCACCCTGAAAGAGACATACAATACGAAAACATTCCTGCAACAAAACAATACCATTCATGAGTGTTGCTCATTAATGTATGGAAGGAAAAAGCAATATGACACTCAGAGGCACAATGCAATTTAACTTTCAAAGTTAAAAAAAAAAAAAAAGCTAAGCGGATCTGCAAAGGCAGAAAAACATCCAGATCTGCCCTTCAGCAACCTGATCCAGCTGACACTCTCAGAAAGTAACCTTGTTCATCACTCCCGGCAGCAGCTCTTTGCCTACCTTTGTTTTTCAGGCTGTTACAAAGTGACACAGAGGGAGAAAAAGTTGAATTGATATACAGTTTTAATCTCTGAATATGCTGAATACTTACATTCATAACCTTCATTACACTGAAAATAGAAGATTGTGAAAGACACTGTGCTGTTTGTTAACAATAGGAGGTTGAATACATAATGTGAGCATTTTAAAAACTAGAAAAGAAGGAAGAAGAGACTTACAGATGTATCAGTGATTTGAGGCCACGGAATGCAAATGGTGATATGGATGAAATTCTGTTGTTTTCAATAAATCTGTAAATGAGAAGAAAATGTAAGTAATCACATGCAAATATTATTTTGAGACAAAAATTACTTTCTGCAGGTTGTTTTCAATTGCAGTATTGTAATTATTATACCATCACAGCCAAGAAAAACATGCTTAATTGAAACCTTGCTCAAACAAAGCATGTGTTTTCTATCAAACACTTACCAATTAAGCTTTAGCTCAGGTTATTGTAGAGTTGAGTTCAGCTAAGAGTTACATGAGGTCAGAAAACCTTTATGAACTCAGAAGAACCATAAAATTGTAGTTTTTACTCCCTTAATTGAGCATCATAACTGAAAACACATGAACAGTTGAAGCAGGAGTGCGCAGGGGCATTAAAATGGCAATTTTGCTTGAATTTGCTGACAGATAGGACTCTTTTGTTTCTGAATACAACACTTGACAGCTACGAGAAATAAATGCACAAATAAATAAATAAAAATATAAAAGACCACGTAACAGAAAATGTGCCATTTGGAGATGGCTTGTGCTCTTATGACCTTTAAAAAAACCACTGTAGATGACTGACTGTATGTTAATATGAATGATGTGTCACCAAATTTCCCCACTGTAAAATAGTGAGGCCAAAAGGCGAATGATGCTGATATGTTGCCCTGGTGAAATATTTTGGTGCCAAGGCATGTGTTAAAGCAGTCTTGCTGGTGGAGCTGCAGGACTGGCACCGTACCACTTTTTCCAATTGACAAACACCATTTGTGATAACACATCAATTATTCTTTGGGTCAGTACAGTCTACAGCAGAACAGATTCTGGAGCTGCTCTGAAGCAGAAAGACATGGTTGTCGGAATTAAATGACTCTTGGGTTTGTGCATTTTCTTATGCTGTTGCTCCTCTACTTTGCTAATCTGGTAAAGGATGCTGCAGTAGTTCGCAATTGCCTATAGAGCTATCAATCATGTCCACATCCTGTTTTCATGAAACCAAACATCCAACCAAAACTCACTTTTTCAAAAAAAAAAAAAAATGCATGAGAGGAACTAGCTTTCATTACAGAAATTATGATTGGGAAAATTTCATATCATCTGTATTTTAATCTTCATGTCATATCCCATCTGTTAACATTAAAGAAGGGGTGTTATGCATTTATTAAGACTCTATTCTTCCTCTGTGATGCCTCTTTAATAGATTTACATAATTTTAAGATTGAAAAAGTCCTGTGTTTCTTACTCAGGTGTATTAAAATGCCATTATTTCAGCCCTAGCCTAAAATGCTTCGTTTTAGCTGCCGTCCCTTTGTTGTAATGACGAAGTTCACATCTACAGTGCATCCGGAAAGTATTAATACCACTTCACTTTTTCCACATTTTGTTATGTTACAGCCTTATTCCAAAGTGGATTAAATTCCCTTTTTCCCTCAAAAATTCTACACAAAATACCCCATAATGACAAAGCGAAAAACTTTTTTTAGAACATTTTGCAAATTTATTCACACCCTTTGCTATAAAACTCAAAATTGAGCTCAGGTGCATCCTGTTTCCACTGATCAGCTTTGAAATGTTCCTCCAACTTGATTGCAGTCCACCTGTGGCAAATTCAGCTGATTGGACATGATTTGGAAAGCCGACCAAGTATTGAGTAAAGGGTGTGAATACTTATGTATATGCAACATTTGAGTGTTCTTAATTTGAATAAATTTGCAAAATGTCCTAAAAAAAAGTTTTTCGCTTTGTCATTATTGTGTATTTTGTGTAGAATTTTTGAGGGAAAAATGGAATTTAATCCATTTTGGAATAAGGCTGTAACATAACAAAATGTGGAAAAAGTGAAGTGGTATGAATACTTTGCGGATGCACTGTATTTACTAGGATAATGACAACACACATTAACCTCGTGATTTGAAACTTTGCACACATTTAGTACACACACCAACACTGTAACTTTGCATTTTTTGTTGTAAATGTGGAAAAGCATGATACCACTCCTTTAAGGCGGTATAGTCTTAATGACCTAGACTGCAGCCAATCACTTGGGAGAACTGTATTTTGGTTTCACTTCCAGACAGTAGTTGTCCCATCCATCTTCTTGTACAGTGCAGCTTTTACATCAAGTGTTTATGAAAAAATGAATGATTCTCTCACAGATATTCCAGATGTGGTAAACCCAGGAACGCATCCTCATCAATCAGGTCAAAGGAGTTTGCTGTGAACAATCTGACAAGAAAAAGAAAAGGAAAATTGCATTAATGTAGAGCACAGCAACTACACCCAGAAGTTGTTGTTGGTGGTGGTGTTTCATTGACTGGATTCTTAATGATATTCACAGTTGTTCGGTTGTATTGGGATAGTATGAATGAAAGATCAGGGATTGTGAAACAGAGGGAAAACAGGATGGAGTGATGAGGCGTGAGAATTACTTTATCAGACAATGGACTCATTCGACATTTTTGCCCACAGTGTGTGGTTACCGAATGAATGAAATGGATCAAACAGAGAAATGGTGGATCACTCCTACATGGTTTCCATGAACTGGATGAAAGAGAGGAATGAAAGCCTCCTACATGTTTCTGAGTCACCCTTTCAACCAGTCACACAAAAAAGTGTCCTCAAATATTGCATTCTGTGCCTCTACTTCTTAAAACCCAGATATGAAACATGTGACACACTTGAAGTATAGCAGATTTTCACAACAATCTGGTTTCAAAATTGAACCATGAAAAAAGACATTCAGATTAAAATACATCAAAATGCTGAATACCTAGCTTTGAAATGAAAAACTTCAGTCTTTTTTTTTTGGCTTTGAATTCAAGCAACTGTGACCCTGTGCACCCATAATGTTGGCTAAAGAGATGCTCCATTGATTAAGTGGTACTCTAATGGGGGTTAAGATACTACAGGTCACATAGGCAGTAAATAATGAGAGAGTGAAGGAGAGAAGGGCTATGCGGCTCATTCACTTGACTGTCTAAATTCCCCCTCCTTCTGCACGCAAGCCCTCATGCACATCCAGAACAATTTAATGCAATGTGAGCACGTGGAAAAAGTGATGCCAGGAGAATGTTTTGTCATTAAACAAGTGCGATTACAGAGGACAGCTAATCCTAGCCTTGCTGTTTGTATGAAACTGCTTAATAGACTCCAGTCCTACCAAACGGCTTCATCAGGAATGTCTTATTCAGAATAAATTGCAAGAAAAATTGGCACTATCTTTTGTTTAATTGTGATGTAGCACAATTTTTTTTCAGTGAGTAAAGATGTGACATGTTTACTATATATCTCTACCTGTCTATATCCTCTGTGCAAATATACAGAACCTCGAATCAGCCCATAACCCATTCTGTTAGATGTTGTAGCCATGTGGTGTATTGCATAATCCTGACACCATTACAGAGAATCCCCCCTTTAAATCTGCATATCAGACTTAGAGGGGGAAAAGTCGTCTGTGGGGAGGGGGGGCTGCCTCATTGTCTGGGTACTGAAAGTGAAGACAGACAGACGGACAGGCAGAGAGACAGATAGATAGATAGATAGATAGATAGATAGATAGATATAGATAGATAGATAGATTTGATACTCACAATAGTTGCAGGGCAGGTGTGTGAACAAAGCTTCCTCCTGTTATTTCATTAAATCCAGACTTGACAAAGGATCTAAAAGGATGCAGAACACATTAAACAATATGTATAAGACTTAAATGGCCAATAGGATGTGCTATTTCTTGAATCTACACCACATTTTATTGTACACTGAGAGTCTTATAGGTTGCAGGACTACTTACAGTGAAACGACGTCTGATGGGAAAGCGTGAGGTACAGTTCGGACGTTCTCACACAGGGCGTTATCTTTGGTGCAGGTACATCCAACGGGACATCTGGGCTGTCTCACTCTGCGTCCATCTGCTAGCACCAGGCTGACAGCAGCGACCCAAACCAGGAGCGTCCATCCTCTGCCCGGGTATCCCATTCCTGCTGTCCCGCTCGAGTACACCGACACTCCTGCACATGCAACTTCTCGGCGAAATTCTCCGACACAATTCAGATTAGAAGGATGTTTAAGAGTCTTATTTCCGTGATGGAGGCTGGTGTTGTTTTGCTCTGATGCAAGCTGGTGTCTATGCCTCTCGCGTCTCAACAGGACGGCACGAGTCCAGCGGATTCGTTCTGCAAGGCGCAGGATTACAAATGCGGGACGGACGAGACATGTGAACACAAAATAGTCTCAGAATTATTAAATAAAGAACAAATATCTAATGCACAGCTAAAACACGCAAAAAATAGGTCTGTTTCAGATAAAAGTACTTGTCTTGTAGTCTGTGCAGTCATAGAGGGAAACAAACAAAACGGGGTAAATTCCCGGGAGAGAGACAGAAAAAGAGAATAAAGAGAAAGCCGGTGGAGGGAGGGTGGAGGAGGAGGAGGAGAGGACAGGGGGGAGGCCCCAAGGTGCGCTTTTTTAGCAGCACTGCCAGCTATTATTTATGCGCGCTTCAGAGTCGTGCATGCTTAATGGGAAGCGGCTATTCATGAGGCTGTGTGCAAATACTGCACCTGCCGCGCTCATTCACAGGCTTTTCTGTCCTGCTTTGGCATAATAATGGTGTTAAGTGTGGAAAAGACAGGTTTATACCACCTAGTTAAAATTAAAAATAGCACATAAACTCATTAATATTTTAGCCAAAAGAAATAAAAAAGGACCTCCTGATTAGCAGACCAGAATTGGCAGAAATAGAAAATGATTAAGTGCCTTTAAATTAGTCTATAATTGTATTTTAAAAATTGCTTTCAAAATCAGATATAGTCTTCCATCTGTCATCTTTCACCGTGTTTCCACTGAAGGACAAAAGGAAAGGCAAGTTTACCCTAAGACATTTAAAAGACAGAGCAAAACAAAGTGTTTCTGACCCCTTGAATACTATTAAATTATCACTTTTTTTCACACTGTATTTTTAAAATGGCTTTTAAATTGTTTCTGTAAATAAATTATTTCTCGTGATTTAAATGTCCACGTACAGACTCGGACTACACAGCTATAAATATATAAACACTTCAACTTTTTTCTTAAGGAACAAAGAGTGGACATACATACTCTGTAGCGCCTCTCAATTCCTTTCATCTTTCAAGCCTACATTGACTCCTTTGTTGAGTTCAGGGGTCACGTAGAAGTCACAAAACACTGCATGTCTGTTCCCAGACTGTGTTGACCTGTTAACCCTAAACAGGACAGGAAAATTGTACAGAATCACATCAATTACAACAATACCCTCTTTGTTTTGTGTCCAAAACTCAAAGACCCAACTGCACTTGTTTTAGAGACATTAATCCCCAAAAGTGGTTGTGTGTCAGGGTAACCATCATGGGGCATTTTACCCCACTGTCTGGTAATGTACTTTTTTTATTTGTAAAGTAGATATCAACTATTAGAGTTAAGTATTTTGTTTAAAACAGATCAAGTCATAATCCAGGCAGAATTGGGCTATTTCCTCCCTTTAAAGTCTTCTTTCAATCATTCTGCCCCATCATTGATGTCCTCATACCACTTTTACAGCCAAAATGCTAATATTTTGGTTTTAATTTTAATTTCTGCATTTCTTCTTTTCATAGTGTCTACTTTAGGGGAGAGCGGGGTAAGATGAGCCATTTTTCATATTTTGGATCACTACATCAAGGCAATCATAGTTTTGTCTCTAACTAGTTCATCTGCATATATTTCAAGATGTTGTGCAGCCCTGAAAACCCAAATAGGTAGCATGAAACACAAGCGCGCGCACACACAAACACACACACGTTCATTCATGTGTATTTTTATCAATCATACGCTATTCAACTGGTGCACAAATTATTTTTATTATTATTGCATATAACTGCTAAAAACCTGTTTTGTAAAAAATACATTTTAACATGGGAATGCCTTTAAGTGTACTAAGAAAGACTCAGAGCATTCACAGATGTGTGATTTTTTGAAAAGAAACAGTAACACATTTCAACAATCTGAACTGATACTCTGATCCTCTCATTGTACTCCTTTACTTTCTCAGTTGAGCCACTGGCTTAACTCACCCCCGAACTGCTATTATGACTTTATTCGTCCTCTCAGCTAAAATGATGGACTTTTATGCTAGGTTTCTGACCTCATGTTGTAGCTCATAGATACCACAATTGATGTATAAAACATATTTAAAATGATCTTTTTTGGTCTGAATACAACTGTAATAAAACTTATGACAGACTAAATTTCACTTTCAAGAGTGAAATATGTTTTTTTTTTTTTTTAATAAATGTCCAATCCCTTCACCCATGTGCTTCTAGCCTTCACAGACTTCATGAATTGATGCTCATTTCCTTAATATTTGGTCACATGATCAATTTCTTTTGCCAGGGGGTGGCTCAATTTACCCTTCGGCTCAACTTACCCCACTCTCCCCTATGCTCCTTACTAACTGTTCGTTTAGCTGTCTTGTCTGTCATTTGATCGCCTTTTAATTCTTGTACTAGTACCTAAAAAAGTCTCTTTTCTAATCAAAGTCATTTATTATTTCGTTTCGTATGACAATATGATATTCTATTTCCATTTTTTTCCTCGTAGTTATTCACGATACGTCATCGTACTGCAATTCGCTGCATTACGTCATCATTCTGCGACACGCATTTTGTAAACAATAGTGAGCAACTGCTGGATTTACTTGGGGAAACTCATGGATAACCTTGTCAAGGTAAGTTTTAACCTCAATTCAAATATGGACGTTAATTCGCCGAGTAAACATTTGGTGCTTTTTAGCCTCAAACAAGCTCGCGAGTTAGCATCAAACGTTAGCCTAACGGCAGGTAGTTGCTCACTTGTGTCTCCCACCTCCATCATTATGTCTTAATGAGCTGAAACACGATTCGAGCTTTAAGTGCTCGAGCTCCAGATCACACGAGATATTACCATACTTTGTCCCCTCTACTGGCGTGTACACGTGCTCATCCATAATGTTGGTCTCAATCGCTTCCCAAAGGTAAAGAAAGATAAGCTGTTGAACTGAGGTCTGGTGACTGTGGAGGTCAGCAACGGGACTTGGGCGGACTGTCGAGTGTAAATGACGCTCATTTGGTGCTAAGGAGCTCAGTGTGTGCCTTGAAAATACCCCTCATACTATTTTACCAGCAGCAGCAGTCTGAACTGGTGATTGAAGGCAGGGTGGATTCATGCTTTCATGTTGTTTATGCTGGTTTCTGACCCTACCATCTAAATGTCATGGCAGTAATCAGGACTCATTAGACCAGTTTATATTTTCCAATCTGTTACCGTCTAATTTTAGTAAGCCTATGCAAACTGCACCCTTAGTTTACTGTGGTCCAGAGCATCCAGTGTGGTCTTCTACTGAAATAACACATGGTCTTGCTTTTTGTGTTGTCAGTTGAGAGATTGTCTGCTGCATAAAATGGTCTATTTCAGCTCGAATCACTCTGGCCATTCTGCCCTGACTTATACCATCATTAAGGCATTTGTGTCAGAGAAGGACAGCTTTTCACCTTTTCAGACAGTTTTTTTTAATATACCTTAGAGAGGATTTTGCATAAAAATCCCAGTAGATCAGCAGTTTCTGAAACTCACAGCAGTCTGGCACCAACAACCATGTCAGATTCAAAGACACATCACCTTTCTTGCAGGTTAAAATGCTTGGTTTGGACTTCAGCAGATTGGCTTGGTCACGCCTACATGCTAAAATGCATTGGGTTTTTGCCATATAACTGGCAGATTAGATATTTATAGTAATAATAATACATTTTATTCATAAGAGCCTTTCTGGGCACTCAAGGACACTTTACACAGAAAAAACAGTAGGATAAAAGCAATAGAGAAAACAAAATAAAACGGGGAAAAAAGTATATATATATATATATATATATATATATATATATATATATATATATATATATATGTCTGTATAAATAAAACAAACAAAAACATGACAAGCTAAATTATAAGGAATGTGCTTATCTTAACAGGTGGGTTTTGAGTCTGGATTTTAAGAGAGGGAGAAAGTCAATTTTGGGAATGTCAGGTGGGAGTGAGTTCCGGAGATGGGGAGCAAAGTGGCTTCTGAATGATAAGCTTAAGAGGTGTACAGAAAAGTTTATTGGTGAGTGTAAATGCATCATGTTTGATCAAATGTGACTCTGTTTCCTCAGGTTCATGGAGGAGGTGGCTATGACTCTGACTTCAGTGATGATGAGGGGCATGGAGAGTCCTCAGAGAGAGGACTTAAAAGGTAAAAAACAACAACAAAGAACTACGTATCCTGGATAGAAATCAGTCTTGGTTGTGTACTGGTGATTATTTCATCCTCAAATGGATCAAACCAAGTCAAATATGACAAAGTCAAATATGTGATATAAAGGCTACTCTTTTTTTAGATTAAACATGAGGTCTTATCCTTCCAAATTTAATTTTGTCTTAAGCGTCATAACATTAGAGGATATTTTTGACAGTATCTTTCACTAAACTTTTTGTGTTCATTTGTACTTGTTGCAGGAAACGTGAGGAGGAAATTCTACAGAAGCCTTTTCAGAAAGGTCGGCACTCCAAGGTGGCGCACCGGAGTTTACACTGCAACGAAGTGGACAGGTACCTTGAGTGTGCAGTGAAATATCTTCATCACATAGCCCAACGTCCCATGCATTTTACCTGTTTATGTCGCAATCAGAGTCATTTCTGGTAATGTATAAGGACTGCAGCCAGCAGTGAAATAAAATGAATCAATCAGCCTCAACTTTATTTGTAGTTTATATAGTGGCATAATGTATGACTCAATTAAAATGAGAGGTATCCAAATTAAATTTTTCTTGTTTTAAAACTTATCACTACCCCAGCATTTAATATATGTGTCAAGCAAACTTAAATTACCTTCCAGAGAAGATTTTTGTTTTATAAATTTATGCCTTTAATAAAAACAAATGAGACCATAATTCTGTGTGTCGTGATAGTCTTCTGTTGGCCCATTGTTCTAGCTTTTTGTTCCATTTTAAAAAGTTATGGGAACTTGAGCTTGAAAGAAAAGGCTGATTTAGTCCTATCTCATTGTTACCGCAGAATGAGCCCTCTGCTTTTTTACCTAACAGCTATACAGAACAACCTCAGTTAAAAGAAGTAGGAATGCTGTGGCAATGGATAACCACATCTGTTTTGTGTTTTTCAGAGAGGAAGCAAGGAACAGAAGAGCTCACCTGATATCAATGAATGCTGTATCCTTAAACAGTGTCAGATTGAATAGTGTTTAGAAGCAGATATACTGTAGAAAGATTGAGATAAATTTAGATATAAAATAGACATATTTGAAATTTTTTGTCATATTTGTCAAAAAAACGACCCTTAGCAGATGCCTTCAGTTTGAACGCCATAAGAAGTTTGTGGCTGACTACATACTTTACTATGGCGGACAGGCGGCTGACTTTAAACGCTCGAGGTAAGTTTTGTGTCACACCATGAGGTCATCTGCTGTCACTCTGGCTAAAACTTATCATGAGGTGTTAACCACAACAGTCTCTTTTTCATGTGTTGCTCTCATCAAATAGTAACTTAATCAGAATCTATTAAATCAGTTATCTATTTTAAAGTGTCTCTTTGTGGTTCTACTATATCTACTGTTTCTTACCTCACAGAGCGAACGACAAGACAGATCAGGATGTGCTGCGAGAGAATCACCGCTTCCTCTGGAGGGAAGAAGATGAGGACAACATGACATGGTAATAACACACATTAGACTGCTTTGATATACAGTGTACTTGTTACTAGTTATTGGCTCATTCTCACTGTTCTCCTCCCAGGAGGGCAGGTTGACCTCTGAATCCAAAATTATTTCATGCTGACAAAAATTAACTTGTTTCAGATTCGTTTGGGCTCTCTTTTTCTGTCTCACACTTCTAACCTCATTCTGTTCCAGGGAAAAAGAGCTCGCCAAGAAGTATTATGACAAGCTGTTTAAGGAGTACTGCATCGCTGACCTCAGCAGATACAAGGAAAACAAGGTGGGAGACATGGCAGCAGCAGAAGGCGTTCAGAAAATGTCAAACTTACGTCAGTATGGACTGTAACAGTTGGCACATGTCACCTGGTGATAGGTTCGTGTTTTGACCAAAATAGCTCAATGTTTTGAAGTCTCATCTCTATTAAAATGTCAAAAATAAGAAGCCAGCCCCACAAGAGAAGACAAATATGGAGGGAAATATCACACTGTTTGCAGACACCACAGCCATCTAATATATCATCATCCCTTTTGCAGTCAAATTAATTTTCCCAGGGGTGGTTTCATGGGTGGAGGTTAATATTTTATAAGTCAGACACATTCACCTCCGCCAGTGCTGGTCCACTTCAGATAAATGTTCAGGGTCTGATGTGTTTTGGCGCTGTGCTCGGTCTCTGGTGACCATGGGCCACTTTAGTTTGAAGCCAGGCTTTAAAACCGACAATATGTGGAACCCAAGGGCAATCGCTCCATAGCTGCACTGTAATGTGTAATGATACTGCACTCCTTTATTTTTCCAGTCATCTGGTATCTCAAATTGATGCCACAGTGACTGACAGATGACACACACATGCATGCAGACTGATTAAAAACAAGTAGAGGCCTTGCAGTTACGATTGAAAATGTCATGATTTATTATCCATCTCTGCAGCTATTAGTCCAGTTGGCTCAAAATGTGCCGCAAAAACCCAGATTTCCTCACAAATTATTCATAGCTGTTAATGACTGCAAATGCAGCACTGAGTTGCATCATTCCCACAAGTTTAGTCAAATTTTGATCAGCTGTGTTGGCTAAATGAGGTGTGACAGCGTGCAGATGCCTGCACAGACAGAGAGTGTGCTGTGAGAGCTGTGTAACAGCACAGGCAGAATACTAAATACTGCTGTCCAATCACTGCTCACTGGTGCTTCTTTTCAAGTATGGGAGACGCTGCACGAATCAGATTAATAGTGAAGTGGTGATGTGTATGAAAGGCATCCATTTACATGAAGACGTGACAGAAACATTTAGCTTTACGTGGGTATGTGCTTTAGAGCTTTGGAAACTCTGAAAAGCTTCTACAGTACCAGCAGTGACCCTGACACACTGAATTATTCAATCGAAATAAATACTGTTCAGCACTTCTCGCTTTACAGAAGCAGAGCAAACACTGAGCTTTGAAAATATCCTCTGAGAAAAATTTGCAATTATAGCAAATTATTCCAGCAATTAACGGGAATCTTTTTGAATTTGTGCCAAACAGTTTGGATTTCGCTGGCGGACTGAGAATGAAGTTGTCTCTGGCAAAGGTATGGCTTTGACTGACTTTATATTTAGTTTAAGTGAAATGTCTGTGTTTGTTTTATGTCTTTTCGTTCACTCTGCCTATCATCACTGTAGATTGTGTTGAAACATGGACAACAGACAGCTGCCTCCAAAGTGAAACTGAAACTTTTATTGGCCACAGCAGGGGTCTTACAGCCCGTCTTAAGCATAGATTATTAAACTAGGGCATTAACAGTGTTAGATCTTATACTGATTAGTGTGTAAGTGCTTTTTTTTTTTTGGTTCATGTTTAATAAGTCATTTAATCCTGGAAAGAGATGATGCAACATCATGATTGACACCACAAACACTTAGACAAGAGTCATTGAACTTTAGATTACTGAGTGTCCATGTACAATAAACATTGAAATCTTTTCTGCTGCAGACTGCTCTGACCTGGTTGGTAAATTATGTTTGTCTTTTGATCAGCTGTATGTCAGAGAAATCCACACAAAGAAGAAATCTTATTTTAATTACATCATGTGATGTTATCTACTCACTCCTTAGTTAGGTCTGCTTTTATTCAAACAACTTGAATTAGTTCCCCTAATTTCCCTCTGCTCTGTTATCTCCCTTTTTCCCCCTTCACACCGCACCATCCTCTTTTTATATACATAGCAGCATGTGTTGACATGTCTCTTGACGTTTTTCTCACCCTTAAGTGTTTGATATTTCCACAGTTTTCATTAGCGCTAAATTTTACAGAGGTGAACACTAACACCACACTCACCTGTAAACATAACAGGTGATTAGCACGTCTAAAAGGATTGCTAATGATCATTTTGCAACACCCTAAAAGAAGACTGTGTGGCATGATATTATGAGCAACCAGCGGCATATAACTTAAAAAACAGAGGTCATTAATGGGATGGATGTACTTAAGGACCTCTGTCTTATTAAAATCACCATGCATGTGTCAGACGACCAGAGATCACTGAGTTAATTTGATTGGTAAAAGACGATTCCTGTTCAAAGAAGGCTGTTAATGTTGTTTTTCTTCGATGAACAAGCCGCCATGTAAGTATACTTGGCCGAAAATATGTAAATTTGATACCAAATTAGCATACAGGACAGATAAACCACGGACAGGTGTAATGAATAACAATTATCTCTTCACACCTAGAGTGGTTTTGAATAGGTTAGGCAACAGGTGAACGTTTTGTCTCCTTCTGCTAATATTGCTGCAACCATTTACACTTTTCTCCACTAGGTGGCGACAGAGATGTAGAAAATTCAGATGGCAGTAGATGCAATTCAGGGGACATTTCCCAACACGTCACTGTCAGAGGAAAAAAACAATCTCTCACTTTACTTTGAGTCATTTCACCTTCAGAACAGCATCAAAAGTCTTAAATGTATAAGACCCTTCAAATTAAGTTGTCTATTTTAGAAGCTTTTTTTACTCCGTACACACAAATCCTCCTCAGTCCGTACCTTTTTTTGTTTGGTTTGTAAACACCTCACTTCCAGGAGCCTCCTTCTATCTTTGTACTCATAATGAAGCTCACTTTAACAGTCTGGCAGCACTTCCATGATCAGGGTCTATTAACTGTTCAAGATTAGCACCTCATCTGTGTACGGCTCCTTCATGTGACACCGACTGATATTTATAGCTTTACCTGAAGGGACATTATCTTCAACTCTCTCTCTTGAGTTGAAACCTGCCCTGACAGCTCATTGATATGCTCTGAGACACAAACACTCTCACACACACACATGTTTACATCAATGCAGCCTCACAAATATACACAGTATGTCTGAGGGAGCTGACTAAGCCAATATATTGTTCCAGATTAAGACTCTGTAATCCTGGTCTGTGACAGTTCACCCCTGCAGCAAAACTCGACAGGAAGTGGATTAGATTAGGTCAGAGGCACTTCACTTCCACTGTCGCGCCTGTGATTTGTGTACATTAACAAGAGACATACTTCTTAAGCACTATTAAGAGTGCAGGGCGGTAAAATCAATACTCATCTAATCCCAACGTCCTCACTCAGAGGTCGAGGAAACAGTGGGGCAAATAGAAAGTTTGGACTGCTCATGATGGAAGTTTATGGAAGAAGAAGAGTAATTCATGAGTACATTTTAATTTTTGTATTTGAAGGACAATAAAAAGTGTCATATAAGTTAAAAAAGTAGTTCTTTTGGTTACGTCCTGATCAAATGTTGAGTCCAGGCCTTTTAAGATGATGAGACTTCACTTCTTATGGAGAAAATTAACACGACTGGATATTTCCTTGTGGACTACTCCAGTATCTGCTCATAAAGGGCACCGCACTTCAGCTCTGACACTGACACTGTTTTTGGAAACGGTGCCCTTATCAATCCTTACTATCTGTACACCTCAGGTCATGTTGGTGTTAGGTAACGCTGACTGGTCCTCAACCAATCAAGTGGATAAAGAGGAGCGCTGACCTTCGCTATTTAAGGCATTAATGTGGCATGATTTGGATCAGTAGGCAGTTTGAAAAATGTATTTTTTTTTCTTGGGTGAAGATTTGTACTGACTGCACAAGAACTATTGAAGAATTCAGATCTACTCTGTGTCGTGATCATCCTCCTCTTCTTCTGCTTTTAACATTAATCAAAGAACAGCTAATGGAAGCATTCAGCAACTTTCATTCAGCAACTTTCCAACCGCCACTAATGGTGGATAAATGGAAAAGCATGACAATGGCCAGAAAATATGGAAAAAAGTATGAATGTATGTGGAAGGTCTTTCAATACTGCAGCAGACGGAGATGTGGGGTGTTGAGACATGCAGGCACTTCATTCCAACTGCTGTTTTTTCACTGGATTTCCCTTCTGGTTTACATTCAGCTTGAGTCTCGCTGTCAAGGGGAGGTTAAAGGACAAAGGTAGTTGAGGCCAGGCTTATTTTTGGTGGGCCTCCTGTCAAAGTAAATGGAGTGTGGTCTTACCTTATGTAACTTCCTTGTGTTTAAGAAAATGGCTTCAACATGCTTCACTACCACACTCTGACTTACAGTGTTGGAGTCAGCTTTGACCCACCTCTGCCACCTTTATTTAAGTCACAGTGTGTACTGAAGTGAGAGGCCACTTCAAGCCTGCACTGTGACTTTATGCTTTTTGTCAGTTATTGACTGCTGTTAGTATTTATTTTGGGGTTTCATTTGATTACCCAACTCACATTGTCTGATTTCTGACATCCTGATTAAAATTTCCTCTGCTTCCTTACTGTCACATTTTTAATTTTATCCAATTTAATCCTTGAAATCATTACAACTCTGATAGAAACAAAATAAATGATAAATTCAAAGGTGAACCTCAGTTTTTTTTAAACAATAGCTTCAGTCTGGCCTTGGTTTTAATATAAACTGGATTTGTACTTTGTAAAGATGTCCTGCTGGGCTCTATTGTGCGAGGCAGAATAAATCAGCCTCTGTGGAGTCATTTCTAACTGTTAGAAGTGATACCTCATTAGCCCACAGGCCACAAAGCTTTCACAATTGCTTAGTCTAACAATAGGGAATGCTGATAACTCTGCTGTTGTTGTTTTTATGTGTGTGTTTGTGTGTTTATTGTGTTTTGGCTTGAGGAATGAAGAAATGTAAGTATTCCTCAATAGTCTGCAAAGACAGATTAAATATCCATCTCTTCATACCTATAGGATAAGCAAAGTCAATGGTCACAAACTAAGTACTGAGTTATTCGAAGTTGGAAAATACTGAAGTGAACTTCAGGTCAGCCTTCTAGGAGTACTTGTTAGTTTGAAAAACGGACAGAAAAAGGCTAAATCTGATCTAGAGTCAGAGGTTGGAGTGTGTGGTTGGTTCAGCCTTTTTGGGATGCTTGTTATATATCTAATTTTAAAATCTAACCCGCTTTAGGGGCAGCTAGTGTGGATTGAAGAGTGACTCCTATAGGCTGAGAGTTTATCAAAGGTGCCGTTTTGCAGCCAGCTCTGAATTCAAACGTTCGACAACTGCTGCACATGAATGTTAAAGACAGATTTTTCCAGCAGGTTTGCCATATGAAATCTATTTGATGGGTCTTTTTTTTCCCCTTCCTTTAGCGGTATTAGTTGAAGAGTTTATTATGCTTGTTTCTGGTGGAAATTAGTATGGTTTTACACAGGCATAGATCTGTTCTCCGAGCCTGTGATGTTGAAGGGGTATTTTAAAAATTTGGGTTACGTATGTATGCAGACTCACTTTCTGGCTATCTCAATGAGAAATACAGAAGGAGATAAATACCATACCCATTTCTGATACCAGCACCCAGTTAGATAAAAGCAGAGTGTATTTATTTAAAGGTCAGCATAATAACTCAACCTACATAATAACTTACTGAAAAATGACAAAAACTCCCCTTCAATAGACTCCTGACACTCATGGTTATCATTTAGTGGCTCATGTGCTAGCGTTTGTTACATATTTGATCACAGTGTCACCTCTGCTCTGCTCATCTGGTGCACACAGCACCTGCAGGACTCACACTTATCAACAGAGCTGTCAATCACGCAGCTACATTTTTTTCATAGCACAAACTACAGTGACTAAATCCACGTCTACACATGAAAATGGTTTTTTTGACATGTATTTCACCTTTATACTTTTTCATTTTTTTGACTCATGTACCACCTGTCAACATAGAGGAAGCAGGTTATTTGTTTACCCACTTGGTTGCCGAGCAACGCATCAAATTTGCCTCAAACCCCAGTGTACAAACTTAAAGTGGATGCATGTGAAACCATGTTGACAAATTCGTCCAACTGAAATCGCTCTTATTCAAACTTTTCATAGTCAGACTAACAAACTGTGATAATGAGGCTGGGGATCTATTTTCTTCTCCATGTGTATGGCTCAATCAGGCCTAAATGTTCTGCACATGCTCCAGCATTTGCACGTCAGGCTTTGAGCTGGAAGTTGAATAGCATGAATGTGTTGCGAACAAAACCTCAGAGGACGATGAAAGAACATGAATAGACCAAACTTTCTGAAAGCAAAAACTCAACAGTACATAGCTGTAAAAGTGACGTACATCCTGTAGCCCCTTGCTATTGAGCTGCATCGACTGTTTCCATCTGCTATCTGTTTATGTCCCTGTCCATTGTAGCAAGATTTTAGATACTCGTGAAAACAGGAGTCTATAATCTCAAAGGTCAGGTTAAATAAAATCCACAGACAGTTTAATACATACAGTACTCAAAGAGGGAGTTACTAAATTACCCTAGCATGTTGAACTAGAATCTTTCTCTACAACAGGCCTGGCTTTACGTGAACTCAGTAAACTTTTACGGCTTTCCAAGAGTGATGAGAAAGTGAAAAGACACCAGCTCAGCCTGTCACTATCCTGTGACTTCATCCAGTGAATGTTGACCATTCAACCATCTGTTCTGTGCTGTATCCGTCCTGATCTTGGCCTGCTGGTTGGTGGCATTAGTGGCCATTGACGTAGGAGGACAGGAGTTCCCTCACTTAATAGGTTTAGCCAGTCAAACCCAATGCTGGTCCTTTTCGCGGTGCATGTGAGGCTCCCATGATGTGTGAGGATACCCGCCGCTTATCAACAAAACACACTGATCCTCTTTTTTTAATTCTTAAAGGTCTTCACAGCGACCCACACAGGAGCTTCGGTGTAAAGCCTGTAAGCAGGGATGCTCTGTACGACACTATTTTGAAAATCTGCTTTCTTATCATTGCAACAGCGGATGAAGTTGTGCTTCAGTAAATGTGTGACCAGGAGGCTGAAAACTATTAAAAATGGGAGGACTTATTTCCCAACCTTGATTACTTTAACTCTGACATTTATTTGAAAACAGCTCACCCAGGAACTTTCTTTTTTTTTTGTAGCTTGAGGGTCATTCACTCTCGCCTTGTTATAACCTTGGAATATTTCACTTCCTTTTACACTCAACACAGAGCTGCCTCGCCGCTGCAGCAAGAAGATTCAGTTCTTTGTTCAAGGGCGCTCAGTTTTGTTTCGAAAAATTCACAAGCCTTTTATCTACTCTCTTGGTGGATTAAAACTAGAGAGAGTGCATCACAAGAAGTATTTGATTGTTTTGTGTGTGTGTGTGTACAAGAGAGTAAGATGTCATGGAAGAATTCCAGCGCGATCGTGATTGACGTCACTGATGATGGTAAAGGAGTGTCTCAAGTCTCCTGGCACCTGTCCGTCCTCATGGCCTAGTGTTGGCTCAGAGTTGATAGGATGACCCGTCCAAAGTCACACCCACATAGAGTCTGAAAAAGTGTGACTCATCGAGGTTTTAAAGGGACCCTTTTGATTTAAAGTCAATACAAGACATCGACTTGTGTGATTTTATAGTTGCTGCTTTTAGCTTTAGTGTTTACGGAAACTTAAATTTGATTACTCTGTTGAGCCTAGTTTCTGGGTACAGCATTGTCCGGTTACTTTGCAGATTAGAGTACAAACCCTGTAACACAAGAACAAATCCCCTGTATATGTGAGCCATTCCCTCAGAAGAATTTTTGACTTTGTTGATTCACTGACTTTTTTTTTAAAAGAATTAGTCTTGGGCTTTTCTGGACAGAGCAAGGAAACAGGGCAAGACGGTCAGGAATGACACATGTGAAAGGATCCACAGGTCAGACGCAAACCCGGGCTGACTGCTCAAGGCGTCACCTCCATACATGGCGCACATATAGTCCCCTAGACCATTTATGGCCAGATTCACAAACTTTATGACGTCAAATTTAATTGGAAGAAAACTGGCCTTCCTTTCCTCTGAACCTACATTAACCAGCAGTAAATTACAATAAACACTGATGGTGTATCCCAACAAATCAAATTAAAAATGAAGGACTAATACATTTAGGAGACAAAGTCATCAAGACAAGGTGGGAGAGGCCCCCTTATTTTTATTATTTACTGGGGTTCCTAGACATGCGAGGTAAGGGAGCTAACATTTTACTAAAGGTTGTATTTGCTGTGATGGAGAAATGTTTTATTTTATTTCATTTACATTTATGCTGATTCAACATCTTTATTTTCATCTACTTATGTTGAACAAAACATATTTTGCATTGTGTTTGGGTGAAGGAAGAAAAATCATGTACTTCACTGCACTATCATAAATGTATGTTGGCATTTAAAAGCACTGACCTGTCTTTTTTTATCAAAGGCAAAAACTCCATCTCATATGTGGGCCCAAGTGTTTATTTTTATTTGGCATTTTTTTCCCACTAGCAGGGAAAGGCCATCGATTCTTTTTCTGCCATACCAAACCGTCCAAAAGCTGGTAAATAACTGCTGATGTAAACTCTTTACACAGCATAGCTTTTGTTTCACAATTTCAAGTCACATAAAATAAAACAAGAAACCCAAACTGAACCTTTTAGTCAAGAAAACATCTTTAAAAACCACCTAAATTTAGGGCTCTACTGTAAACTATAATTTTACTTATTTCTTGCACTTGCTTGAAAATAATATCAGGCCATCCTAAATATAGCTGCATCCCATCCCAGGACTGGTGCCAGAAGTGTCTTTTTTAGCCTACGTCATGGGAAGCTAATCTGATATGGCACGTGATGATAAAATGCCACACAGCCCAAGTGGCCCAAAGCTAAGACAGCCAGCATCAGCTCACCTGAATGTTTACAGAGTCTCAGTCTTGGGCAGGTGAGGGCAGACATCACTTTTCCTCTCTCAGAGTAAAGCATTTCTCGCCCGTGTGCCAAGAATGGACTGCTCTGACGCACATACTCCCTCTGCTACAATCTGGAGGAACCTTGGAGACCAGATCAATGCCACCCTAAGCTCCTCTGGGGATAATAGGCAGGCTGTGCAGCGGCTGGAGGGGAGCCTGAGGGATGAGGCGAACTGCAGAAAGGGAGATGAGAGGGGGCAGAGGGATAAGAAGAAAGGGGTGTAGAAATAGACAAGAGGAGAGGCGGGATGAGGGGTTTGGATGTAGCTGTGCACAAACTGTAGTCTTTGGAGACTTAAAAACCTGCATCCTGAAATACAATGTTTGCCTTTTTAAAAAAGTGTTTCATCCTCTTCTATATGTTTCAGTTCTGCTTTTCCTCAAAACTCGCACTTTACAAACTTTTACACAGTATTTGCACATTCACTGTCACCAGCAGCACTTCATGTTTTACCTGCTTGTATATTAACTTAACCTGTTTCTCCCCTGTACAGCTAGATCACCACAAGCTTCTTAGGTTTTATCCCTGATTTTACAAACTGCTTCTTTTACCAGAACCAACCACATTTTAGTATTTATGTATAGTTTATTGTTGTCTGTTGGGGTGTCTTCTATTTGCACTCCAAGTCACCTTAAAGATAAGGTTTTTGGACTGATGTTATGTACAGCTTTTGTGTAAATGTAGGCCGTGTCTGTTCTGGTTATTCAGGTCAGTTCCAGTGTGGGAACAAGCGTTGTGAGAAGGAAGAAGGCCTAAAAAGCTGGGAGGTGAACTTTGCCTACGTTGAACAAGGCGAGAAGAGAAACGCACTGGTGAAACTCAGTAAATACCTTTTATTGAATTTTATCTGATCATTCTTGGTTACAGGTGTGTGAAAATGCGTGAGCATGTGTGTCGAGCTCTGGCTGACTTGGAATCCCCCTCTAAAACCAAGCTCATAATAATAATAATCCTCCTTCAGGTATCATACTGCAGAAAATCCTGTTAATATAATTACAGTAATTGGACGACCCACCTCCCATAATGGACTCAGTCAAGCAGGAAATGACGGAATCTTTTAACGAGCTAGAGCAACAGGTCACCCTCAGGAAGATTTTTCTGTCTCAACCAAAACTGCTTTCTAATTATGTATTCACTTTGGAATCAGTGCTGAGACACAAAAACTGTTTTAGTGACAAAACACACTTTAATCACCTCGAAGTATTAGCTTAGTTTATCACCTCAATTTGTTAAATGCTGGTTAAATAAATACCCCCACATGATTCTAACTGGCAAAACCCCTCACCAAGGATGTGGGGTTAGGTCAAACTGAGACTGTAGCCTCAGTGCGCCTTAATAGCTACACCAACTGGTACGACAGTCAGCTGTGAAATCTTTGGGGCTGTTTTCTCTGCTGTGTTGTATAATACCTTTTTGATCAACCTAATTATCATTGAATCAGTCAACTTTTGTTTCAACTTGGTTGCCCCAAAAGAAGTCTCACCTTTAAGGTATGACAAGGCCCCTCTGCTTTGTGTCAAGTCCTGCTTACTCTGTTATAGGGCTGGGCGATATGGCCTCAAATCAATATCACAATATTTTGAGCAGTTCACCTCAATAACGATAAATGAAAGATAACTACTCCCCAAGCTGCTCACCCCCTCCCATATTAACTTCCTCTACTTCAGTCGCCGCTCCAGCCATTACAACTTTTGAGTTGTCCTTCATCTCCTCACCTGTCTTTTCCTCTTTCTTACGGACTGGATGGGGTGGAGTCACGTCTCTGACAGTGTTTTAAAGGGACATGAGATCATAGCCTCCCACTCACATCCAAAACAAACTTTTATTTATTTATTTGACACCAAATATATTGACATGGGCAAAATGATGTGGGTTATTGTAGTAAATTTCGGTATCTGTAAATGTTCAATTTATCACCCAGCCCTACTCTGTTACTCTTAGTACTAAGTGAATCATCTAGGATGAAAAAAAACACAGTGGTTGTTTTATGCAAAATAACTTGTACTGACAGACATTTTAAAAGTAAAGAAAACTGACATGTGGAGGATGGAGGGTCACACCTCCCAGACTTCATAATGGCTTCTTGTCCCCAAAGCCCAGCATTGCTTCACCAATAGCAGGGGGTGAACAGGGGAGCGTTTCAGTGCAGAATCTGACTGCTAGATATTGCTTAATATCCCTGTTTCTACACACTGTACCTCAAACAGTGAGCAATAATCTTTCTAACAGAGTTAAACGGGGGTTCCACAGGGTTCCATTCTTGGTCTTCCACTCTTTTAGTCTGTCCAAATTAATTTGTTTAAAAGCACCTGTTGCTGCATTTTAACTAAGTACTTTAAATACAGTAAAGCTTATGGCCTATGGTTGCTAACAAAAACATATATTTTTTCTAGGAGTATGCCCTGAATGCTCATTCAAACTCAACTACCATCACAAGTAAGTGTAATTATTCTACATCTTATTGAAGTCTTACTTGAAATGAAATATATGCTGTCTGAAAAAAAGTGTCCAGAATGTGTCATGGTCTTTAAGGAAAGAGGCAGATCACCTTGTGCAATCAGCACGCAACATTGCACAGGTTAAGGGTTCAAACTGTTAATTCAAACATGTGCTGAATTGAGAGTCACAAAAGTAAAAGCAAGGTTTTATTCACATTTGAAGTTGAGTTATGATTTGAAAAGTCCTACTGAGTGTTCTTGCAGACTTTGTAACAAAGTGTAAAGAAAGGCCTCATCCATTAAAGCTTTAGCCAAGATTTATTCACACCACTTAGGAAATGCCTTTGCTCCCCGAGGATTTCAGATTGCTTCAAAACAGCGCTGTACAAATACAGTTTCTTTAAAGTGTGGTTTCCATTTGCAGGAGGAAAGAGGTGAAAGCAAAGACAAAGACTAAAAGGTTTTCAGAGAATCAGGAGCCACCAAAGAAGAAGAAGAAGCAAAAAAAGAAATCGACGGGAGACTCGTCACACTCAAAAAAACACAAACGCAAAGACAAACACACGAGGCACAGAGGTAAGACTTCCCCATTAATGAGGGTGATGATCACATCATATAGGACTGTAACAGCTTCTTTTGTTTGCGGAAATGTTACCATTCCCATTTTCACGAGTGTTTGATGCTTTTTAGTCGCAACATTTTATCTTTCATCTATGTTTCCCTATAGATCACTACACCTCTTCCAGCAGCTCAGAGGATTCGCAAGAGTCAGACAAAGGTAGCGTTCATAACTCTCTCTCACACACATGCAGAAGCACCTCCCCCATTTAAAAGGCACACACACACACACACACACACACACACTGGAGGGTTTATGATCTACTTCCCCAGGCCTCCAGGGCATGACACTCCTCCTAAATTCTGGAGTGAAAACACCCTGACAGACCTTTCTGGAAACCCATCTTTTAGCCCTGCAGTTTATAGCGATGCACAGAGAGGAGGTCTGCTTTTTCTCACCTGTCTTTCACCCCATTCCTCTTTACGTTTTTTTTTCATGTTCTTTTGCCCTCCACAGTAAGCAGCATGAAAAGAAATATGTCTTTTTTTTTCCCTATTTCATGGTGGATGGATAGGTTGGTGAGTGAAATGGCTCACAAAAATAAACCTCTGTCCAGAGGTTATGTCACTGAGTTCAACATGCATTGAAGTCCATACAAAAACACCCTCAGACCCACATGCATACTTTCTCATCTTAGTTAAACATATCTGAAGCAGTCACTTATGTAGGAATCCTTAAAACATGTCAGATTTATGTTATGCATTCAGTGACAGTCAAGGACTTTAGGGTTATGGAGGCACTTTGTCTCCTGGGAACATAAAGTGAACTGCATGTTAGGACCACATTGAGGGGGTTGTTAAGCTTGAGGTTTGGGCCTTGCCATGTTTAACAAAAATAGACTGCTAGGCCCATAATGAGGACCAAATATAGCACCGCACGATTAGGTAGTAATGATTGGTCTTCTGAATGAAGCACAATGCAGTATCAGCTAAGACAGTAAACCCAAATTAGAACAGGCTGTCCTAATGCGAACCAAGAACTGTTGGTGTTATTTTGATTTTGGTGGTTCCTGGTTATTTACACAGCAATTTAAAGGATATGTGTGAAATCCTGGTCTAGGAACCCTAAATTAGGGATTTTGTGCAGAGAAATATATTTTTTCTCCAATGCAATGCAAAGAATGTCCATCCTCAAGGGGATGTTTGCTGAGCTCAAAGTGAAAGTATCAGATTAGCATCCTCGTGCCCACCACTAAATCACTGACCAACCCTTCGTTTAACTACCTGCTGTGCAAGGCTAAAGTGACAAAGGAGGGTTATTCGGTTAACCCAGTTTCCGTTCTCTGAAAGCATGACTGACAGCTTTCTAAAACTCTTCCTCTAGACTCTGAAACTGGAGATAAGCCTGAAAGCCAATCAGACGCCGACCACTGGCGAGGACCCGCCCCAGCAGTGGAGGAAAAGTCAAGGTGAGCTTAACAGCTAATGTTCATATTAAACCACCCCCCATAAGCTGCTGTAAAACCATCAGAGACAGCCTTTAACACTCTGCTCATACATTACAGACCCCATAATAGCACAGCATGTAGACCACCTAGATACCTTTCACAAAGCTGTCCTGAACTGTGAGGAAGTCACTGAACCTCCAACTTGCTCATGTCATGCTTGTCACGGCATTAGGATTTCTGCTGATTGATAGCATTGCTGAAAAGGCTAACATTATGGGGACATGTTTCAAAAGCTCAAAAACTTCTCTGTCAAACAATAACATATACATATATATATATACACACACGCACACATGATAGTAGTGATAATGACAAAGAAGTGTTATGGTTCTATGAGTAAGATGAAGCTTGGTACAGAAAATGATAGAATAACTATATGGGGTACAAGGAACTACACTGTCTTATTCATCCTTCGTTTCATTCAGGTTGCTGTCTTTTCACTCCATGTTTGCCTTTATGTAAATTGTCTCTATTTTTGATTCCTTGTTATTTTAGAGCCTGAGTCAAAAGCAAATTTGATTTAAATCAAAGCATAGTGCTTTCTGTGCCAGCTATTCAGGGGGCACTAATGCAAAGGATAAAACAGTTTGTGTCAGCACCTTGCAAGACAGGAAATAACTTCTCTGATTTTGTTTGTTTTCATCCGTCTAGAGAAGAGGAGTTTGACGACTACTTTGAAGACATGTTTCTTTGACTCCGCCACTATCGGTGACACCCTGCTGTGACTACACTTCTGTCTGCGCCTCATTGACATTTAAAGCGTGTTCTGTTTGACTGTATGTTTCATTACTTAAGCAGAAATAAACTTACTGCTCACCTTGTACCTGTCAGAGTCTTTGAGTTACAAGTCTATCAGCATCTCTGGTTCAAACACAACACCATCGTGGCTAAACATAATTGGAAAAAAGTTCAGTTAAAGGAGTGCAATAGAACCGCAGATGGTAGTATTAATCTGTGGTATGGTCCTTTACTTTGGTTTGGACTGAAATGCCTCTGTGACTTTTGAATGGATTAATTGTCTGGACTTGAACGTTATTTTAAGCTATAGAAAGCAGAAAAATAGATGACTGGCTAGTTCAGTATGTCTTTGTATAGCGCTGTAATCAAGTTAGCATGCTAATAGGCTGATATGTAGGTACATGGTTAACAAAAGACTTCTTGCTCTGTACCCTTGCTGTCATTTAAAGTTTTAGGTTTCGGAATAAAATAACTTTTTTGTTCAGTTTTTAGAGCAGCTTGATACCTTTTCCTCCTCCATTCACGTTCTTTGTGTTTGCTAGCTAATGCGCGGCATGGTGTTTCTAGAGAATTGAACAATATCTGCTTTAATTTAGAGAATAAGTATTTTTACTCATAATTTTTAAAATGAGTATCTTTAGTATTTTATACACATAAAAAAACTGTTTTACTGAGCCTACTCTCACTGACATTACCAGTCAGCGTGAGTAGGCCCTACGGTGCCTGTTAGCATCTACAGTGGTGTGAAAAAATTTTGCCCCCTTCCTGATTTCTTTTTTTTTTTTTGCATGTTTGTTGCACTGAAATGTTTCAGATCATCAAACAAATTTAAATATTAGTCAAAGACAGCAAAAGTGAACACAAAATACAGTTTTTAAATGGTTTCTATTATTAAGGGAGAAAAAAAATCTTCATTCAGAATTCATGGTTCCATTTATTACAGCAAAGCAGCTCCAGACCATCACACTACCACCACCATATTTTACTGATGGTATGATGTTCTTTTTCTGAAATGCAGCGTTACTTTTACACCCAATGTAATGGGACACACACCTTCCAAAAACTTTTGTCTCGTCAGACCAGAGTGACACAGTATTTTCCAAAAGATCTTGGGGATCATCAAGATGTTTTCTAGCAAAATTGAGACAAGCCTTAATGTTCTTTTTTTTGTTCAGCAGTGGTTTTCGTCTTGTACCTCTGCCATGCAGGCCGTTTTTGCCCAGAGTCTTTCTTATGGTGGAGTCATGAACACTGAAATGGCTTTATAATCTTTTCCAGACTGACAGATCTTAATTCCTGTCTTTGTCATTTGTTCCTGAATTTCTTTAGATCTCGGTATGACGTCTGGCTTTTGAGGATCTTTTGGTCTACTTCACTTTGTCAGGCAGGTCCTTTTTTAAGTGATTTCTTGATTGAGAACAGGTGTGGCAGTAGTCAGGCCTGGGTGTGGCTAGAGGAATTGAACTTGTGTGATAAACCACAGGCTATGAAGTTTTGGAATTGTTTTCTCCCTTAATAATAGAAACCTTCATTCAAAAACTGCATTTTGTGTTCACTTGTGTTGTCTTTGACTCATATTTAAATTTGCTTGATGATCTGAAACATGTTAGTGTGACCAACATGCAAAAAAAAAAGAAATCAGGAAGGGGGCACACACTTTCTCACACCACTGAATGTTGCCTAAAGTTATGTAAAATATCTAAGAATTACATTGACTTAAACTAGTAGTTTTTTTTTGTTTTTTGTTTCCCAGCGTCCACTCCTTTCTGTGTAAGTAAAAACGCTTGTATCAGCACAGTATCAGTAGGACAGTCCAGCACTCAGCCCTGAAGAAGGGAACTAGGATTAGCTGAAGATTTACCCCCGCCAAGGGCACAATGAAGTGCTGCCTCCTCTTCAAATCTCAGAGAAGGCAACTGCGTGAGGTTGCTGGGAGATTATAGACCTTGGCTTAAATAAAGACAATTACCTTACCTCTTACTGCTCCGTTTGTCTCGCTTTAACTTTCTTCCCAGCTTTCCCAGGAGAGGACGTTTACAGTGTGATTGAGGGAAATGTCAGCTAACAGGTGGTGAAGTGGAGTAAATGGTACATTGAGTAATAACAAAACGTTGTTCAAAGCGGCGCCGGGACAATTTCTGTCCCCATGGCTGCACTTTTACACCTGGATGCGTTAACAGTTTATCAATTTTGTTGTTAACATCTGTTTTCATGGTTAAAAATTCTTGCCTTCATGCCTGTGAACATTCAAGGCTCTTATGAATTTCTTGGGAGTCATTTCATACTTTTTCCTTCAAAATTGCAGTCATTAAAGACGTAAAAATCACCCACTAGTTTTTCTCCCTGTTTTGGCATGTAAGTATAACAGTTTATACCAAAATTTATGCCATGAAAAGTACTTCTCATCCTCAAGTATTCAGAGTAAACATATGAAAAAGATTGCTGCTCAGAAAATGTACAAGTTATGTATTCTCAGCCCAAATTCAGTCAACGAAATCAGTAAATCAGATTTTGAGTGGTTTATGTGTTACAAGAGTAAACTCTCATTTTTGTGCGGAGGAAGCCTTTAAATTTCAACAGACAGATTTCGAGGTAGGGCCCCATAAAGACAGATTGCCTTTACCCACTGACCCCCTATTGTCTGGGTAATGATAGTCATGTTGATAAAGACTTTGACAAGCTGAAGTGTCCCAAAAATGATAGATTACAGAGCTTGTTCTGTGTTCCCTTGCCAAATTTTCCATTATGTCAGAGAAGGCCTCAACAGCACCCAGCAATAAGCTATACCCATGCTGGAGTGAGCAGCTGCTGCATTGTTCTCCTGTCAAAGAGGCATATAATTTACTATCACCCTGTACCTTTAAAAAAACAAAATGGCATACAGTCTGCAGTTCCCTGTATGCAGAATCTGCAGACTGCAGGACACAGGAGAGGCTGAACAACATAGCCAGACACAGTATCGGGGCAGGGATCAGAAGCAATCCACTGATCCTCTTTCCCAAGAGGCTCATCCAGCTTTGGAGCCTATAAGATCTCTGCACGATACATGACTAAGAATGAGCACCTCTGCAGTTAAGCTCAAGGTTTCTTAAGTTCACTCTCTGTCTCTGTCTAACCCTCATGTGCACGAGTCAAGTGTGAATAAAAGCTAAAGTGCTGCTTTTGTGCACTCTTTGCTATTTTTACATAGAGAAAAGGGAATTCTGGCTTTTCTTGCACCTCAATAAATTCCTTTATTTGCTTACACATATTACATCTCATGACACATACATACAGAAGAGGTCATTTCATACGTCAAATGATAGGTTTTCTAATGTCTGAATGACACATGATGGGATAAGTAGAAAGTACACAGTGCATTAATTTTTCATCTCAGAAAAAGATCCCTGAAGGAAAAGTGAGGAGACTTTTTTCAATCACTGGAGACAGAACTGGTAGTGAAACCATCCAAATAATAGTGTCAGCAAGAAGACGGAGGTTTAAATCATTTATGTTGTATCAGGGGGCTGCTTCAACAAATGTTTTTGAACAGTTTGGCTCCAGTGATCACAACAGCTCCTTGCTTCCCCCCCCTGAGCAGCAGAAAAGGAGTTTCCAGGTAGTCCCAAAGCCATTCTGATAGGATTAAGTGCCTTTGATTGATGCTCCGTTGATTAGAGGAGATAACACTGTGTAACAGGAAGTCGAAAGACGCGGCTTGTATTAGCACCCGGGAGGGGATATTGCTAAAAGTGTTTCAGAAAGTTCACTGGGGGTTTGCTGTCTACTCACATGCCTGACTGCATCAAGTTTAATTCCGGTTTGCATGGAGAGGTGACGTGGGGAGGCAGAAGGGAGTTAAAGTCGAACAGCAGAGGACTTTGGCTTTTTTTTTTTACCAGCGCACAACCAATGGTGCTATAACTGCAAATGCCACATTTCAAACAAAGTCATCTGCAAGTACATGTAAGGCTTTGGTAGCCTGCCTTACCTCCTCTGTAAGAAGGGTATTTAAAGAGTAAAGCTGTGTGGATCTCAAACACTGGCTGGTAATCAAATCCTATCAAATCTTCTTACAGGAGAGGTAGATCTACTATACCCTGTTTAACCGACTCTTGCCTCCTTAGAAGCAAAGATTGCTTTAACTGTACAGTGCATCCTCCAAATCAGTCTTATGCTTCATGCATTCTTAAACAAATAGTACTTTACTTTTTCTATGGTAATGTTATAAACTATTTACAGTGAAATCATGCACACTTCAAAAAATTTCAAACCAACATGGTATTGTAATTGTGCACTACACACTGGTGATTTTCATACATATATCAATTTGAATGTTTTTGGACATGACAGCTTTGAAATCTTTTTTTTCAAGAAGCTGACAGTTACATTCATCTTATTTGTTGTTGTTGGTTTTAGAGTGCATTTCCCTGCAGATTCACAACACCCTCCCTCAAAGCTCCACTCAAACTCTCCATTCACGAAGACAGTTCAAGTAGAAAATTCTCAGACAGTGAAACAAAAATAGATAATTAATTTGATTGATTGCATATTAAAATAAACACACTCTTTCACAACTCATCGCCGCCTTTTGAGGTAAGAGAACATCAGCCCTTGTTGATCGTTGCCGCCCTTGATCCAATCTTTGTTAAAACAGCATTAACAGATCCATCATGCTACTTCAACCCTAAACCAGAAACATATCTCTGACCCAGATCCCGAAGTATAAAGCTGTGTCCGTTTTGCGACTTCTCGTTCTCCGTGCATGGCCTGCCACTGCTAAAACGGCAGCAGCAGAGTGCATTGCTTAACCTTACGAACTACTTAAGAGTTAGGAGCTGTACTTTAGCTTGACTTGTAAAAGCTTATGAGCTTCTCCAACAATGGTTTCAAACCACACATGTCAGAATATTTCACATTATTGCTATCATTAAGGGGATTATATGTTGTCCATGTACGTGTTGGTTTTCAAATGTTCATGCAGACGTAGAGGACGGAGGAAGTCTCAAACACATCAGTCAAACAGCTTCTCTTGCAGGCAGAGTCCCAACAGTGCTTCTTCACGGTGATGTTTCTGACTCTTCCCTCCTTGGAGAATGGTTAGGCTGGACTGCAGACCAGACCATGACTACATTGGACTAAAGTTTAGGCTAGACTGTTCCAGACAAGACCAGAGCTGGACTGACCTGCACCAGGGCAGACAGCACTTAACCAGAAAGAGAACTACGCTGGTGTAGATCAGACCAAACCGAGCTAGACGAGTCGGGGTCAAACTAGACTAGTTGTCAGACAAGATTAGGCTAGCGTAGCCTAGCTCAGTCCTAACCAGACTGTGCCAGTCAAATCCGAGCACCGCAGGAACTTAGCAGATGGTGCAGGTCTTTGATTTCCCGCCATCACCTCCAGCTAGAGAAAAAAATAGACATAAACATTTATGTGGGGTGTTTCTTGACACTGATCTTTTATCGTACACAAATCCAGCTTTTTTATTTACCTTTCCTTGCTTCCTCTTCTTCCAGTTTCTTCTTCTCATCCTCGATGGCCTTCATCTTTGCATTGTACACCTCCGCCAGCTCGTTCCAGTGTGCCCTGTTGTTGTTCAGGCCATCAAACATGGGCGTGATCTCTTTGTGGAACCTGGAGAACTCCTGATAAATGAAGAAAAACACACTGGACATGAGTTCATGTTTTCACAGTTCTGCGGTTGCAAATTTCACGTTCCTCTCAGACCGGGGGCCCTCTGGGATGACCGATCCACACTCATAGTTATGGATGCGTGTGATCTTGTCCAAATACCATCCTGACAAAGTGACAAATAGCTAACTGGCATTCCTGGTGGGGCCAGCTGAGTTCAACAGGTTCATTTCAATACATCATGGGAGGAATGAAGCTACAAAAACAAAAGCTTCTGATGAAATCATGAAACTTAATGGACATTTTTGAATTTGAGGAATATCCTTCTATCAGAGTGCATTGTAGAGTTGCACTTTATGCTCTTAATTCAGTTCTATCACTGTAGAGTTGAAGCTGCACTTTTCTGATGCAGTCAGAACAGTTATGCTAACTAACTTGGATGGAGTGAAGACTTGAAGCTGCTGTCCACTTTTACTTTGGCTTATTTTTTCAAAGTTATGATTCTCTTAAAGTTTCTACTAAATTGTTACCAGCTGTAATCCATCACATCTCTCCCACTGTGTTGTATTGTTGCTTTTTTTTATTTTTTTTGGGGGGGGATAAATTATCAATGTGAGCGTTTAAGAAGCCCTTAATTACCTTGTATACAAACGAGCACACAAAGTCGATGAAACCGCACTGCATCTTGGGTAGCTGTTCGGCACAGTTTCTGTCCATCATGGGCTGAGGAAAGAAAGAAGATAAGGAGGGTTTCACAAATAGAAAATAAAGCAAAAACAGGAAAACATGTGAAAAGAAGAGAACACATGAAAAACAGATCAAGCTTACGATTGGCTGCTGGTCCAAAACAGATCGCTCCAAGTCTCCCTGTTCCCAGAATTCAGCTGCGACCATCAGAGCCACCTGGATGGGACCATGGAGGAATAACACAGATACTTGAAACAGAGCAAGACAGAGGAACAAAGAGTACAACTGATCTGAGCTGCTAGTGTCCATCATGGTTGATTTAAAGAACTTTTATCTCATTTTTAGATTTTGTGGTTCTACATTTTAACTTTTGGGTTTTTGTTTTTTTAATCCTTTATCCTCTGCAACATGATTTCAAAACCTCTTTATATCTCCTTAATGGCCACTCACCTTGCTCTGAACCTCCCAAGGTTTGGTGATGGCTGACAAGTCACAACCTGTCATCATCATAGCCCTGGAGATGTAGAAACAGATAGACAGAGAGAGTCAGGGCGGGCAGATGATATCAACCACTGCTCCTGATACTGGGGATTTTTAGGGTCTTTTGTGTTTGTAGGGCTTTTCCCCAAAAAAACTTTGGATTACATTCATTTTCCACTTTAATTAACTACATACATGATAATTTCCTTCCTAATGGCGTTGTTGGAAACGTATGCTGTGGCCTCCTTTTCATCTGCCATTGGTTCTGTGGCATTCACAATGTTCTGGAACATAGTCCTCTTTCTGCGTGGGTGAAAAAAAAAACAAAAACAAAAAAAAAATCAAAACATAATATCAAACTTTGACAAAAAAAATTGCCTGTGTAGACAGAACACCATGCTGCAAAACTTTAAAGCAACAACAGACCAGGCAGCCTTTTCAATCATGTTGTTTTACATTTGAGATTGTAGCTTTGTAGCTATGAAAAATCTGAATTTTTTTAGAAAACCTACTTGAAGTAAAGAGCCAGATCAGTGGCGATGATGCAGACGTCAAACAGGTGCTGCACAGTCTCAAACTGACGTTTCTGCAGGTTGCAGAAGATGTTCAGGCTCTGTGAAAGAGAGAATGGTCAATGTTGAAATGACAAACAGCTTTTCAATAGTGTGTTTATTGTCAAAAATCACTGCCTAATTCTTTTTAGTTGTACCTCATCAGCCATAATTGTCTTGCTGAACTCCAAATGATGCCTCTCCATGATGGAGGAGCCGTGGAGTTTAGCCAAAGGCGCTGCACTCCTATAAAAAAATTAAAAAAAAATGACATTAACTGATTGAAAGAAAAACTGACAGTGTACATGTCACACACAAACAATCAGACAATCAAACATGATCTCCACTTGCTTTGTCTGGTAGAGATTGTTGGTTCCTCTGTGGTCGATGTCGTGGCAGAAAGCAGCAGCCACCATAGCAAAGGCATCAAGATCAGAGTAGTACTTCCTCAGCCTTCCTGTCTGGAGGCGATGGAGACAAATGATGCTAAGTTGTGTGCAGTTAGTAGACATGATGCCAACAGAAACACATGATTGCTCTGGTTCATTTGTAGCTGGAATCAATTAACTGAGAAAATGTAAATATCATCCAGTGTCACTAGATTGGGTACAACCTGAGACTCTCTCTCTGGGATTATTAACATTTTATGGGTCGTGGAGGGTGTAGCCGTCTGTAAAATGTCACTTCATACATTGCATTTATAGTTTTGAGCAGACAGCTCAAGCTGACTGAGCAGCATGAAGTTAAGCAGTAAATGAGACTCTTTAAAGCAATGCTAAAATGTCCAAGATCAAGTATTGTGAGCCTTACCTGCAGCAGACAGAACATAGTGTGGCCCACGTTGAAGCCATGCCTCCAGTTGTGGTAGGTGATTGAACGGTAGCCCTTCCTCACTGTGTACATCCACTTGGTTAGTGTCTGAGAGTGAGACAAGTTAGATATAGAAAAGCAATTCAAGACAAACACACTTTAAAAAATTCTGGTGTATTAGATGTCTGCATAAAACAATTCTTTCATGTCATCCTAGTCTTATATTTTAATTATAAAAGCTTGGGGTTAAAGTCAAAGAATGGAATGAGTTTTTGCACCACAGGCACCATACAGAATATCTCATTTGTATGGATGAACAGAGAGAGAGCTAACCTCTGCTGGAACTTTAAACTTTTCAACAACTCCGAGCTCAAAGAACATGCGAATGCCAGCTTTGATGAGGTCGAACTCCGAGACAGGGAAGTCACTAAAGGAGAACAGGTAGAGATTCTCTCCGTTGACGTTGTCCGCTGGGGGACATGTTGCTTTCTGAACAACAACAAAAAAAAAAACAACGTTAAGTGTCTATGAGTATGAAAATGCTCAAAAGATTCAGGTAGAAAAGTTCATGAAAGTTGAATTGAAGAGGAACCAGGTACCAGACTTACCAACAATTTGTACATTTCTTTCTGGTCACAGTCTTCGGGCTCAGCATCAAACTTCTCTTTGGTGTTCTGGTCATGAAAAAAGGTAAACTCATTTAAAGAGACATTTACATTAAACAATCATTGGTAAAGATAATTTCACAATTTGATGTTTCCACCACATCAAACAGGTGCTCCAGGTATTAACCTGTGTGGTTACTGTCTCAAATGTGAGCCACTGAAGTGGATCCACCAGAGTTTTATGTTAGTCATGTAATAGCTGCCATAAGAAGACTATCCCTCATGCATAAATTTGACTGTTTTTTCTCCTCAGGTCAAAAATCTGAAGATAAAAGATGAATAAATACCAGGATGGTCTGTATTTCATCTTTAGTGCATTGGGTCTGGTACATGAGCATCTCTTGGGCGATGTCTTTCCTCCATTCCATGCGGTTCAGCCTGTCGTAGGTGTCGCAGTTCAGCACTGACCAACCCAAGAACTGTGTGAGAGCCTGGTTCAAACAACAAAAGTGGGTGAGAACGAGAGGAAAAAGAATATAACATGTTTCACAGCTTGTTTTCAATCTCATTATTGTGAGAGGAAATCTGCTCTTTAAGCGCAAGGACAAAAATACAACAGTATGAGAGAGGCAGGAAAATAGAGTGACTGTATTCCTGGTGCTGACCTCTGTGATCTGCTCATCATGCTCATCAAACGGTTTGCCATCTTTTCTGTTGAAGAAAGTGGCAACGCCCACTATTTCTTCTTTCTTGTTGACGATAGGCAGTGACAAGACGTTCTTGATCAGAAAGCCTGTCTCATCTACAGCCTCTTTCTGAAACACAGTAAATTTAAAAGAATCAAATCATGCAGTTTGAAGCCAGTTTCTGAATCTGCCAGAACATCTGTATAAGCTACACAAAGGGCTTCAGTCCTAATAAGTTCATCAATCATTGTGAACACACTCTTTCTTTCTTTATGAGGATACACAGTGAAAGTCTCCTTACCTGGAAGGTGAAGTATTCATCTGAAACTACGTTCATCATGTTGCAAATCTGTTAAAAAAAAAAAGTTAACAATGGTTCTTGACTTCAAAAATGTAAATAGATATCAATCTGGAATCTGTCTTTTTAATTTGTCTACAATTTATTTTGATACATTTTTCATAAATTTTTGTTTTGGTTACTTGCATTTACTTGTGGATAAAGCCCTTAAAATGCACACCTATACCAAGCAACTTCATATCATCATTACTGTTCCAATTTATAATCCACTCCACACACTAGCTTCATTTTAAACTCAGTGTGCCCATGCATCATTCATTTCAATCAGTTAGTCAGAGCCCGATCTCAGTCATTTATCATTTTTGAGATTGTGATGATAAATTGTCCTCAACCAACATTCAGAGACTTACAAAGCCATTCTCTGCAACATAGGTGGGAAGTCCGCTGACAAGAGCCCAGTGATCTGCAGGTGGAGTCCTAAAAAAGCAGAAAAGAGAGAAGTCCTAAGAGGCCTGTCAGCTGGAGGGGGGATACTGAACTGTCTGAATCTGCTTTATATCATTTCAAAACTAAATTTCAGCTTTGCATTTCGTTAGTTTGACTGAGAGCAAGCTTAAATTCTCAGTAAGACTAGACGAGGACTTCAATTTTCAAAGAACAGACAAACATGTAGAGAATAATGTTTGATTTTTCAGCAAATGTCATTTAGTGATTTTTCTCATGCTGGGATTTAACTGTATTTGTAGTGTGTAAATAAAATGCTCACGGTATGACTTTAATTTCCTCTTTTCCTTCCAGGAGGTAATCGATAATCTTGTAAAAGTTGACTTCCTGTACAGAAAATAAAAGCCTTTTAGAAACTATTGATTACCCTAAAATGGACGTGCACAATAGGAAGTTTTAAGGTTACTACATGTGACGAAAAACCTGAATAAACACGGGGAAAAATAAGTTTGTTACCCTGCCATCTGGTGTTTTTGGTCCTTTATAAGGTTCCACATCTCCAAGTTTCACAGGCCATTCATCATAGAATTCCTGCAGGGGGGGAAGCAATGACAGATTTGTTCAAGTCCTGAGACTCTACAGCCTTGGATACCATCCATTTAATCCTATCTGTTCAGTTTGATCCTTCCTTTTTTCTGCTCTTACCTTCTCTTTGGTCATATCCAACAGACCCACTGAGTATCGGTCACATTGTAGATAGGTCCTTACAGTGTAAAGCGCTTTGTGGAACTGTCTCTCAATGTCTGTCAACTCCTCAAACACTTTACTGGCTGACCACAGAAGCACCTATAAGCAAAAGAATGACATTACATCCATAAGGAGCTCATGTTGGCCAAGCATATTATGTCTTTTTTGTTTGGTGTGTGTTTCAACAGAGGGCTGCAGTATTGTCCAGTGTACAATGATTCCAGTGGATACCTAGAGCAGAGATGTATTGAACAGCAGCAGATGAGTATACCTGACTTCTTCTGGACTCCACGTTGAACATGTAGCTTGTGAAATGCTGCAGGGCGATGACTTGAGCAAAGTTCATGTACTTGTGGAAGAGCTAAGGGCCAAAGCAGATTAAAGGTTTCATCAATACACTGCATCAGTTTAAGATTGCTGTGCTTGCAAACTTCAGGATTGCATTGTCTACTATTTCCAATGTTTTGAACTTGGGTTTACATAGAAATTATCTGATGATGAAGCTTGATTCAATTTCTAAACCCCATAATGATTCAGTAAGTAAAAAAGGTTCCCCTAGGAAGTTTTTCCCATTTTTTTTTAACAAAAGAGGGTTACATGGGGAAAGGAAAAAGAAGTTCATAATCTGATCACAGAACTTCAAGACATTAAAATGCATAATATGCATTTTTCACTTTGTAGTTTTTCCTTTCCTCAGATGTTCAAATGTTCTTTTTTGGTTTATGCAAGTGAACAAAAACTGTCCCTAAGTGAAAATGAGAGACTACTGAATAACAAGAGACAAAGGGTTAATACAGACTACATAGATAAAAGTCCCTCTATGTCATTATGTTTGTGTTTTTCAAGTGGAAAGCTGAAAAAAGACACAAATTACTTCAGCCAGGTTTGATTGGCTCCCACTGGCATAATGGGTGTTTTGCACCCTGCTGGTGAGATGTAATTACAGCAATAATCTTTAGTTAGATGCAAATCTATAACAGCAAATCAGAGGCATTTTAAAGGAGCAGACAAACAAGTGTGGATAATTAAAACAGAGAATTCCTGCATATCATGAAGGGTTTGAGCTGCAACTACACATGACAAATAACTGAAACAACACAATGAGGCTTCGGTTTATCATAAAACACATCTCTGTCTCAGCTGACTCAGTAACAGTGACTAATGACAAGTGACTAATACTAATAAAGATGAACGTGCATGTTTGAGTGTGTACCCTTACCGCTTCATCCTCTGCAGAAAATGCATCAGCTCCTATTTTGTTTAATGCCATGACAACGCCGAGGCACTCTTTGTCAGCCATCAGAGGGAAAGTGAGCATGGATTTTGTCTTGTATCCAGTCTGTTTGTCCACAAAGTCACAGAACTTTTTGTTCTGCAGTGAGAGACAACAAGAGCGATATCAGATTTGGTTTGAATTTGAAGAGATTTAAAGCAACATTAGCAACATAAAACAGTTCAGATAGTCACATTGTTATTTTTGCATGCTCATTAATCATTAAATTTAGAGATTTACCCACAAGTCTGTGACATTTTTTTTTCCCCCATTTGGTTTGATTGGTAGTAAACTGCTACTGTTTACAGCTCCACCTGCTACATTTATAGTTAGAAGTGACAATATTTGAGCAGTACATCAACATGTTTGTTTTGATATAAAAAAAAACGATTTAATGTCTTGCAGAGATAACAGGCAATAACAAATGAAGATTACTTCTGACCAAAGCTTTGAGTCATAAGCATATTTTCACATCAGTAATTCTAATCTGTTTTTTTTTTTTTCGAACAGTTCAAATCACTTACTTTTGAAACACTGATAGCAAAACCTTAATGATGTGATCAGCAGTAAAAATATATGGTAGGACCCAATTCAAAAACAACCGAAAATACATATTTACAAGTTGCTCTATCAGATTCACTATGACTCAAATAAAGTTGGTGAGTCTATCTTAGCTTTTCGGCTTATTCGTCCAAATGTGTTGGATACTGTGCACTTCTTGAAGCTGTTTGCTTACTTTGTTTGTTTGTTTGTGTGTTTAGGCTTCAGTAAAATTGCTGATATCAGAACTTTGTATCAACATTGATACAGAACCATTACTTCTCCATGTAATTTTGACCACTAAGATGAAGTTACTCAGAGAAGAGCGTGCGCACTACAGAGCGCGTGGACTAATTGACTTCTCACCGCTGAGACGTCAGGGACATTTTGGGGCTTTTTGCACTGTGCCGTGTGCCCGACGATGCCCATTTCCAAAGGAAACACGATCTCGCCCTGGGGGTTGACCAGGTTTGCCTCATACTTGGACGTCGGAGTCACGTCAAAGAGGCAAGTCGCGAGCTCAGGTGTCCCGTTCCTGGACCGGCACGAGTAGAAGCTGACCCTGTCAGCCTGTAAGATCATAGCGACTCTCTGCAACACTTTGTGGAGGGACTGCTCCATCATGACCCCCTGTTTCTGCATCTCCTGGATGAGCTCGAATATGATACCGGCTTCTTGCACAGAGTTAATATCCTTGAAGGAAGCTGTGTCTTTGACGTCCAGAGGCGCAGAAAAGGCGGCGGAAAGGGCTTCAGCGCGCATCTTCTTATCAAAGTACTCTTTGGCGAACTGCGGGTTGTTCTCAAGGTACTTCTCCACGCTACCCTTGTCTGCCATTTTGACCTCGAGTAGTGTTGAATTCCCGTCTTGTTTTCACAAAAGCATCACCTGCAGAGTTAGAAAAATATTGGAGAGGAGCTGTTTTGTGGCCTACAGGGCTGGATGAATCAGTTGCATCCGTTTGAATGGACTTGCATACTCCTCCACGGTCCCCGAGGGATTCTCTGACATGTCCCGTGTCCGCCTATAGACAGAATAGGACAGAGTGCAGCTTAGTGGCTGAAAGGATCAAAGTGGCCGCTAATTAATGTGACGTCATGACATTAAACCCCCAGCTCTAAGCGTCCTTAACCCGCAAATCCCAAACGCTGATCATTTTATATCGGGCAATCCTCTCCATCGAGGGAGGACGAGTGAGACTGTTGTCAGGTTAAATGTCAAGCGGGTGCAGGGGCTGCATCACCTTTGGTTCAGTTGGTATTTAAAAGCCCCCTTATCCCAATGAAACTCCACCAACACCTTGGAGATGCTTAGTCAAACAACCCCCAGCTTATCAATTTAACACTTTGGGCGGACATTAAACATAGTTTCAACTGTCCTTGCCTGGAATAACCTCTTTGTTAGACAAGCCAGCCTTTGCTAATACTCCTATCCCGCCCCAGCTGTTGCCATGGAAGAAAATTGCCTCCCAAGTATCAGCAACTTGCAGCAAATGTGTTTGGAGCTATACCTGTGTGAGAAGTCTACCCAGGTGCTCTAATTAAATCACCATCTTCATGAAGGTATCAGTCCCAGAACTGGATATTTGCCAATTAGTGAGACTTGGATGTCTGAGAACAAGGCCCTAAACAAAGATGGCTGGCTATTATTAACCGAGTGCACTGTCTGGCCCGCTCCTGCTAAGCTGGCAAGACAAGGAGTTCCCCACTATTTTTTCGCCATGGGGATTAAGGCAAGTTTACTAAGGGGAGCTAGAAAAGGCATGTGTGTGGGTGATGTGGAAATATACTAGCACAGATCATTATACAGCCGGGAACACTGGCTGGGTGTTGTGCCAAAAAGGAAATACAGACTGGAAGAGGCGGTTAAAGATTAATTTCAATAATAGCTTATTCATTTTTTTTTATTTCTTATTGAATAGAATTAGTTGCTCAGAAAAGAAAAGAACAGATTGTTGCTAATAGTGGACACAAATTACTTATATTCAGGGATGATTATTTATTAAAATAGACTGACTTTTTTTGTCTTCAGAGCATCATTCTGAAATGTTCAATGCTCACAGCAGGCCGCTGTACTGATTTAGAACAGGAGCAGATGAAATGGAAGAAAACAAGCCTGTGCTCTGGACAGATATCCTGCACTTGGTCTGTCATTCTGTTGACATCTATTAGATAACTGATAACCCCATGTACCTAAGCAATACCACACACACAAAAAAGTGTTGTACTGTTGTACTGTACATCTTCAAGAACCTCAGACAAGTCCAGTTGCCCGTCAACAAAGAATTAGTAGTAGAAAGCAGCATGGCTGTGGAAAAGTCATACGCAGGAGGCCAAGGGCTAGTAAAATAGTTATAACAGCAGCATTAAGTAGTAATAATGATAATAATAACGTTTTTTGTACAGCACTTATTAAAACAGAGATTTACAAAGTGCTTTGTTCATCTGCATAAATAATACAAAGCACAACTACAGAGCAAAAAGACAAAACCCCCACAGCAAAAAATAAACCCATGAAAAATTCACCCAAACAACACAGGAACCCCGGAGACACATTAAGAAACCAAGAGCACCATACGAAGCTTAGGAAAAATAATCTAAATGAACCCAAAGTGAAAAGAGACCTATAAGCAAAAACCTGGATCATTTATTTGACACCTCTGACACAACTTGTGGGAAAGAAAAACCTTTACTATCCCACTTACTGCTTGGTGCATATTGACATTTAGCCACAAACTTATTACTTAGTACATTGATGCGTATATTTGCATCAATGCAAACCCTAACCCTAACTCTAAACTGACTGGTTGCAGTAGAGGCCATAAACCCTGCCTCCTTCATGTTAACAGATGAATAAACATGGGTCAAACTATAAAACTAATACAAATGTCAGATACATTTCTTTCTGTCATTATGGTTGGCTCTCCTCTTGCTAATTTGTCTTAAAGTGTTAATTCGTCTTAGAAGCTTTGTTATAATGATTTATCTGAGTCTGAAAAGCTGATCAATTGACAGTACTGTTAAAAAAATGCAGGCCCTATGGCAGCAGTCTTTACAGGATTAGCAGAGCCAAGCTGGAATGGTGAAAGAAGATGAAATGAATACTAATAAATAGTCATTGTCACAAGAGGTGTGGCTGTGGACACCTGTGGAGTGGACATCAAAGTGGTGACATCATATAATACTTAGGTGTACATCTGGATAATAAGTTTAACTGGTCTAAGAACATAGCGTTCATCTACAGAAAGGGGCAGAGCCGCCTCTTTTGCCTGAGAAGACTCTGATCAATAGACATCTGTAGTAAGATGCTGCAGATGTTTTATCAGTCTGTGGTGGCAAGTGTTCTGTTCTACGCTGCAGTCTGCTGGGGAGGAAGCATCAAACACAAAGATGCAAGACGTCTTAACAAACTGGTGAAAAAGGCTGTCTCTGTGGTAGGACTCAAGCTGGACTCAGTGGAGGATGTGGTGGAGAGATCTACACTGAGGAAGGTGGAGACTATTCTCAAGAACATGGATCACCCACTTCACAACACCTTCATGGACCAAAGGGCCAATGTTGGTGGACGGCTCCCCCCTCTTCACTGCAGGACAGAAAGATTCAGAAGATCTTTTGTACCAACAGCCATCAGACTTAATAACTCTTGTGTAAATAGTAGATAACTTTTAGAGACTAGAATCTGTTCTGCTGTGGACTGTACCCACATGGGGACTCATTAATGTTTACAATTTCCCCACTACCATTGATAATATTACAACTCCCTCACAAAGAGACGAGCATGTCCATGTTAATATATAGTCAGTGATAGGCACTCATGGAATGCCTCTCGTCCAATCAGATTGCTTGCTCTGAACTAACCTATTCTTTTTTAAAGTCAGATTTTTGAGTGTTTTATTTTTTTGCCTTTATTCGACAGGATAGTGGGAGAGAGGCAAGAAATCCTGGGAGCAGAGAGTGAGGGAAGACATGTAGCTAAGGTTTGTGGCTTGGAATCAAATCAAGCAACCGTTGCTATGCAGACTATAGTCTCCAAGTGTGGGGTGCTTAGACTGCCAGGCCATCAGCACACAGTTCAAAATTGAATTTTATGTACAATCCTTAGCAGCACAGCTCAGATGAGTAAATAGTTGAAATCTCTTTTTCAATCAGGCTGAAAACAGGTCTACTTTTGCTGTCAAATGCACATTTTAGCATAGGACTCAATGAGGACTACCGGCTAATGGCGACAGACCTTTAGGTAAGCATATCTGTAACATGAACAGCTCGTATAAGCAATCACTGATACCTAAAACCTTCTAAAAAGGATCCAATCATTTAAAAACATAATGCAAAAAGCAGCAAATCTATTGAAAATCTATTTCAAGTTAATCCAAACTTGAGGCTACATACTGTATTGTCCCTGGTTAATTCTACTTCTATAAAACCCTAAAGCTCAGATGTAAACAAAGTTTTTTTTTTTTTTTTTTGCAAGGCATCATTTTGGATTTCGAAGTTTCACTCCCTGTTCCATGAACCGCAACTACCCAAATGTTAGATGCACACAAAACCCTGGCAGTGTAACATATATCGCTCCTTGGCCAATCCTCATTATTACGAAATGTTGCACTGCCTCTGGCTAAATTCCAACCACCATTATTCCTGCTGAAAAAAAGAGTGATTGGGTTGTTTTTGACTGGCCAGGGTTGTGGTTATGCAAGCTGCAGATGTTTGGCTGGACTGTGAGTCTTTTATTCAGCGGAGCCTCTCTGAGGACTTGGTTACATGATTTCACTGCAAAACAACATCATCAATTTCTAATATTCTGCCACGGTAGATAGGAGTTATAGGAAACAGACCTGTGTGAAAGACAGCTGGGAATTTTCTGAGCTGAAATGCACTTTGAAGTTTCAACGCTTTACCCATGCAAACTCAGAGCAGCTGACATAAGCTGTTGTTGGAGGATAGGTTTTATTTCCTAAATGGGAAATACTTATTTTAGTATGTTTTTATATATATATATGTATATATACATTGCATCAGTAGAGATCCAGATTTTCATACACTTTCTTTAACACTGATGATTTCTGATTGATCTCCTATTTGAAAACAATGTCCTCAAGGCAAATGCACCGATACATTACATTGATTTACTCATCAGTGATAGGTCTTGCAGTCTATAATGCTGAGAGATGTGATTGTCTGTCTTTCACATTGATTAGTTCATGCTCTGAGTGGACTCTGAGTTACAAACAGGTCTACAGACAGCTTTTTAAGTCCACAGCTAAAGCAATAAAATACATTTTCTGTTCAGTAAATATGAAAAAAACAAACACTGAAACATATTTAGATCAAGCCAGTTCTCTCAAACGAGAACATTGAAAAGAAATCTAGTCCATGTCTATCAAAACAACTCTCAAGCTGTAGCTTATCATAAAAACCTGCCAGCCCTCAACAAAGGTGTGGATGTTATTTAGAGCGTGTTTGTTTCAACATATGCATCGTAAAACACTTTCCAGATGGCTGTCCTCTTGGCTCTGCTGGTGGCTGCTTTCATAAGACCAGAAGCACTTCAGAGGTTCTGTCAGAAAAGCGATTTTTTTTTTTTTTTGGAGGGGGGGTATGGAGGGATGGTCGACCATGTGCAGAGCTTGCAATTCAACAGCAAGGAGGCCCTAAAGTTATGTAAATGTTTGTCCAATGGAAGGCAAGCAAGCTGTGGGGAGATCAGGGGAGGGTCTGCTCCCCAGAAGTCATTATGCAATACTGACTCCCTGTATATAAGGCCACAACCTTACAGATAACCAGTGGATCTCTGTGAGTAGTCACCCTCTTAGCCAGGTATGTATTGGTTTTCTACTGAGTTAATTATTGGTAAAAATGTATTATCTTACATATCTGAAGAATTAGTTCTTTTATTCCAAATCCTATTTTCATCGTATTAATTTTTTTTAACTAAAAGGTGTTATTTTGACTAAGTTTTAGCCACATTGTACATAAACTGAGCTACAAACAAATCTCTGTTGCACTGATTTTTGTCTAACTTCCTTCCTTTTTATGTTTTTGCCTTTTTTCTGGTCCTAAACAGAATGCTGCGCTTTGTTGTGTCACTCTGTCTCCTGGCTTTGTCCTGGGCACAGGACTGCCAGGTAGCCAACATACAAGTCATGCAGAACTTTGACAGAACAAGGGTGAGTTTCAAGTATTTGGAGATTTTCAAATGAGATTTACATATCGCTTTGCTTGAATTTGTGAGAGAACTGAGCAGTGACGTGAAATCACGTTTTCCTTCTCATAGTACTCAGGGACATGGTACGCCGTAGCAAAGAAGGACCCGGAAGGTTTGTTCCTGATTGACAACATTGTGGCTAAATTTACCATAGAAGAGAACGGCAAAATGACCGCCACAGCTGAGGGCAGAGTCATCATCCTCAAGTGAGTTCTGCTGCTGTCTGTGAAAACTCAAGTTTTCCTCCAGTGGAGCTTAGATTGTCTTACTAAAGCTAATTTTACACTGTCTTACACTGTATCTTTATCGGCTTCCAGCAACTGGGAACTGTGTGCCCAGATGTACGCATCCTTTGAAAACACTCCTGACCCCGCCAAGTTCCGGATGTCATACTGGGGGGCTGCACAGTATCTGCAGACTGGAGGTGAGTTTGTGAACATTTCCAACACAAAATATAATCTATACTAACTTCTGACCTCTGTCGACAACATTTTTCGCTTCAACAAACCATAAAAATTTGAAGCATTAGCTTTGGGTCACATGAGTAGGAGGGCACTGATGTTTTGTCATAGAAATCATTGTTGACTTTCAGGCAACTGTTGATTTAATTTCATCACTAACTGGATCTCTGTGACCTGACCTCAGCAAATCAATGGGACAAAAAAGCCTTTGAGGGCAGGGTCCAAATGTCATCGACTCTGTGGTTATTCAGTAATCAGTATTTTGATATCTAAATCAAAGCTGAGTCACAGTTTAAGGATGACATGTGACCGTTCAATCAATACTATACCAGTGCTGACCTTGATTCCCATCAACATGAATGCATAAGATGTTTTCTTGAAGTTCAGTGACGGCAGAAAAAAAAAAATCAACGTTCCCATCTTTCCTGAGCACAATGGTGATAGGATTATTAGTTTTCTACACAGATGATGATACTTGGATTAGATTTGATTTGTGTCACTTGTAATCCATGTCTTACGATATACGGCTCTGAAATACCCTGGATTTCTTCCCCTAGATGATGAACATTGGGTGATAGACACTGACTACGACAACTATGCCGTCCACTACTCCTGTAGAGTGGTTGACTCTGATGGCACCTGCTTAGACAGCTACTCCTTCATTTTCTCTCGTCATCCAACTGGTCTGAGGCCGGAGGATGTGCCTGTGGTTACCCAGAAGAAGAGGGATCTCTGCCTCTACGGCAAATACAGACGCGTTGAGCACAATGGTGAGTTTCAGTGTGTGTTTCATCAATCAGTTAGGGAGGAGACTGGGTAAAGGATATAATCATCAAAACTGCCTACATTTTTACTTCATATCCACTTGAGTAATTATCAGATTTATGTATTATGTCGAGTTTTCCTGCTTACATTTTGACTAAATGTTTTCTTTCTACTTTAGGCTTCTGTCTCGCAAACTCCAACTGATCTGCTGACGCTCAGAAATCTCCCCTTTAAAGCTCCCACCATGGTGATGGGGGCCCCTCTGCTGGTCTTGGGCTTGCATCCCACCAGAGATCTCTCCCCATTGAGAGGGCTAAAGTGGCCCATGTGTCTTTAAAACAGCTAACAAAATATGAGGAAATCCAAACTGTCACATTCCTACTTCTGTACTGCTAACAGAAAGAAAAGATGACTGTTCATCCTGTGCTGTTGTTCCTGACTTTGCGCACCAGTAAAAGAGGATTTTTTCTATTAAAATCTTTAGTATGTGTAAGTTTTGCGTATGAACTTCAGAATGTTAAATATTACTCCTCTTGGAAACCAGTGGAGTTTCCTTTGTTGTACCAAAGAGAAAACAAAACATTATTTTGCCGCTTATCAGGCCAACGCCACAAATAATCTCTTTTAAATGAAGCTGAGCACTCAGCATTTCTGCAGCTCTGGACCATCACATGTTTACTGGAAATACGAGGTTCACAAATCACTGGCTTTGCTTTTACACTGAAAGACTGTTGTGCAGTATAAAAGCAGATGTTGTTAATAAACTTCAACACAACCATATTGTAAATCGTGTGGTACACAAGTAGTAGTAGTTGTTTGATGATTGTATGATGTACACTTCTTGATCCATTTTTGTGAAATAAAACATTCAGAACATGCAGAACTCTTTGCTTTATTTTATAACCCTTTCTGTCTGCAAACTAAATAGGATAGAGTATAAAAAACCTTTTGGCAACAGCTACCAAAACTAAATCAACTTAGAGAAACATGTGTGTGTCAGGTTTTTGGAATGATATTACACTGCACTTTACGTTAAAACACTATCACATATAAATAAAATAAATGCTCGTCTATTTGTGTGAGGTTAACGCAGGTAAAGACAGGAATTGACTCCGCCCCACCACAAGCTGCTGGGTTTCATAAGCAGGGGCCTCCCTCTTTGCCAAATGTCACACAAGATTTACAAATCACTCAACACACTTTTTTTTTTTCCCCCAAGTAGACTTTTTGCACAAATGTTGGATGGATTTCCAGAAATGTGACAGCGGTTCACAGCACCGAGGGTACTAACCCCAATGAATTTTAAACTGATCCGACTATCATGTTGCAACTCAAGCTTGCCAATTCTTTCACTCTTCCAAGAACAATCTTTACACATCTCAGATGTTTCGCAGATGATGTGACTTAGAGTCTTTGTTTATCCCCTTAAATCCCCATCTGGTAGAGCCAGGAAGTTGGATACAAACATCCACAGCGCTATAATGATTTGTTTTTCAATTCTTAATGTCATGCTACCATCATGTCCAATAAGCTTAAAAAAATAAGGAATTTTCAGACAACTCATCTGATAGGATAAGAAGCTTTCAATGAGTGCTGTTTCATGGGACAACCTCATGGTGGCCTTAAACTATATGTATTACTCCTTTACAGGTAGTCCTACTCCTGGTTTTTTAAAGCGCTTTCCAGATTAATCATGAACCAACTCTCAAACGACTTCACTGGTCACATGATAAATGAAAAGTGGGTAGCTAGAGTGTAGGAAAATAACTTTGTAGATGCAAAATGATCAACTATACAAAAGCGTGAACATGTTGTTTAGAACGAATATCAAACTTGAGGCTGTGCTGTTGCAGTGGATTTCAGCAGCCTGTCACAGCTATACTGTGCAACTGTTCAGCACATCTTCAGCCTCTGTCTCCCTCACAGAGCTGATAGTGTGTCTTTTTGAGTTTGATCTTTGAGCAGCATTGCCTCTAATGGGTCACAAGAGATTATAAAGATCAGATAACAGGGTTTTCTTCATGGACACTTTTTTTTAAATCATGTATTTGAGCTAAATTATCAGTTAGAGTGAAACATCAATGTTTTACACAGATCTGATAGGAAATGGAAACACTGGTGATGCCAACAGTTCAATGAGAAGCCTATAGTCATACAAAGCTCACTCACTGAGCTGTTGGTCAAAGGAAAAAAAAAACAGTTGTATTGAAAGAAGATTATCATCTTTATTGCACATTTTTATACAGTACAGTGCATAGGAAAACAAACTTTGGAGCACTTGATCAGAATAAAATAGAAACAACTTTAAAAACAGCACAAAATAGACAGAAATGTGTCATTCTAAGATCACATTTTTAAAAGAAACAAGTCCCAAATTAAACAAAACAAGTATCTCAAATATGCCAGTGTAGCAGTGCCTGTCTGTCTTAAGTCTATCTAGTCACATTACCAAGGCTGCAGGAATAAAGGCACCTTCACTAATCCCTGCTTTAAATAGTTTAGTACAAGGAATTAACTCGTGCAATCTCATTCCAGCCTCAAAGGCTGCAGGCTTGAAAAGTCAAGGAGTAGACAGAAGTGAGCTTCGCTTTTACAGGAAGGAGAATACGCAGAGGCCATGTGACCGATTAAGCTCTCCTGATGCTAAATGTTAAAGGTCTGGTTAAGTTTAGGCAAGTCAAAGTGTGGCGTTCAGGTTAGAAAAAGATGTTGGTCAATGTTACAGTCACACCTTTCAGCGAGGATTGACTGAACACACAGGGCAGACACTGATACAGGTTATAAAACTCTTAGTTTCAGTAGCAGCTCACAGCTTAATCCGCTTTTTAGACCATGGAAGTAATCAATCAATATTCAAACGACTAAACAGCACTGAGCACTTCAAATTGGAGTGGAGGAACAGTATCACACATACAAAGCTATTTTATAAACCTCAATACAGTATGCACTAAAACAGGCACTCCCAAACCTTTTTTATTTTTATTTACTTAAGAAAAAAATGGTTTTATTATCTTAAAATCACAGCAGTTTAGTCACCAGACCCAAGAATAAATAGCTTTATCAAATACACAAGAATAATAAACTAAGAGCTTCATAAAAAAGAAAAAACATGCACACTCTAAAAAATGCTGCAAAAATCCCTGGAAATTTCCATATACAAGAAATATTATTGTTTTCTGGCTGTGAATGGTTGAATGAGTCTTTGGCCTAAAAATTGGAGTGTGTATAATTTTGTTAAACTTTCATCCTGACTTTAAATAAACTGCACTGCATTAAAATGAATATCTGCTATGAAAACTTCTGAAATAAACCCAGTGTAAGGATTCACTGTATGTTCCAGTAGAAACAAATCAACTACTTATCTAGGATCATGGGGAAGATTTTACAAATACCAGGTGATAGACAAACAATATCCTCTTCCCTTTTTATTTGAGAAAAAAAAAAAAGAAATAAAGGCCAGAAGAAGCAGAAGAAAAGTAAGACTGTATGCTAAATCTTTTATTCTCTCTGTCTGACCGTCTTAGCTGACCTTCTTGGTTGAGGAGAGGTCAAGACACCCAGGTTGTGGAGAACCATTCGGACTCAGGCTAAGCAGAAGTCGATGTGGGCGAGCAGCTCCCTGTGGCGGCTGGCGGGATAGTGGGCCCGACACTTGGGGCACTCAAGGAAACTCTCATCTAAGAGGTTTGTAATTTTGGAAGGAGACGTCGGACCAGGAGAGGCATCGATAGTCAGACGCTCAAACTCCAGGTTGTTGTAAGAGCTAGGCTCTGAGAAACGGGCGTTTGTTTGTTTCTAAAACACAGAACGACAGAAAAAGCAATTTTAATAAGCTCCTCCTAAAATACAGAAAAATATCCCAATAACTGCATTCAAGCTGAAGTATTTAATTCCTGAGGCAGAACAAGGTGCTCAGGAGAAATACCCAGAATTATGTGTCTGACTGAGCAGTCTGAAGCTGTATTCCTGAAAGACTTCATAATGAACATGTGGTTGTGATCTGCACACTTACAGCAGACTCCAGTTTAGCAATCTGATCTCGAGCCTTGCGGAGCTCCTTCAGAACCTTATGTAACTGGTGCTGCATGCTCTGACGATCAATCTTTTCATTCTCAAAGTCCTTGGCAGAGAGCTGGATCTTAGGAGGGGGAGTGAAATATATGAGCCGGAGAGAGCCAAGAATTCATTGCACTGAGATTGCACAAGTGGGATCAGTATGGATTTCAACACTTAGGAAAAATAGCACTTCTCCTGTCAAGCACTGAAAATAAACACACAAGTATTTGTTATTTTCTCGCAGTATTGCGGACAGGGGCCTCCCACGGACGTGGCACATTAAATAAAACCCTTACAAGTAACAACTCTTCATCTTGTTCTGTAGCATCAAGGCTAATCTGACAGGCTAACCTGCATTTTTGTATGAATGGGTGGATCATTTTTCATACCTGTTGCTCCAGAGCTGCAATTCTCCTCTGGTCTTCATTTTCGCCCATTAGAGACTTCTGCAGCATGTTTACCTGCAAAAAATACGATGAAATTGTTAAAACTAGGACGGGGCTAGCCTACCATGTTCAGAAATATATTGAGCTTCTTTATTTTATTGGGAGAAATATTTTATCTACTCTAAGAAAGATAAAAACTATTGTTTTTATCTTGTTATATTGTATGGTGGTGTATTGGAATTTGTTCCATCAATGGAATAAAAATAAACAGACTTGAGTGTTACCTGATGTAGAAGTTCAGCAGATCTCTTCCTCTCCTCCTCCAGTCTGATGTCCATACCCTCCAGCTCGGCTCTCATTCTGTCTGTTCGCTCAGACGACACCTTTCTCTCCTCACACACTTCGTGTCTAAGTGTAATGTTTATGTCAGCCACACAAGTAATTTCATAAAGCACTAAAGCAGTGAAATGTTTCTAACTGCATCCTATTTAGTCATGGAGGCTTCGATATATCCCTCCAAAGTCAATTAAACTCTTTGCATTTTCTGACATACAGTATGTTGCAGACTGGTCAAATTTTCGTTCATGCTTCCAAAAATATTTAAAGTTGGGACATTAGGAAAGTTTTTTTAATCGGGGTAGAGTAGATGTACCTGTTGCTGAGCCTCTCGGCTTGCAGCATCATCTTGGCCTCTTCCAGCTCTTTGCTCCTCTCATTGTACTTCTTTAGGAAGGACGACAGCTCGCTGCACTTGTCCTCAAACTTCCTCTGCAGCCGGCATGTCTCCTCCTGAAGTCTGCTGACCCGCTCCTTCTGAGACAGCAGCTCCGCCTGAGCACTCAGCGCCTGTAGAGTCATGCAGCGTTTTTATAATCTCATTTACTGAATTCTTTGAACTCCTAAAATCCAGGGAGCTACAAATATCAATGTTATAAGTGTGGTTGGCTAGAGATTCATTTCTCTCCACCGTTACCTGTTCTCTTTGAGCATTGAGCTCCTGTTCGGTTTTGGTGACTAAATCTTTTTGGCTCTGGAGGTCTCTCTGCAACCCCACCAGCAACTGCTCGTAGTGGCCCTTCAGTTGAGCGTCTTTCTCTGGACCTGCTAACTTAGCAAAGGCTGATTCAATAAGCAGTCAATATTGAATTCTGAGTACTTGGACTAAGCGGCACACAAATTTTGTTCACTTCTCACTCAAAGCCTGTCACCTTTTAATTTTTCATATCAAATCTTTCAAGACTGAAAATCAAACTTAGAAGTTTTCCCTTTTCACACATCCTGCATGCATCTGAGCACAGAGTGCTGGATAAAATTATTTGGGTCATGTTAACATTTTATGCTCTGGGTAAACTCATGCAGGGTGCATCGGATTCAAATACTCTTACATTTCCCTCTGTCTGAACCGGCCTCTTGTTTAGTTTGATGCTGTGTTGCCTCAGCCAGCTGTTGCTCCAGCTCCTTGGTGCGGGCGAGTAAAGACTGAACATAGGCTTCTCTCTGCTGATCATACACCAGCCACTGCTGGTTCTTCTCCAGGGCCTGAAGGTGAGAAGAGAGAAACTCTCTTTTAACTGATTTTTGGCATTGCTGCAACATATTTTTTTCCATCAAAACCAAGTGGAAAGCAGAGTGTAACTGTTTTTAATCTCACAAAATAATCCAAATGTGTTGTTCTGTCCCAAAAAGTAATAACCCATGAGGCCTGTCTGGACAGCACCTACTAATATTACCTTCAAAGTAAGTATTTTAGAAATATTGATTGATGAACTTGAGATTGTTTTAATCCCCCAGCCTTGGAAAAAGAGTAGTTTAGACTCTAAATTACATGATTTCCAATTACATGAGAGTTTGTGTCATATTTATAAAACAGCACACAGTTAAAAAAAACTCACATCTTTCAGTTGATCCTGCACCAAAGCCATGTCTGCAGGAGGTCCCCGTCCATTCTGTATACAGAAAAGCACAATCCAGAAATTAGCCCAGGACAGATTCGAGTAACAACACTTCCCTGTTCTGGGACATGACACTTGCACAGGGAGCACATTACTGAGGAGGATTTGTACAGATTGAGTTGATCTAAAGAATTAGCATACTTCCTTCTCTTTTAAGTTTTACATGTTTGTGTTGTTTTTTGTGTGTGTTGCCAGTTTTCTGTCAGGTGTCAGTTTTTTGGGCAAAATCTCTACAGACATTAAAAAAGTCGATTTGCCACAGGCTAAAATCTACACTTCAGCTTAGTAGTTTGAATGATTGATCTTTCTCTTTCTTTAAATATGCAGCAAAAGACACCACAAAAATGGACCCATCCAGGGACTGCTCTATCAGACCAGTAGCATCATCCCTGCAGACAGTTCCTCAACACTGATCCCTGACCACTGATAGAAGACAGTCCATCATCTCATAATTCTGCCTCCTGACCCCGAGGTCTTCATGTCTGATCCCCCCGCGTCTGAGCCTTTGGCAAACCTGGTGCAGCCCTGTCACAACAGTAGCAATCGGACCGATCATCTTTGCACTAAACCTCTGAGAGCTGTAACGCTACCAGACAAGCATCATTATCTTGTCAACTTTTTCCACTTAGATTTCAACGCACATCCTATAAGCTAAGCCTGCTTAAAGCTTTTGTGAATCCAAGAAGGGGGGCAAGGGAGAGAAGTCATGGGGTCAGGGTCTAATGGGTCAGATTATTTCTAGTAGTAATGAATAAAGGAGCTATAGGAAGAGCTAATGAGAGAGGAAAGTGGTTCTGGGAAATTAGCATAAAGACATTTAGATTAAAAATTTCCTTTTAAATAGTCAACTATATTTCTCACAACACCATATATCATAATATTTTATGCATGCATATGCTGCAAAACTCCAAAGATATTACCTCCAGCTATGTGGTGACCTTTGGGAGGAACAAAAACAGGAGAATAAAACAAAAGCAAAACATCTGTCTTTGCAAAAAGTCCCGTTCAGCTTTATTCTTTGGCTCTTCTTTGTAAATCAAACAATGTCACAGCTTCAAGGCCAACAGCCACTGTAGAAGAGTTGTGACAGCTTGAGCACACAGGTAGTTACTGGCACTGAGATCAAATACAGAAATTTTCTGTGATTTTAAAGGGTCAGTGTGGGCAGGTTCTCTATGTGCACTCAACAATTCCACATGAAGCAAGTCATACATCCTCCTTCCTAACTGGTTTTAAATTTTAACTAAGGTAGGAGCAAATAAGGCTAAACTTTGAGGGAAGGTGAAGACCATAAAAAGCTGGTGGATTTTTACCATTCCTCAAAATGAGGTTTGAAACACTGAATTTATTTCACTCCAGGCCCTAGAAGCTCAGAGTTATGTGTGTGATCCTGAATTTATTTCACTCCAGGCCCTAGAAGCTCAGAGTTATGTGTGTGATCTAAGTATGTTATCTCTGAGTCTTCAACTAGCTGAACTCCTGATGTGTTTTCTTGTGATTTTGAAGCCAAGGAGAATCCTGATGACTGCTCTCTCTCAGAGTGAAGTGCAGACCTGCTGTGCTGAAAGCATCAAAGGGCTGACTGAGAGTTAGTGGTGCCGTTTTGATACAGAGCAGAAGCCAACTATTGTGAAGGAACCAAGGATTTACCAAAGGCTCCAACTCTGACGGTTACACTGATCTATAATCATAAAAGCCCAAAGGCAGTGTGCCACTACAATCAAAGATGTTATTTTACTGTAACCAAACTACAGTAAGTAAGAGTTATTGTGCCTTAGAGGAGAAGGTTATATCATCAGCTCTGGGAATACAATTGCAGGTCCCACAACACCCCCTGGTGGACACCAGAAAAACAGCAGCTACATTTGCAGGCAAGGTTCCTGCAACATTAAAGGCTTAGATTAAAAAAAACCAATCCTCTTGAAAATGATTTTTAAAAATTGTTGTAGTGAGCATGATGTAAATGTCTTAGCTTTTATGACATAGATTAGCAAAGTCTGCTCTACATAGTAAATTCTTATTAGTGAAATGTGACAAATATCCTCTACATAAAAGCTCCCCATGAAAGAATATTGAAAAAAAAAGGATTTTAAATAGAAAATGGTAAAGCAGTATTTTACCTTGAACCAGTAATTGTTTGATAAAAGGAGAAATTATTCAATCAACGTTGTTCATTAGTGATTTCATGAAGTTGTTAGCTTTTCTTCTGGATTTCAATAAAAAGCCACATTTTCTTCACCTTTTAATACAAAGAGTTTGAATTAAAGGTTGACAGTCTGGCCTTGAAGGACAGAAAACTTTACGATTCCCCATTTGCCAGGTTTTTATGATCAAATATGTCTACCAGTACCATTTTTTCCTACATAAATACTCTCTTCTTTATTTTTAATCCCTCTGTGGGAGGGAACCTGCTCCATGTGCAGATCTAACAGGCTCAATCAAAGTTAAAAACTGAACGACTTTTACATGAATATTATATACACTAATTTAAATATTCTGCTCCAACTCTGCCAAGTCTGTTCTGCCAAATGCTGCCATCAATACACAGCAACTTTAAAGTGATTTGCAATGCTGTTGGGTGAGTCAAACGATGGGCTGATAACGCATGTATCTGAAAAGAAAACCTGAACATTGTGAAAAAAAGCCTATTTTGCATAATTACTATAAATGTGTAAAGTAACATGAAATGACCAGAAATGGACACAGTTCTAAAACCTTACTTGAATGAGTCTCAGACATACTAGATAGAAGTTTTATTTCACTAATGAAATATACAGGACTCTTCAATATACTCTTATAATCTGAGGCACACAGCACAGGTATACTGACTGAGTATCAGTTGGTCTGTAACATTGAGGAGCTTCTAAAGATAGTCTTCACTCACACACGTATTTGCCCTGTTAAAAATATCGACCAATCTGGTAATAATTTGACATAAACCTACAGCAGTAGCCCATTTATTTAATAGTTAAAAGCTTGTAAGCTACCTTTTTTTTTCTTCAAATTTTGAAAACTTAAAGCTCCTGTGAGGCAAAAATCTCATCATTCTGACTTTGAAAAACCAAATGTGGGAAAAACAAGGTTTCTTCAGTTGATGCTTGATGTTCTTATTACATTTTTCATGTGCTCTCACAGTGTATCAAGGTTACATGTTGCATAAATAAGTCATTAAGCTGCTGTATTGTTTGTAACAAATAATTATCTGTGCTACAAAATATGTACCACTGCTTTGCTAGCAATATGTGAATTTAATCTTGCTCAAAATAAAAGAATTTATGTTTTCAGAACAAGGTTTCTGTTGGACTGTCAATATTTATGATTGTAAGTGTGAAGATAAGGGTTTGAAAGCAATTGCTTAAATAATTTGTGATACAAACATAAACTTAAGAATTTTTTTTAATGTAAGGTTAAAAATTGGATTTTGTGCCTTTCAAGGGAGTTCACCAATAAGCTAAGAAAAGCCACTGAACACTTTCTCTTGTTACCATAGTTATTGTTCCAGGAACACTTGTTATGACCTCTGATGGCATAATTATAAAAGCAATGAAATACAACAGAGTAATAAGGAGAAAACCTCTAACCAAGGCTATAAGTTGGTACCTACCACCACCTGTGTTTCCAGAGTTTGGCACCTAGAAGAAACAGTGACCAGCTGGTTTTTCAGGTTCTCTGTCTCCTGTGACAAGTTCTGGAACAACATGTCTCTCTGCTCAGCCTCTTTCCTCCGGTGCTCCAGCTGGGCCTGCAGTGATGCGACCACCTGAAACACACAACATGAAATAAAACAACCCGTATTGATGTTTCCTGAGGATACTTTCTATTCTCTAGAGAATCATTTTACCTCCCCAAAATTTTATTGTATACAGAAAGTAAGAGTAAGCACAATGCCCACTGGGCAGCTCCAGTTTTAGCACTTCCTAATGAATGAGAAAGACACAAGTGTGATCAAACTGAAATGGACATCCAAATGTCAAATAGCTGTGTTTAATTAACCAGTATGCTATTTCCAAGTTTCAGCCCCATCCATCTTGACCAGACAAAATTAGAAAACAATTTCTGCAACAATGGTGGAGATGTCCCCAGGATAAGAGACGATAACTGCAAACAGATTACATCAATTTCCCCAGCAGTGTCACAGTAAAAGGGCACGAGTCTCCATACATGCACAAAGCCACTACAGAGGAAGATAGATTGGCTTATAAATTACAAGAAAATAAGTGCATCTCTGCCATGTGTTGGTATGCAGTTGCTGCTGTCTGTCTGAACTTCACTAAGCTGAGCGGCTGTCAAAATGGGACAGAAGCTATTTCCCTCCCACTGTTTCTTGTGGCAGCTCAGAATCCAAGCACCGTTTTTCCCAACTTTCTGACACTTGTCTGCTACAAACAATACACATGCCACCAATAAATGCCAAGAGTGCAATATTCACAGTTCTCAAAAAAGACAAGACTGGGTTGAACTTTTCCCTGCATCACGGTGCCCAGATCTTTTTCTGTGTATCGTAGGTATTTCAAGACAAACTTATCTACATTACTTTACTGTCAATTTTGATTTAAACCACATATTTCTGCAGATGTGTGTCGTGTGTGCATACCTCTCCTCCTCTTGCTGTCAGTTGCTGTCTCAGAGTTTCTAGTTCCTGCTCTTTGACAAGCAACTGCTGATTATTTCTCTCTCGCAGCGTCTCAAGGGAAAGAATCCTCTGGAAGTGATAACAGCACAAAGATGCCAAACATTCATTAAAAAAACTAAAAGCTGCCAACAGACTGATGGTCATACAGGAAACTGACAAGAGAGGCTGTTCTTACTTCCAGCAGCTTGCTTTTGTCTGAGTCAGGCGGTTTGATGTGTCGTTTGGCCATTTCATCGATCTTTCTCCTGAGGTGAGCATTCTCCTTTCTAACTTTGTCCAGCTCTGCCTCAGCTTTGGACGCAGAGCTGCTGGATTTGAAACCCAGCTTTGTAACAAAGGTGTCCTTAGCACCTTTAGATGTCATGGCTGCTCGGTTGGTTTTTCAGCTGGTCTTCTGTTAGGGGCACATTTGATGATCAATGAACACAGACAGCTTTAACTGTTAAATTCAACACCTAGTCTATCAATTGAAGTGAAGGTCACTTTTAATCAAGCCAAAGAGAAATAAAGTTCGTGAAGACTGGCCGTTCATGAACGTTACATACGCCACTGCACCTGTCCTCCTTTGTCAGCTTTCAATAACATAACTTAATTTCGTCGTACTTTTACGCTCCTTACTTTAAATTAATAGGAAATAATACATTTTGTCACATACAGATACGTAAAATATCAAAAACTTACATACCAACTCCTGTTATCTTCTGTTTCTTCCGCTCGTGGAAACAACTCCGTTTCCTCACCAGACGTTTTCGTTTCTTGAAGTTTGAATTGCAGCGCGTTGACGTCATTTCCGCAACGAGTATTGGGTGCGTATGTTTACATACTCCGGTGTATCTCGAAATGCATAGTAAAGGCGGTGTAGAGCGGAGGATATATCGATTTTCAAAGTTTTGTGAGGTGATACTTGGGAACACCATCGTTCTGTACTCTTTGACTGGAACTACTTAGGCGCTTACAGTAAAACCATTGAGAAGGTGAGCCGTTTTCATCTACTTTTGTTCCTAAACCACGCCGGTTACTGCAACACCGGGCTGCCCCAATGTCCTGTATGGAACAAACCGAGTCACACTGCCCATCGAAACAGGTTTGACGTGTTTTGTGTAGTGTCTATGGACATTGAAACATGAGAAAAAAACATCCTATTGAAAATTTAAATAAATAAATAAAAATAACGTGTCTGAAACAATTGCACTGGAGGTGCATTTCATGTAGTATTTGACAGCTTGTTGCATCTTACTAGAGGAATGAAAAATATGGTAGCAACACTGCATGGACAGCAGGATTCATTGTAGATTCATTCTACAAAACCCAATTCCATTGAAGTTGGGAAATTGTGATAAACGTAAATAAAAACAGAATACAATGATTTGCAAATCCTTTTCAACCTATATTCAGTTCAATACACTACAAAGACAAGATATTGAATGTTCAAACTCATAAACTTTAGAATTATTTTTTTTTTTTTTGCGAATAATAATTAACTTTGAACTCAGTTGTCGTATTTTATGCTAGACTTTTACGTTAATCACAATTTCCCAACTTCAGTGGAATTGGGTTTTGTAGATGAAGACTAATTGCTTACTAGTTTTAGTCATTTGAGGAATTTGTGTTTCTGTCAAAAACAACTGTGAAAGGTGGCGTTTAACCAGCACTTAAATAATGGGACTAATGTATTGATGCAATTATCAATAAAGATGCAATGGCTCAAAATCAGAGCAATAGAAATACCATTGCAAACAAGTCTGTATTGAAGGTGTAACCAAACCTGGACAGTTGTGCAGGACTGTGCAAGATGGTGTAGATGGTGTAGTGTAAAAAAATGTCAGAATTGTTGCAAATTGGTAACCTTGGGCAGATAGATGAATGGTCTTTAAGGAAGGAAGACAGTGTTTGAACAAGTGCAAATTCCATCAAGCAGATCGCTTGGGCTGGAGAGTTGCATTCAGACTTTATATTCCTGAGTTCTAGCTCTGTTTTCAGCCAGACTTTCAACCACGAGAGGGTGTATCGATGTGTTTTAGACACTGGCTGTATAACCTACATAAATCATAGGTTTCCCTCTGGGTTTCAGTGTTAAAAATGCAAAGGTGAAGAAGAGGCCCAGTGTTTCTGAGGAGAAAAAGAAACACTGGGTATGTGGTGTGACTTTTTCCTGTTGTAGGAAAAAGATAATAGCAGACTACTGCAGGCTAATTATGATGAATTTAAAGGTGAAAACACTTTGCATGAGCCACACAGGGCTTGCATTTGAATAATGCTAAATACAGATAAGGAGTTCAGGCATGGGAGTTAATTTCTTACAATTGAGAAACCAGTGACCATAACCTTGTTAAATTGATCTGACCTTGATGTTCTCATTAAAAAATGTTCCATGTATACTAACTGCATTGTAATTATATGTTGTGTGCCTAGGAAGTCATTGCAGCTGTTGGTAAGATATTTAATTTCTCTAATAGCACAGCCCATCATGATTTTTTCCTTCCAAACGCAGGATGACATGTTTACCCTTTGATGTTTACACTACAAAAATGAAGCGCCTCAACACTGTCACAGCATGATAATGAATTGAAGCTGAGTGTTTCAGTTTCTACCTTCATCAGTGTTAACAGAGGCAGTAAATCAAAATAGGCACACTATCATCACAACGTTACATAACCTGGTTTGTCGTGTGTATTTGCCACCTTCCCTGTGCATTTCATCACATTTTACTTCACTGATACAATATTCTGTAATGTATGTTATCATATGAATATTTCATGCAATGTTATGTTATGTTGTCGTGTCATGTCATGTCTTGTCATGTCTTGTCATGTTATGCCATGATGTTAAATTATGTCTCATCTTGTGTTACTTTATGTATGTTATTTCCTGCTCTGTTATGTTGTGTTTTGTCATGCCAGAGAGTAAGCAAGAATCATGAATGAAAATTTTGGGTAAATTTATTAGATTGTAGAAATTGTTGAATCTTTCAAAAAGGTTATTTTCATTTTAAAAGCAGCAAACTCCAGACTGAAAACAAATCTTTGAGTCAAGGGATTTGTATTCTAGGAAATGTGTGATTGTTTCCAGGAAAATGATTTCCTGGCAGGTGGGGTTAGGCTTGTCTTTGACGCACTTTCTACCAGAGTTTTTAGTACTTGCCTTGTTTTACCCACATGGACAACACAGCCATTTCAGCAGAGGAATAACTCCGCTTTAGCACAGGTTGTGTATCTCCTAATGCATGCTCTAAATGCAACATTTAATTTCCTTTATGCTGAGTAGAATAATGTTTGGAGGCTTTATGAGCCATGGATAATCTAGGTTTTGTATTCTTAAAAGTACTTCAAAGTTCTGTTTGAATACCAAGAGAAAAACATGGCGTAGGCAGTATCAGTTTCACTGTTTTATTGGGTTAAAATGCAAATTCGCAGTATGATGACTTTTATTTGATCTGGCAGAGGTGAAAACTACAAGTAAATAACACATGACTTTTTATTTGATACACTCGCTGACAGCATTGTGTATTCTCGCCGCCTATCTCAGGCTTTGATGTAAGCACAATCAATCCATTGTATCAAAGTTACCCATTTTGGAACTTGTTATTTAGTCCTTCTTCTGACCTTGCCTCAAATCTTCAGGAAAGGAACAAATTCTTTTCAATCTGTGAAACAGGAAAAAGGCAGACTGCATTCGATCAGCCTCAGATCAAAACAGCATTTAAGGGTCTTCTTATCAAGTTTTGAACTGTGAGTACTGTAAAAAATACACAGAAATATTCAAAGTTCTACTTAGATTAAAAGTGCTTGGATAGACCTTGCATTACCCAGTTGATGTATGGTTGGAGTAAAAGTTTATACATATAGGTTGGATAAGAGACCTGAATCTTATATAATTACATGTGAAAGTACTTGGACCAAAGGCTACAGAAACAGCAGCCATTAAGGGCCTGTGTTAACTTTTTGTGCTTGAAGCACCTATTTAATTTTCTTTTAAACCCATGAGCTCAGCCTCCGAAGCAGAAAAAATACACCATTAGCTGTTTCTTGTTGCTGCTCTGTCATCACTCCCAGTTGAAATAGTTAAACATATGGGACATTGCTTTGCTAGTTCATGTTGCTTCACTCTCAATTAGCCAATCAGGATCAAGAAGAGGCGGGACCTCTGGTATTTCCAGGTGAAGCATTGCTGTTAATAACAAGGCATGATTGCTTTTCATGTTTTTTTTTATCACTTTTGACACACTTTATTTATTAAAAGTAGATTTCAAGCACACTCAGAACTTTTAATACAGCCTTATACAAATCTTTACATTACTCTGAGTCCAAATACAAAAATTACCTGATGGTGTAATGATTGGTTTATGAAAAAGAGCACTGTTATCTCAGGATAGCAGAATTACAAGTTCATCAATTGATGTTAAAGAGGCATTTGGTGTGATGGCTAGTCCATAGTTTTCAATAAAAGCTTGTATTTTTAAGTGGAAGTTAGCTCTATACAAATCACTATATTCAATTATGCAAAAATATAATATAACCACAATCCACTGATCTGTCCAGCAGTAATTCCCAGCTGACTAACAACAACATCAGTATACGGTCTTCTCTTTTCTCTCTGTGAGTGACAGTCTATTTAAGCAAAGGTCAGTCCAGGATGCATTTTGTTCTCTGTACCATCAAAGCTAGGTATCTTTAACTCTGTTCCCCGGGGAGCCACAGAGAGATGGAGTCATGGAGAGCGCTCCTTTATATGGAGCACCAAAGCTCTGGAGTCTGCTCACATATGCTAAAGTGAGAGAAAGCTTCCCGCCAGGTTTGTCCGGTGAGCTAATTAAAGACTGCGGGGAGACAACAAGCTGACAAGTAGCATGTCATGGACTGAAATTAGGTATGAAATCTGTAGGGAGAGTAGCAGTCATCCAGACGGTATAAATGTCTTTCTCTTTTCATCCACTTCTTGGTTGATTAGAAAGCTGCCAGAGTCAGGTTGTTCTCACCAGTGCCAGGGAGGGGGCTTGGTCTATGGATCGGCCCCCTGGTAAGCCAAGTCTGCATCATCAGCAGAGCACCAGCATTTCCACTTTTCAGCAGACCCCATGCTGTCCTCCATCGCTGCCTGCCTCTGCTTCATATCGCCTGGAGGCAGGTCAGTAACCTGTGAGAGGCACACTTGTGTCCTGGCTCACGCTAGCATTGCCTTGTACGGGCATCACACCAAATATATATCAGTGCAAGAGTCTCTGAGGCCCTCAGAGTTCACGTAACAGCTAGTAAACATCCATTAAGTGAGATTAGGTGAGTTTTTCAAGGGGTGGTTTTATGCTTTTACACATTTACAACAAAAACTGCAAAGTTTCAAATCAGGCTTTTTTTAAAATCTAAAAGTCATGTAAATCTATTAAAGAGGTGTCAGAAAGAAGTATAGAGTCGGCTTTCCGCGGTATACTGTATACACCGTCATCACGATGAAATAAAGTCACGGTGGCGCTACCGTGAAATTGCTGAGCTCACAGTGACGTAATTTCAATATTATGTAGCGCCGCCGGCGCGTAAAGTGCACGTTACGCCTCAACACAAGCGGGACTTGCCATAATAAAGATATCACTTCACGTTCACATTAACATTAGTGGTCAGTCTGGGCTACAGTAAGACAGCAGCAGCAAAATATTGAATCATTGTGATGCTGCGGAGTGCTGGAAAAAACACGATCGTATATTCCATTAGTTCTGGGCAGGCTGCCATGCCCATGATGATGATGGTTCAGTCCAACAATCAAGCACCCCCCCCCCCC